TGGCCGCCGTCTCAGAGCGAAGATCGCACGACAGCCTCTCGCTCCGCTGCCACCGCCACCGCCACCGCCGCTGCGTCTGCGTCTGTGCCTGCGCTTGCCTCCGCTGCCGCAGCTGCTGTCAGAAGCAGTCATGATGGAAGTCGCGGCGGTTCCTCCAAAGGGGGCCGCAGTGGTGATTACCCGCCCACACAGCCCCTGCCTGCCCCTGTACAGCAACAACAGCAGTTCACTCAGCAGCCGCAGAGGCAGCTGCCGCAGCAGCAGCAACCCACACAGCAAGAGCGGCAGCAACAGGAGCAACTGCCGCAGCCGCCGCAGCAACAGCAGCAGCAACCAACGGGATTGGAACGAGGCTTGGATGCAGCGAACTACGGTTTTGAGTTTGATGTACCCTCCACGCTACCCCTTGCGAGCTCCTGCGGGCAGGGCTACCAAGTGGCGACGGATGTCGGGCTCACGACCAGATCCGGTACAGCTATGCTTGGTGGCGGGCCGCAGCAGCATCAGCAGCAGCAGAGGCGTTTCCATGCAGGAGGTAGCGCCGCTGCTGACGTGGAGCCAACGCAGGTTCTCTCGCCGCCGCCACCGCCGGGGACGTCGCTGAATGTACGGCAAAGCAGAAGGCCGCTGCCGCCACCGCCGCCGCCACCGCTGCCCGCTAGCAGCAGGGTGGCGACAACGGTGGTCGTTGGTGCAACACTCGATGTACAAGATGGGTGGAGCGGCGGCGGCGGCGGTGATGCTCAAAGGGCACTTGAAGCAGCAACAGCAGTAGCAGCGGCGGCGACACCGGCGGCGGCGAAGGCGGAGGCGGCAGGTTGCGATGCCACTGAGTCTCCGGTCTTTAGCTTGGCGCCGACCGTGCTTTTGGCCGCTGACGACGATAACGACGTAGGCAGCGGCAGCGGCGGCCGCTTACGTGGAGAGCGAGAGGGTCGTGCAGCGACGGCAGCAACGTCCGTTGCCTTGACAGCTACCCCGCTGCAGACGGAGACAGCTGTTACGCCGCTTCCGCCGCCGCCGTCGCCGGCGGCACAAGTCGGCTCCGCCACCCTTGCAGCCGCCGCCGCCGCCGAAGCAGCAGCAGCCGCAGTACCCTTTACCGCCGACGTCACCCGCCGCACCTCAGGCCACTTGCCGTACACTGGTAGCGCTCGTCGTCGCGACCGTGCCTCTCGGGGCAACTCAATCGCCACGACGAGCGCCGCAGTCACACCAATGACGACGGTTTCGGCGGCGACGGCAACGGCACCACTGCCGTACTCCGCCGCATCCACTGACATGGTTCCTGCTACAGTCGACTCCCGCAATTCCCCGGGCGCTGCTACAACTGCTACAGCTGCCAGTGCTGGTGCTGGTGCTGGTGCCGTTGGTACGACACCCCACATGGGCTGGAGCCCTCCCGTTGTGGGCATGGGCTACAGTCCCCCTCTGGGGCACGAGGGGGGCCTGTTGAGGGGCCACCGCAGGAGGCCTCGGTGGTCTACGGATGAGGGCGGTGGTAGCAGCCCTGTAGGGGGGCCAGCAGCAGCAGCCGCCGCAGCAGCGGCTGCTGTAGCAGGAGCGGCAGATGCAGGCCTCGCTGTTGCAGATCAGGCAGTGGTAGGATGTATGGCCGCAGCAGCAGCAGTGCCGCAGGCGCCTGAGGGGCTCTTGGAGCCGGTGGTGGTGGCAGATGGCACCACTTTTGTCGTGCCAGGGGCTGCACATGGAGCAGCAGCAGCAGCAGCGACAGCGACAGTCGCGACAGCAGTAGGGGGCGTTGAGGTCTCAGAAAGTGGGCTGGAGGCAAGGAGTGGACAGCAGCAGCAGCGAGACAGGCAGCAGCTTCTAGGCTTTCAGGATGACGAGCGTGAGAGGCAGGAGGAGCAGCAGCAGGGGCTGCCGCATAGGCAGCAGGGACACGGAGTACAGCAGCAGCAGGGACAGCAGCAGCAGCAGGATGCGTTGGAAGAGCAGCGACGGCTACAACCGCTTGAAGGACTCGAAGAGCTTCAGCAACAGCAACAACAGAAGGGACAGGAGCATGAGGCAGCTGTGGAGCAGGAAGAGTGTCGCCGACAAGCTGCACAATCCGCTGGTAATGCTGGTAGTGATCAACAGCAATCCCAACACCAAGTACGTCAGGAAGGAACACGTGCGGAAGAAGCGGAGCGGCCTGCCGTACATGGCGACATTACGCCAGTTAACGCTGCCGCACAGGCAGTCGCTGCAGTTGATTGTACGACTGGCTTAGTAACGCCCGCATGCGGCTGTGCTGCTAACGGCGGCGGCAGCGCAGATCGTGATAGCGGCGGCGGAAGGTGGTTGGAGTGTCGGTCGCCTGAGTCACCTCAATGCGGTCAACGTCCGCCGAGCTTCGGTTCGCCGCTGTTCAGTCCGCAACGAGTGGCCCCTGGGTCACGTAGCCCAGCATCAGCAAAAGGCGGAGCTGCAGCAGGGGCGAAGGCGAGTGTTGCGGCCTTGAGAAACACTGTCGGCGGCGTCCACGGCGACGCTCGTACGGCAGCAGCGGCAGCAGCAGGACCGTCTGCATCAGCCTTGCATAGAGCCCCAGGTGAGGGGGCATGCGGCCGCACGGAGACGCTCGGAGGAGACGTCAGGTCTAAGAGGCAGCGGCGGCGGCGCAATGATTTAGAGGATGGCGGCGGGGGCGGCGGTGCAGACGGCGGCGGCGGAGAACCAGCGGGCCCCGACGGTGATGACGGTGACGACGGCGACATGGACTCGCGCCACGCGGGACTAGTGTGTTTGAGACCCGTGGGTCGGCCGCCGCCGCCCCAGGCACTGCTTGAGGATGCCGAGTGGTACGACAAGCAGCTGCTGCCGGTTATACACATGGTACGGCAGGAATGGATGCTGGGGTTGAATAACTGGATGGCGTATGTGGATTTTGGAGGGGACACGGTCCTTGACGGAGGTCGTAGTTGACGAAGTGCAGACGCCGTACCTTTTATGGTGCTTCCCCAGCCGTTTTGGTAGTAGCCTTAGCGGTGTATGTGTAACCGCTAGCTTCCATGCGTGCAGGAACCATTCTACTCGGATCCAAAGGACGTGCCGCCGCGACCCGTCGTCTTCGCTAGCAGGTAGATGCTTCTACACTCTCCCCAGGCCTTACGCAGCTGCAAGTGCTCGCGTCGATTCCTGCTGTACCCGCAGCACGCCCTGTTACTGTTCGCAATTCTACCATTGCTTTCTTACGTTCCTTGGCGGATGCTCATAATCAACAAGGCCCTTTCCCTTCCCAAGCTCGGTTTATGACGAGCTACAAATTCTGCCAACCCAGAGCAAACAAACGTCCACATGAAACGCCCGTCAGAGTCTGAACGGTTACTACCGCTAACCAACCGCATCTCAAATACCCGCAGGGAATTTCGGGTACCTGCATGGGACGACGTGCCGCCCTTCACACGCGGACCTGCCGCAGCGCAGCCCCTGGCGAGGCTCAAAGCGGCGCTGGCGGCGACGGCCGCAGCAGCGGAGGCGCATCCTCCGCCGCCACCACCTGAGAGCGTCAATCTCCTAGGGTACGGCAGAATCCGAGGATACGCGCTAGTCCCCGCGTTGCCTCCGCCGCCGCCGTCGGATGTCAACGCCTGGGCTGAGGAACAGCAACGCGCTCGAGCAGCTGCGGCCGCCGCTGCCGCCGCCCGACGTCGCCGCCGTGCCGGCGGAGGCGAAAGCTGCCGTCGAAGTGCCGCCGCCGCCTCTCTCGTCCACGATCCGAATACGGGACAGTTGCTCCCCGCTCGTACAGCCGGGGCCGCACCGCCGCTGCCGCAGCCTAGATCTATCGTTCGGCAGCAAACTCCGGCTGCCACCACCAGCCGCCGCGCCGTTGACTTTGAGGGCGCCCTACCGCTTCGGCTCAGCGGCGAAATAGCGGAGAGCCTCATGGGTACCCCGTCGCTGGCGGGCCCGGAGTCGTACGCTAGCGACGGCGACGGCGGCGGTGGCGGCGGTAACGTCAGCGATGAGGAGGATCGCGCAAGCAGCGGCGATGATGAGGATGATGTCGGCGGGGGCGCCAGCAGCGGCGGAGGAAGCGACAGCGATAGTGGCGACGGCGAACCAGGGCTGGCGGAGGCGCCGCCGTCTCCAAAGTACGACGAACGCACTTGCTTCTTGGGCGTGGTGGCACTCGGCACCGCCGCCACTGGGGGTCTGACGGCGCGGCGGCAGGGACGAAAGCGGCGGCGGCGGCGACGATGGGAGGAGCAGGGCTTGTACGGCAGCCAGGCGGAACAGCGGAGCCGCCACCGCCGCCGACTGGCGACGCAGAAACCGCACATGGATGCTCCTGACGACGAGTTGGGTGACGGCGGCGGCGACGGATCGTACGGCAGTGACAGCGGCGGTGAGCGTTACAATGTGAATGGAGTGCCTTTTGGGGAGCGACTGGCTGCATCGCCTGACGGCGGGCGTCAAAGACAGCGGAGGCGGCGGCATAGGTCTCGGAGGATCTCAGATACATCTGCGGCAGCGGGTACGACACCGCTGACGGCGGCGACGGCGGCTCCAGATGCACGACAAATGCCATACGAGCGTCATGCTGTGTTAGAAAGAGGCGCTCGCGGCGGCGGCGGCGGCCGGAGAATGGCTGTGACGTCAACGCCGGCACCCTTTGCGGCCTTCGGCGCCGCCGCTGCAGCGGCGGCGGCGGTTACTGGTGCCGCCGGCGTCAGCGCCGGCGGTGGCAATCGATCCCTACCGCCGCTACCGCCACGACCCTCCCTCGACGCCACCGCCACAGGAGGCACGCCGTTGCCGACGGTGCCGTCAGGACAGCTGCAGCAGCCACACTTCCAGCGTCAGCGACAAGGCGCCTCGGCGCTACCTCCGCGGCCACCGCCGCCGCCGCCTCCGTCAGCACTCTTGGCGGCGGCGGCCGCCGCCGCCGCGGCGGCTACGTCAATACCGGCGGCTACTCCCGCGCCGCAGCCCAGTGTGTTCCTGGGTACGGCATCGCTTCGGACGCCCGTCGCCGGAGGGACGGGGCAGCCGGTGTCGCTGCTGTCGCCGCTGCGACCCGCGGGTCAGGGCCCCTCCGGACCCACCCCACCCAGCCAACGTGGCTTCCGACTCCAGGTGATGATGCGCCGGCTTGCGACCTGCCATACAATACCGGCATGCGGCATCCTAACTTGTCCAACAATACCGCCTTGCACGCTGCCGTCCAGGACCGCATTCATGCATGCTCCGCTCTTCCAAGGCAGGCTTGCCCCCGCCGCCATACTGTGGTGGCCCTGTGTACGTAATCCAGATGTGTCGTACCAGCGGTTGTATATGCACACATACTCATGTACATATGAGAGCAGACACATGATAATACGGTGGTGAAAAACACTGACTCGTGCAGCCCAACTCAACCCGAATCAACCCAACCCACAGCGCGGTGGCGCCCCAGAGCGACGGGAGTGGGTGACGGTGGCGGCAGTGGAGGTGGCGGCCGCATGCCGGGGAGCGCTGCTGCCCGACCCCAAGCACGACTCAGTCAAGTGGGTTGAGGGGCTTAGTAGCGTATCCGCCGCGCCTGTGTACGGCACCTACCGCGTTTGTGTGCGACTCGTTTTATACTGTCGCGTTAGCGTCTTGGCTCATCCTCATGTGTTCCAACCCCTTGGTTCTCCGCCTATCCCGCTTACCGTATCGGCCCTTACCCCTCACAACCTTCCCACTCCCCACAGTCAGTTAGTTCTTTCCTCTTTTCCCCACTCCTCTCCCTTTCTCCACCTGCTTCTCCGCTGCCCCTCTCTGCTCTCGTCCGCGCCCCCTGCCTCACCAAAGCGCCATCTGCATCACGGTGCTTGAGGTGGGAGCGGGCCCCCCGCCCCCCGGATGGGCCTACCCCGCCCGGATACTCATCCTAGACCCCAAAGCCGCCACCGCCGCTGCTGCAGCAGCGACGCCAGCAGCAGCGGCGGCGACGGCGGCGACAGCGGCGGGGCCGGGTCTAGAGGACACCGTTGGCCGAGGTCTGGGCGGGGACAGCGCAGCAGCAGCTGCTGCTGCCGCCAGGAATGAAGGCGGCGGGGTCGGGGGAGGCGGTGGCGGCAGCGGCGGCGGCGGCGGGGTCGGGGGCGTGTTGTTGGGTCCAGGCGGGGAGGTGTTAGGGCCTGCTCGCGGAGTGACTACTCGGGTTGACGGACTGAGAGGAGCGGTGGTGGAGGCGTTTGCGGTGGGGGAGCGTGGGCGGGTGGGGGAGTGGGGTAGGTGGGGATGGGGGCGGTGTGCGTGGTGGTGCAGGGCGGGGGTGGCTGCTTCCTAATAACCCTTTTCACATTGATCCAGTTTGACCTTCTGTGCTTCATGTACTCTGTTTCCTTGGACCCTTCCCTCTGCTCCTCCTTCCTCCCTCACCTCCCCTCCACTCCTCCCTCTGCCCCCCTCCCTCACCCCCCCAGGACGAGCCCTCCCTGCTGCGCGCCTTCTCCGCGTCGCTCTCCTCCCTGGACCCCGACCTGCTGCTAGGCTGGGACGTGCAGCGCGGCTCACTGGGCTGGCTGGCGGAGCGGGCGGGCGAGCTGGGGCTGCGGCAGCCGCTGCTGAGGGCGGCGGGCAGGACACCGGGGGCGGGTTCCGTGAAGGAGCGGCAGGTGGGGGGCGGGGGCGGGTGCGGGAAGCAGGAGGAGGAGGAAGCGAGGAGGTGGGGTGACAGGGATGAGGGTTGTACTAGCCGCTCCCTTTGGTACCCGGTATGGCTTCCTTGTCATCATGTATCGCTAGTGAACCAGACTTACGTACCTACCAAAGTGTGCGCTACCAGGTATATGACTTTGTGAAATACGAGTCTAAACGACCCCAACGACCCATGGGTCTCTCCTGCCGCCACCGCCTCCGCCTCCTCCGCAGCACGACGAGTGGGGCGCGCTGCACGCCAGCGGGATCCACATGACGGGTCGCGTGCTGCTCAACCTGTGGCGGGTGCTGCGCGGGGAGCTCAAGCTGGGGGGCTACAGCTTCGAGAACTGTACGGCAGCCGTGTTGGGTTTGCGTGTGCCGCACGTGCGGGAGCAGCAGATGGCCAGCTGGTTCGCAGCGGGTGGGGAGAAGGGGCGGGGGGGGAGGGATGGGGTAGAAGGGTAAAGATTATTAGGGGTACGACGGGTATGAGGGGGGTGGTGGTGGGCAAGGAAACTGACGAGCTGTATGACGAGGCTTCGCCATGGGTTGCTAGATTGGGCCCGGTCCACCCCACCCCACCAGAATTAGAATGGGGGAGGAGAGTGATGGGGAAAAGGTAAAGATTAGGGGTGCGGCGGTAAGTTCAGGAATCCAAAGAGGCTTGGGTAAGTGTTGCTTGGAGGTGAGGGGATTGTGAATAGGTTTGGAATATCGCATGGCCTAAAGCGAGCGATTAACGACTAGCCAACCAAACTAACCACCACCGCAGGCCCTTCCGGCGGTCGCTGGCGCTGTTTATCCCGGCTGCTGCACCGCTGCCGCCTCAACCTAGCCATGTGCGAGCAGTTGGACCTGATCGGGCGTACGGCGGAGCTGGCTCGGTACGTGTCGTACGTCATTGTACGGCAAAGATGATCAATGCGCGTTACATAGAGCAAACGTTGCCAGGAGCGGTAGAGTCGACAGCTAGCCTCATTGTAGCCGCTGTCCTAGCCTTTCTCTTGCCCCATCCCGCAAGTGTTCCCCAATCCCCGCCCGCCTCTCCCCTCCCTTGTTGCCTCCCGCATGTCTATCTGTAAAGAACCTTTGGCATCGACTTCTTCTCCGTGCTGACCCGTGGGTCGCAGTACCGCGTGGAGAGCCTGCTGGTGCGGCTGGCGCACACCAACAACTTCATAATGCCCTCTCCGAGCCGGGAACAGGTGGGGGCGAGAGGCGCGCAGGGGACATCGAGGGGTACTGTACAGCTCTTCTCGGCGCCTCTCTTCTACACACACCGTCATCCGCTTCCGGCAAACACAGCACGTGCCGACACGCAGACAGCGCTCTGCACACACCCGTCTTGCCCCTTGCTTTCCCCTTGCTTTCCCCCATTCCTTCCCACGCCAGCTTCCCCAACAACGCATTCAGGCCTGGCAACCTTACACGCCTCCCACTCACCTTTCCACCCGCTTTTCTTTGCGACCCCTTCAGACTCCTCCAACCCCTTCAACCCCCCTCAACCTCCCCCACCTCCCACCCCCCCCACACACCCCCAGGTCGGCTCCCAGCCCGCCATGGAGGCCATACCCCTGGTGATGGAGCCCGAGAGCAGGCTGTACGGCAGTCCGGTTGTCGTACTGGATTTCCAGTCGCTGTACCCCTCGCAGATCATTGCGTACAACATGTGCTACTCGACGTGTGTGGGCCGGACGGCACATGCGCGGGCGGGTGAGGGGGGAGAGAGGAGGGGGAAAAGAGGAAATAACTAACTGACTGAGGAGAGGAGGGGGAAGGCAGGGAGGGGGTGAGGAGGCAGGGGGGAGATAGGGAAGGGGTGTAGGGGCAGGGGGAGACCAGTCACTTGCGCCTCCCCACTTGCAATGACCTGCCGTACGTCCCCGTACGGCACCTTCCCGACCTCCCACACAGGTGGTCAACCGGTACGGCTGGGTGTCACGCAGTACAGCTACCCCGTAGGTGCCGTACTACCCACTGCCACCTCGGGGGGTGGCGCCGCTGCTGCTGCTGCTGCTGCTGTGGCGGCGGCGGCGGGCGCCACGATAACATGCTCCCCTCCCCATTCCTCATCTCCACCATCTTCATCCCCAACATCGGACAATGCAGCAGCCCAGGAAGCAGCAACAGCAGCCGGGGCAGCAGCAACCAAGCCAGGGAGGGCTGCACACGCCGGGAGCAGCAGCAGCAGCAGCACCTGCGCCGCCACCCCAGACAACCTGATCATCTGCCCCAACGGTGTGGCCTACGTGCCTCCAGAGGTAGGTGCGGCAGGCACCCGAGGTAGGCAGTGAGCACATGCCGTACGTGCGGTGCCGGTTGGGACACACGTTATGTAGGTAGAACAGGTGGGGTTCCTCTTTTGGTTGAACGCAACTTGCCTGCTGATGACAAGCATGTCCTACCCACCGCATCCTGTTGCATATCTTGGACATGCCATTAGTGGCTTTAAGCATGGTATCGTACGAAACGAAAGCCTCCGCACCCCCCCCCCGGCTCCCTCCGTCCCTCCACCTCCACCTCCCCTCTCCTCCCAGGTTCGTCCCGGCGTGCTGCCCCGAATGCTGAGTGAGATCCTGAACACTCGCATCATGATCAAGGGCGCCATGAAGCGGGCCCCGCAGCAGGACAAGGTGGGTTGGGAGCGGGCGTGTGTGTATGTTATTAAGAAAACGGTGTGTGTATGTGTATGACAGGGTTTTAGGGGGCATGGCGCCACGAAGGAAAGGGGGTAAACCACTGGGAGCTCTAAAACCCCCAAAACAGCGCTCTACCCGCACTCGCACCCCCAACACCCCGGCGTTCCCCCCGCCCCCCACTGTACCCCCCGCAGGTCCTCCACCGTGTGCTCAATGCGCGACAGCTGGGCCTCAAACTCATCGCCAACGTCACCTACGGCTACACCGCTGCGGGCTTCAGCGGGCGGCTGCCCTTCGCCGAGCTGGCGGACTCCATCGTGCAGAGCGGGCGGCAGACGCTGGAGAACGCGATTGCGATGGTGGGTGGGTGGGTGGTGGTTTGGACGTGAGGGGGTGGGTGCGTTGGTGGTTTTGACGGGTGGGTGGTGCGATAGTGGGTGTGATGGAGAGTGGGACACATGCGCCCATCCCCGCTTCCCCTCTTGAACCCCATGAGCGGCTCCACAGCTCCACCCCAAACCTCCTAGTGTCCCTTTCCGACCTCCTTACCCGCCCCTTCCCCCCTTGTTGGGGCCGCCTGATGCAGGTGGAGTCGCACCCCGGCTGGCGGGCGCGGGTGGTGTACGGCGACACGGACTCCATGTTCGTACTGCTGCCCGGGCGCAGCCGGCGGGAGGCGTTCCGAGTGGGAGCGGAGATAGCGGCGGCGGTGACGGCGGCCAACCCGCCACCCGTGACACTCAAGATGGAGAAGGTATGGGGGGGGGCGGGGTGCCGGCAGTGCTCCTGCCGGCCCTTGCTTGCCTGCTCCAATCCTTAACTCATTTGGGTTATTGTACCCTCCCCCCTGCCTCCCCCGTCCCATTTCGCCTTACCTGCGTGCACCCTCCCCTCCCCTAACCCTTTTCCCTCCCTCCCCCTCCCCCGCACTTCCCATCTGTGTTTCCTCCCCCCCGCCCCCCCCCCCCTCCCCAGGTGTACCACCCCTGCCTGCTGCAAACCAAGAAGCGCTACGTGGGGTTCGCGTACGAGTCGCCATCGCAGACGGTGCCCACCTTCGATGCCAAGGTACGGCTGGTGTACGGCAGGAAATGGGGGGAAGGGGGGAGGGAGGGAAGGAAGGGGGAGGAAAGGATGAGGAAAAAAAACACCCCTTGCATAGGTCTTACTCTTTAGCCTTGCGCACCCTTGACGGGTTTGTACCCCCGCCTCTTCTTCGTCTGCTGCTGCTCCCCCTGCTCCCTCCCCCCCGCCTCCACCTCCCCATCCCCGACCCAAGGCGGATTACGTCTCCAAATTAATCCCCGACCCCAGGACCCTACAAACACCCCACTTCAACCCACCCCCGATTGCGCCACCCCCTCCCACCACCTCCACCCCCACACCCCTACCCGCACCCCACTCTCAGGGTATTGAGACCGTCCGCCGAGACAGCTGCCCCGCCGTTGCCAAGCTGCTGGAGCAGTCGCTGCGACTGCTGTTCAGCAGCCGGGACCTCAGCCAGGTGGGGGATGGGGGTATGCGTTAAGAAAGCTGGCCGCGAGTCGAACGTACCGTTATTGCCGGAAGGTGAAGTCCGCACAGAAACGCCGCAGGAGCCGAGGAGTATGGTGGCGTATGTGTGCGTATGGGGAAAGAGGGCCTGCATGAGGCCTCCTGCGCTCTGTCTGTTGCATACACTTGTGAGGTAACGTGCGATACTTTCTAACATGCAAGCTCTGTGCTAAATAGCCCATTGAGTTCCACCCTCAGCTCTACCTTTCCCTCACCCTCACCCCTCACCCCCGGTGCCCCCCCCCCCCCGCTGCTCCCCAGGTCAAGTCCTACCTGCTGCGCCAGTGGACCAAGATGCTATCCAATCGGGTGTCACTGCAGGACTTTGTGTTCGCAAAGGAAGTCAGGTGGGGGCGGGGCAGCTGTCTCCATCCATCCCTCCTCCCTGCATCCTCCCCCCGCCCAAAACACATTGGGTATTCTTCTCCCCCCCCCACCCCACCACCTCCAGGCTCGGCACCTACTCCTCCAACGCCGCCACCGTCCCCCCCGCCGCAATGGTGGCTGCCAAAGCCATGGCGGCCGACCCACGGGCCGAACCGCGGTACGGCGAACGAGTGCCGTACGTGGTCGTGTACGGCGAGCCCGGGGCGCGGCTGGTGGATGTGGTGGTGTCTCCGCATGTGTTGGTGGAGAGTGGCGGGGGGTTGCGACTGAATGCGACGTACTACATCACCAAGCAGATCATACCCGCGCTGGATCGGGTGCTGAGTCTGGTGGGTGCGGCTGGGGGGTTGGGGGGCTAGAGGGGGTTGGAGGGGGGGTAAGGGTGGAGGTAGAGGTGGGGAAAAGGATACCCTATAGGGTTGATGGGTTATGGTACGGCAGTTTCGGGAGGACGTTCGGGGACACACCGCATGTCGTCAAGGGCGCTCTCGACCACCCTGGGCCATCTCGCCGCCCCTCCCGCTCCCCGCCCAACCACCCCCACCTCACCCCCACCCCCACCCCCAGGTGGGTGCTGACGTGGCGGCCTGGTTCGCCGACATGCCCCGCCCGCAGCGCCTGATGCCGCAGAAGAGACCCGGCGGGTCACTGCCGCTGCCACTGGGGGGATCAGGTGCTGCAGGTGCAGGTGGGTTTGGCCGCGGTACGTCTTTCCCTGGCGTTGTTGATGCCTCCTCCTCCTCCTCACTTCTCCTCACTTCCCTTTTGTTACCATTTGTTCGTGTTACCATTCTTGTTACCATTTGTTCCCTCTTGTTACCGATCTTAGTTGCGTTGTAAACCCACCACATCAACGTGTAGCCTCGTCGCCCTTACGCCTTGCATGTCCTCACTCACCCATACGCCCCCTCTCCACCCCGCTCCTCCTAACCCCCCAACCCCCACCCCCCCATGCAAAGGCCCCTACGGACCCACCATCGACCGCTTCTACCTGTCCCGCCACTGCGCGCTGTGCGACCAGCTCACCCGGGCCGCACAGCCGCTGTGTGAGGAGTGCAGGTGCGTGTGTGTGGGGGGGGGTCAAAGACCATACCAAACCATCGGAGACCACAGGTTAGGGCAAAGCAATGTTGGGGGGGGGGGAGAGGTGCGGTGGAGGGCGAGGTGAGGCCTGCGAGGGAGGGCGGTAAAGATGAAGAAGAAACCATAGTTCCCCATGCCATGTAAATCCCCCAACCAAAAACACCAACCCATCATCCATCACCCCCCATCCACTGCACCCATCCCTTACACCCCGACTCCTTCCCTCCCTCCCTCTTCCAGACATGATCCGCAAGCCTCCCTGGCTCAGCTGAGCGCCCGGCTGGCTCGACTAGAGCGCCAGCATCGGCTGCTGGTGCGCATTTGCCTACACTGCGGAGGGGGAGGAGGAGGGGGAGGAGGGGGAGCACCCCCAACACCCGCCGCCGCGGGCTCTGTAACAGCGGCTGCGGGGACGGCACATGCTGTTGCTGTTGGGGCGGGCCATGCAAGTGGGGGACTGTGGGGAACAGCTGCCGGGGGCAGGCGCGGGCTTGGGGGAAGCGGCAGAGGAGGAGGAGCAGCAGGGGGAGCAGGGGGTAGTTCGGCTGGGGCGGCGGCGTGTGACTTGTACAGCTACAACGCGGGGTGTGGAGGGGTGGTGTGTGATTCGCTGGATTGCGGGGTGTATTACGAGCGGCGGAAGTTGGCTGGGGAGTTGCGGGCGTTGGGGGAGCTGATGGGGGCAGTCAAGGCGATGTGGCCGGATGAGGATTGAGGAGTGCGGGGAAGGGGAAGGGGGTTGGGCACTTCGGTGGGGACTGCGGTAGGGACTGCGGGTGAGGCGAGGAGGGCAGCTCAGTTACGGTGTCAGCTTATGCTTGCCTCAGCGTAGCGTTGGCTTCTTGTCTAGGACTTGAGATGCCGCTGCGGCATGTGGCCAGATGACTAAGGAGACTGCAGAGCCCTTTACCGATGTGCGAGAGGGTTGCATTGCTGGTTTGGTACTGGTATGTACGGCCGTGCCTTCGTGGGGGGTTCTGCTTGTCCACATCTTGTTATACTTTTTGGTGCGGCGATCACGAAAAAGTTGGGAACAGGCCTTGACTTCAAGAAACGGAAACTGGAAACTGGCAGAAACCACTTTAACAATATTAAAACACGTCCATGAACAGCCCGGAAATCCCGCAATCCACCCTGCACACAAGAAATCTCTCCTGCCCTTCCTGCCGTACAAGATACAATCGAATCTTGTAATCTTGATGCTCCTTTCGCGTCCAACGACTCCTTCCATCTCTGATCCGCATGTATCTATCAATGGGAGATTCACCCTTAACCGCAAGCGCAATGAAATCCTAAACCTGTTGGAATTATGTACGGTTTAAACTTCCAACTGCAGAGCTGCCATTTGCAGTCGTACGTCAACCGACAGAGAAACGAATACCCCACGTTACGTGCTTGGCGGAAGGGATGCAGACAGCGTGTTCCACGATACCCACCACCTCCTCACCTGCAACCCAATTCCACCTATCCTAGGGCTGCCCTCCTCCCTATCATGCGCCTGGCCGAACGTTCTGGCGCTGACAGGAACCCATATATAATTCCCTAGGGGCCTTTGCAAGGCTTACCCCCTCCATCGTCAATAAGGCCAGCAGAGCGCAGCAGACCTCCCGCATGCAGAGAGACCTCCCGAGGATACTACCGCTATCAAACTTTCCCCCCTCCAACCGCCCCGCTCTTATCCCTTACCGTTAACCGGTCGAGGCCTTGGCAGGACTACACACCCTGGCCTTTCACCCCTCAAGGCCCCCTCCTTAGCCCCTCAGGCTCCTCATTGTTCCATAACCCATAACAAGACTCTTCGTCTTGGGCCTTTCTTCTTCACTTCACGCGTCAAGCACACTTCCGCCGATGGCGTGTTTACATCCCACTGCCAGCAGGAAAGCCTTACAGCAGTGTTGTGCCGCTAGACCGCATCTTGGATTGTTCCGAAGCTCCCTGGGGCCTGATACTCCAACGTCAAACCCCCAAACACTGCGGCAGCGGGCCCGCATAGCAGCAACAGCAGCAGCACCTCTCAATGACCACAGCAGCACAACCAGCCGCCCGGCAATTGAAGCCTTTGGGCAATTTTCCATAATATCAAAAGGCGGCAAGACATCCCGGCATCCAGCAACACAAGGCACCCCTGCAAGGCGGCTAATAACAAACCACGAGGGCAGGGATGGGAACGTGCCAAACCAATTACGTAGCAACAGTCTCTTCTCGGGGACCACTGTAACGGCTACTCATTCGTTTGCCAACAACAATCGCAAAGCAGCAGAACGCTACCGCGGGGTCGTGGGTCCTTGCGGAAGCGCTAGCTTGAGAGTTCCGACACCGGTGGTGATGGGATGGCAACGTGGCACCGGCCGCGTTGGTACCGGTATTAAGCAGCGGCGAAATCGCAGCTAGCGGTGTAGCCACCTCGTCTACGTCGGGTTAAGACCCCTATATGTATAATGACCTCATATTCTCGCTTCCACAAATATACAAGCAACAACAGCCATATACAAGTGGACACAAGCTATATGAAACGCACGCAGCAGGCCATGCCGTGACTGGAAATCATGGCAAGGCATATACGGATGTAGCATTCCGCCAGTCCCCTACAATACATATCACATAACGGGCTAGAGCTATACGTTCGGCCGCTGGGTAACAACTCACAAAGCGGATATTACCAATGCACGCAATAAACAACACAACAGAGACGGGGTTTAAGCATTCGTGACCACAATACACAGCACAGCTTTGCAGCGCGCCTCCATGATAGTAGCAGTAGCCCATGGTCGCCATGGGGCCACAACATCACACGTGTTTCCATTCCTCAGCTTCAGTCCTCAACAGGCACACCCTTGCCCACTACCGGCTAAAGCACCCCCGGTATAGGAGCAGCCATTCACCGGTACTCTATTTGATGCGCCCCAGCATGTGTATGTATTTCAACGTACAACAGCCCTATGCATAAAACAATCCCGCAACGCCGCGTGCTTTTCGCGCGCTCCGCAGCACAACCAAACCGCCAAGCTACGCATTCTCCCTCCCCTTCCTTGCCTCGTACCCTCTTACCCACCAAAAGTACACGATTGCGGATGAACGCAGCAAATCTCCATATACCAAGTACTCCAGCTTACCAAACGCACATGGGCTCAAGAAAACACCTGCACCAGAGCGCGGCCCTGATGTGTCGAAGATCACGTGACCGTTAGGAGGCCAGCTTACATCTCAGACGCGCCTCCTGTTGCGCCGCCGTTGCTGCCGCCAGCCGCACCCAGCTGCCGCAACATATCCTCCCACTGGTCAGTGCTTCCCCGCCTTAACTCCCGGCGAAGCGTCTCAATATCCATGGGTGTAGCGCCGCCACCGCTGCCGCCGCTAAAGCTAAAGCTGCCGCCAGCGGCGCCGCCGACGCTCATATCCCCAACGAACGACCCAAAGCCGCCGCGCTCGGATAACAACAACTCCAAGTCCGTGTGACCCGTGGGTCCGTCCACCTCCATACCGAGCGGCCCGCCGACAGCACCGCCCCCCACCGCTCCGCCTTCACAACCAGCTTCCCCCATGCCCGCTGCGCCGTTGACGGCAGCAGCAACGGCAACATCATCAGCACCGCCGTCGCTGAGGCTCTCCCTACGTCTCCGGCGGCTACTACCGCTCCCGCTTGCGGTGCTGCCACCGGCGCCCAACCCGCCCACGGCAGTAGGCACGACGTCAGCGTCGACGTCGATTTCGTAGCTTGGCAGCCGGCCGTCAGCAGGGGAGAGTTCCGCCGCACCATGGGACGGGAAGCCGGTGGGAGGATCGGGGTAGATCGGACCATCAGCGGCGGCGGCATGCGAAGACGACAGGGGACCCGGCCGAAGCGCGTCGTACGGGTGCGGTTGCGGCTGAGGGCCGGGTGCCTCGAATGCTTGCGGCAGCACATGCTGGGGGTGCTGTTGGTGTTGTTGTGCATTTGCATGCTGAGACTCTTGGCAACCTTCTCGTTGCATGGCGCTGGGATCGTCCATGTCGTCGTCGCATGCCGGCGCGGCCGGAGGTGCCACATCATGCGGGATGGCACAGGTAGGCGCGCCGCCGCCGCCGCTTGCAGCTCCACTTGAGGCAGCAGCAGCAGCAGATGCGTCAGCAGCAGCAGCAGCAGCCGAGGGTGCAGGGCCCGGTGCGAGGACGTGTGTGGAATCCTGGAGGATGTGGGGGTGTGGTTCGGAAGCCGGGGTAAGGAGACGGTGAGGACTGGGGGTACCTGAACGGTCGCTCCCGTTACGGAGCCGAAGACCCTGAGCGGGGTGAAGGGGCGGGGGCAGGAAGGAGGGGAAAATGAAGATAAGTGAAACACGAGGAGGAGGGGAAGGAATGGGTGGGCGGGTGATAAGGGGTGGGAAGGGCGGGGCATGGATAAAGAGCAGGGCAGGCGAAGGGGTTGAGGAGGGGAGAGGAGTTGGGTAAAAGGCGTGTCGGACAACCGTTGCAGGTGGTGGTATCCTGTAGTGGGATGCGTGTCTGCTCATATGGCTCATAAGCGCGAAATGATGCGTTGGGAAAGGCGGAGGGGTACGTTGAGGCCTCGTTCATTCATGGGCTGCTGCTGGCAACATCCGTGTAAGATTGATACAAAGCATCGAACATCAGGCATGGTACCAAACATAGTCCGGTAGATGAGCAGCCCACTATATGACGTCCAATGCTTGCATGTGTACGGTACCCCATGAAACGTTTCCTAACCCTGCAGCTCAACCCCCATGCATCAACCTGCCCAGATACCGATAACCCCCTCTTTCCGCACCTGCAATGAGGCCAGCGTATCAGGCGGAGGAGAGCTGCGCTCCGGGCCCATGCCAGCGCCGCCGCCGCTGCCTCCGCCATAGCCGGCGCCCCCGCAACCAGGGCCGCTGTCGTTGCTGCTGCCGCTTCGCTGTGCCTTGCGAACCGGTTGCATGTGCTCCCAGCCCTGCTCTTGCAGCTGCGCCGCCGGCCCTTGCGGCTGCTGCGGTTGGTGCGGCTGCATGTCTGCACGGCTAAAGTGCTGCGGCGGCGGCAGCGACGGCGCTGCTGCGCCGGCCGACGGCCATTCGCCGCTTCCTGAAGCAGCTCCGAATCCGCCTCCGCCGCCGTACAAGCCGCCGCCACCGCCGCCGCCGCCGTTGGCCGGGAGGCAGCCGCGGCTAGACTGCGGCAACGCGGCGGCGCCGCCAGCAGGATCGCAAGGCAGGCTTGTAGCAGAGCCCGAACGTACATGCGCCCCGGCGGCTCCGCAGCCGGCGTCGCCGCTTTCGCGCAGCATCAGCGGCTCTTCCCGCCGCATCCAGCCGCTGCCGCTGCCAACGCTGCCGCCACCAACCGCGCTCGTAAGCGGGTTCGGGCGGACGGGAGACGCGACGGCGACGCCAACTCCGTCATTGAAGTCACCGCTGCCGTACTGCGCTGGCGCCGGAGCCATCGCGCCGCCAGCTGGGCGATTGCGCATGTCCATATTGTACGGCACGGCGGCGTCGCCATGGGACGGCACATTCGGCCGTGGCGGCGGCGGCGGCGGCCCCGAAACGGCACTGCCGCTTCGCTCCAACCAGCCTGGCGCCGTATTGGCGCCTCCGCCGCCACCTCCGCCTCCGCCAGCGGCGGCGGCCAGTGACGCGAGCTCCGAGACCGGTTCCAAGCTGCCACTTTGCATCAAGTTGTTTGCTTGCATCAGCCTAGCACGACCAGCCGCAATGATCTCGGCAGCAGCGGCTGCTCGTGAGGAGCTCATGAGTGGATTGTACGACGGAGGTCGGCCGGCGCCAAGTATCCCGGCGACATTAGCAGCAAAGTCGTTGCCGAAACGGTTGTTTCCCGCAGCGCGAGCGTTATTACCGCCGCGCCTCGCCGCAGCATCGTCCCAACCTGGAATCCCAATCTGCCCGGGAGCAGATCTTCGGCCCTCGGAGATCATCAGCTGTTGTGGGTACTGCGGCGGCAGCGCTGCCGGCGGCTGCTGTCGGCGACCCGCGCTCAGACCGTCAAGGCTCAACGGCTCAGATCCAGCATTGTTACTGCCGTACCGTTGTGCAACCGACAGCTCCTGAGGATGGGGCATACCTGACGCCGCCATGCTAGGAAAGCTCTCACGTTGCGTGAGATCCATGCTGCCGCCGCTACCAGACAACACGCCGCTGCCGCGGCCGCCAATGCCGCCCTCATTGAGCGACAGGGAGGAACTAAGCAGGCGACTGCCGCCGCCGCCAACACCACCACTACCTCCACCACCTCGTAACAGGCTTGCTGGATTAAAGCGCCCAGACAAGTAATGTGGCTGCTGTTGCTGCTGCTGCTGTTGATGGTGGTGGTGTTGCATGTACGGAGGCGACGGTAACGTCAGCTCCTGGCTGCTTGCTAGCCGGCTCACAGGCCTCGCTGCCCCCAACTGAGCGTCCATAATGGAGGACATACGGTGCTGCTGTTGTTGCCTGTACGGCGCGCCTAGGCTGCTGCCGCCAGAGTTCACACCACCGCCGCCGCCGCTGCCGCCGGCAGGAGAGAAACCAGACACCGGGGCGGATGCAGATCCACGCAGCAACGCACTCACGCCAACGGGACCAGCGGGGTTGTTGCCTTGGCCGAAGAAGCCACCACCACCGCCACCACCGCCACCGCCGCCTCCACCCAACATGCCATCTGGGTTCCGTCGGGCCTCGAACATATGCGATGTTGGATCGGGATGCATGGGTCGGGGCGGAAGCAACTGTTGCCGCTGCTGCTGCTGCTGCAGAAACATGTGTTGTTGTTGTTGTTGCTGCTGCTGTTGGTTGTGCTGGTGTAGGAAAGGGAAGTTGTTACCACGCTGCTGCGGCAGCTGCGGCGGGGGGTAGGAAGGATGTGCCTGCTGTTGCTGTTGCTGGTTGGCTGAGGGCAGGAATTCATGGCCGTGCTGCTGTTGTTGTTGCTGCTGCTGCTGGTGGTAAGGGTGTTGCAGCTGTTGCTGCTGCTGCTGATGCTGTTGAGGCACGAGGTCGCGGCTGAAGTAAGAGCCGGGTTGCAGCATACCCTGCTGCTCCTGTTGCTGCTGCTGCTGCTGTTGTTGCTGCTGCTGAGTCTGCGAGTGTGACCTTCCAGACATGGGCGCAGAGCCCAGACTCGTAGACAGTGCACCGCCGCCGCCGCCTCCTGCCGCCAAGCCAGTGCTACTCAACGTGTCACCGAGCAGCAACAAATCCACGAGTGGATCCAAACTAGCATCGCCCACTGGATCCAAAAGCAGATCTCGATCCGCGCCTTGGATCCCAAGCAACGCCAGTTCCTCTTCTGACAGCTGCTCCTCCCCCAGCGAGGGCCGCTGGGCACTCGAGCCAACACCTGCGCCCACATCCAGTCCCGGCAGCAACCCTCCATGGTTCGTGTCAGCTAGGATCGCGTTCACGCCTGCCGCCATGAGGGCACTGCCGCTGGGGCCGCCAGCGCCGCCGCCGCTGCCGTCAGCGGCTTCAAAATGCATGCGGTCGTATCCGCCGGCGGTGTCGGCAGGCCCAAAGGCGTTGCCTGCGGCTCCAGCAAAACCTACGGCGACGTCGTTGCCGACGGCAGCGGCGTCAACGCCAGACGCGTGGGCGATTCGGTGGTGTTGGTGGTGCGGGTGCTGGGGGGCGAAAGGCAATAACGCTGGTCCTGTTGCCGCCGCCGCGGACTGCTGCTGGTTGGGACTCCGAGCCCCAACACTCTGGACACCGGATGGCGCCGCAGCAGCAGCAGACCACTCCTCATGTCCTCCTCCTCCAACACCTGCAATACCCTCATGTCCTTGCAGTTGCATGAGCCGGTGCGGGTGTTGCTGCGGGTGTTGCTGCTGGTGGTGGGGGTGCAGCCAGTGCGCATCCCTCGCACCACCGCCCATGCCACCGCTACCCGCAGGAGCAGACGACGCATGACCTCCCCTCAGCCCCGGCGACCGCGGTGGTTGTCCCGCCGCACCGGAAGGGCCGCAACCGTACCCGTCCGGTGGAGACACGGGACTCGGAACGCCGCCGCCGCCGCTCTCATCGCCACTGCCGCCGCCAGCGGTGTTGAGGCCGCCCCCAGCCGCAGTAGCGGCGGCGGCGGCGCCTGGCAGCTGCCGCTGCGCGGCGTTGCAGCCGCTGTTACGCCGTACAGACGCCGTTACCGCCGCCGTCGCCGCCGCCCCTTGTGCCATGACCACCTTGCCGTCGGTTATGGAGAACAGCAATGACATGCGCTCCAGCGAAGAGCCGCATCCTGCAGACGGACTCTCCTCGCCGCCGCCAGCACCGCCTTGCGCCGCAACACGCCGGTGATGTGCCGATTGTCGAGAACCGCCGGCGGCGGCGGCGGCGACGGCGGCACCGCTGCCGCTACCGGAGCCCTCCTCTTCAAGGGCAGCCCAGGCAACCGCATCCTGCCCCTTGACCGCAGTAGGCGGGTTGGTATCCGGGCCCGAGGGGTTCACCGCCGCAGCGGCGGCACCGCCGAGAGCCAGCGGCAGACCCCGTGCGGCCCTACCAGCACTGCCGGACTGCGGCGTAGCCCATGGGGCCTTATCCGCTGCAGCTGCTGCTGCTCCTGCTGCGGCAGCCGTCGCAGGTGTTTCTGGAAGGGAGGAGGGATGGTGCGCCGAGCGGCGGGCCGAGGCCGTACCGCCGGCGCCGCCGCCGTCAGCGCCGCCACCTCCGCTAGTCCCTGCGGCGGCGGCTGCGTCACCGGCGGCGGCGGCTGCGCCTCCGTTCTTGGCGGCTTTGGCGGCGCACTTGAGCTTGCGGTTGTAGTTGAGCTTGTAGTTTGACCTGTTGCGAATATATGGAGATACGGAGGGTTCACATGGAGAGGAAGTTGAGTGCTGCGCATGTGTGTATAGCGTGCATTTGCCACTGCGCATGGCTTGCAGGCTCTTGCAAGGATGTGCTTTGTTTGGATGATCGATGCAAATGAATGACCCCGCAGGGTGCCTTAACATGCTGCCTTAACCGCAGGGTGCCATGTCCCGAGCTGAAGCTCAAGGCCACAAACACTATCAAACACCATTCAATGCTCTGTCCCACCATTCCCGGCCCTCTTCATCCCAACCCCCAACCCTCGAGCGCAAGATCCATTCCCCAGCCACTTGTCTACGTGTCCCTCCAAAGCTCCAATGCGCTCCGAAACCGGTACTGCCGGTACTTACTTGCGCAGCTGTTCAAGCTCCTTGTCGAGAGGGTGATTAGGGTCCTGCATCACTCGGCTGTACTCCTCGTCTATTTTGGTAGCAATGTACTGCAAGCATTGTACGACAACACATTGTACGACACACGGACAGCAGCAGGGCGATGAAGCAGGGCGCGGGCAGGGTGGGGTGGGCGGAGGAGTAAGCGCATGCGCATTTTGTCATGGTACGATTGTAAAGCGTAAAGCATATAAAAGGAGTGTCGTACAGCGATCGTACTCTGTCCTGCGGCCGTACACAGAGGCATACGGCGGAACGCATACAGTACTTCATGTTGCTTCCGCGACATACATGGAACGTCACGTCACGCCACAACCCCCAAGGGTTTGGGAGGGAGGGTGGGCCTCGGCGGCGGTGCCGGAAAGCTGCGAGGGCGGTGAAAAGGGGGTGGCGGGGCGGCAGGAGGGAGGCAGGGACGGCATGGGGGCAGGGGCGAGCACCGGGGGAGCAGGGTGCACCCCGGGGGGAAGGGAGGGCATTGGCACATCAGCCGCTTGGACCAAAACATAAATCTGTTGATGTGGTTAGAGGAGAGGTTGGGAGCGACTGAAGCGGATGCAGGCAGTGGCGGCGGGGAGTAGCGGCTGTGGTGGGACATGGATGCTAGGAGCGCATGCGCGCGCAAGGTTTCCTCTAGGGCAGCCTTTCCCACGGGGGCGGCATACCTAGACAAGTGCGCCTTAGCCAGTACGAGAAGGTGTTTTGATGTGTGTCTTTTGCATACACGTCTAGGGTTCCAGTCACAAAAAGGAATACAGGAAAAGGAGCCGGCTGCATGCCACATGCATCAGGAACGCCTTTATGGCGTCAAGTTCGTCTCTGTTGCGTCCCGGCATGCACCGCCGCACTAACGTCACCATACCACGGAACCCGCAACCTCCCTCTACTTACCTCGTACATGCAATTCACCAACCCTCCCACCATCCCACCCAGTGCTGCTTCCACCAAACCCGTAATAAACCCAAATGCCCCGCCCTACACCACCCTCACACACCCCTTGCCCGCCTTCACGCTACCCAACGGCAGCGGCAATGCCGCATGAGACATGACCCACATCCCACATCCCACCACGCATACCACGTCCGTCCCTTGTCGCTCACCTCCCTCTGCGGCTCCGTTAGCCGTGGGTCGTTGGGCAGCGCATCGCGAAGGAACATCAGCGATGCTAGCTTGCGTTGAGGCCACCGAGCAATCTTGAGCTTGTGACAGCGGCGCTTCAGCTTCGAGTGTGCAACTCCGAGTGCTGCCGCCGCGTCGACGCAAGGTAGGTGGAAAACCTGCGTGTGCGGATGAGCGGTGTGGGTTGTCAGTAATCAGGAGTGCGATAGATAACGGATGACGGGTACAGCAAAAGACGTGAAAAGAAAACGGAGGAATAACACACGGTGCGGAAACATTCGATGGACGGAGTAGATAGATAGGTAGGTATTGGGGCGAGGCCGAAGACCAGTAATGCCCCGCATCATTGATATGCGATAGAGTGTCAGAGTTCAAGGTTTAGGCGTTTATGGCGTCCGGACGCGGGCGACAGTAACCACGCCATGCATAAACCGGCAACCCACTACAGAAACCGGTTTCTCCAAATTCCCACAAAGTTGGCATTCCTAGCTTCTTTTCGCGTTTTTCGCTGCTTCCGACGCTGCTCTGGTGCGGGCCGCTATGCGCACGCCTTCCAACCTCGATGCCGCCAACGGTTACCAGGCCATGCAGATAGACGAGACATCGAAGACAGTAAATGCGCTTGACCCACCTTCCGCAGTGAGTCCATGGACAAATCAGGTGCTGTGGCGGTTGCGTCATCGCCACTGTCGCTTCCTCCGCCATCACCCAGACTATATGCCGAGTCGTCGTCTCCGCCACGCTTCCGGCTTGCTGCTCGCTTATCAGCATCCGCCGATTTTCTGCTTTTCACCATTGTGCTGAGGTGGTCTTACAAAACTCCACAAGGGTGCACCGGTATGCCCGCGCACGGACGAGCTCCACGATGGTAACGCGCACGGCCCCAAAATGCAATGCTTTGAGTTTGTACCCACGGAGCCACCAAGTAACCACTGTAAAAGGCCAAGACCAGTGCCGCAAGCTCTGGGCGGCTTGCGAAACCCTTTCTTGGGAAAAGATTTAGTTCAGCAGATAGGCATCTTCCATATCGCCTTCAGGCACCGCCGGAAAGAAGGAGTGCGTAGGGAAGGAGGAGAGAGCTGGAAACTTGTCCTCGCCATCTATGTGTTACTGCAGGCAGCCTATATGTTCGCTGCAAACGGCTTTACTTGTTGAAAATGCTTCCTCAATTCCTGTTGTAAGAAGTGATTAACGTGAAAGCGGGCCCAATAGCTAGACGCTGGCTAAGCCACAATATCTTGGTAGGTACTGCCTTTACGCTATGCTTATATGTACTTGGAGTTTATAATGCTTCTTTTCTTGCGACGAGGATTCATATGCGCAAAACTCGACGGTGTCGTACTTATGCCCCAGACGCATTGCACTGCAAACCGCTCTGATTGTACCTTTTGAGTCAACATTGCTTCTAGTATTAGAATATTGCAGCAGTAAATCATCCTGCTTCGTCTATGGTAAGACTGCGATATTTGCAATGCATGCATCCGATGGTTAAACATGTCGACCCAAATGGCGATGAACCTTCCTTCAGGTTTCCGCAGATGGTGTGACAGCCTTGACCTTCCTTGAATGTCTGGGCATGTCCTTACAGCATGTCATGACCCTTTATTAGGAACGGCCGTGGCAGTGGACGGATAGCCAAATTGATGAAAGATGTCGCTGCATTCGGGCCTGTATAGTATGCATCGTTTCACCCATCCACTAGTCCATCGCTGATATCCGCACGTCAATGGCTAGGCGCGACGGCTGATATGCCCAGCCGTACAAGCCAGTTTAGGGGTTAGGTTGACCAATGCGGGTAGTGCAGCCCCTCCCATGTTTGCGTCGCAATGCATAAAAGAAGGACTCGGACGTTCACAAAGCAACCGTCGAACCCCGAGCTGCGATGATGGTGTTCCCAGGGTGAACACTTCGGTTGCCAGTGAGACGTACGATCCCAACCGCTCGTCACCCGCCCAAGCGCGCCAACCTGGGACCTCGACAGCTCAGCTTCTGCAAATTGGCGCCAGGATTTACGTTACACTTGTACTGCTTTAGTATGATATGGAAACCGTTGATTCCGCTGCTTGCTAAGCACCTGCAAGCAACAGTTTAATAACATGGGCAGCCAGGTGGCGGCGTAACACCAGCTCCCTTAGGGGCTCCTCCTTTTCACTCTGTTTCGGGCGCCAAAGCTCCGACATCCGCAAGCGCTGCGCCCCTTTTGTAGCTGTCCCTGAACCCAGTCTACATGTTTGATACCGTGGCAGAGCTACTTTCCCGACACGCACTTGTTTTGTGGCACCCACCCTGCCGCCTCCTGTTCACATTGCTTAGCCCTAACGTATGGTTTCCTTTAGTTTGGTCTATCTAAGCTTCCTAGCTCCTGCGGCTCGGCATCCCTTTCCAGGCACTTGCAGTGGGCCCCGACGACATGCGCATGTCCTACACCTCCTGGGACCCTCCCGCCGCCGCTTCGTGATACGGCTCGCCACCTGGCCCGATGGCCTCAAATGGACCAAACGCTGCGTGCTCGCCGTACTCGCCGTCGACGGCGCCGCCACCAACTCCGACGACGATGGCGACGGCGCCGCACTCGACGCACTTGGCGCCCCCGCCGCTGTAAGTGTTGTACAAGAAGTTGATAACCGCCAGTTCCTGACTTTTTGGGGGCGATTGCAACTGACAACTGCCGCACCATTTGGCTGGCGATTTCAAAGGAGGGTCACACGTTGCGACGCTAGGGTGCGGCTGTGCTGGAGGCCGCAGGAGGGCCGGCGGCGGAGGCAGGAGGCAGGAGGCGCGTGGGATGCTGGCGATCTTGGCCGTGTGCTTTGTCGATGGCGGAGGGGCGATGTGTCGGCTGTACTACCGTACGCCGGGAGACGGCAGAGTGCCACCATGCCACACGTACCGGTTTGCTCCCCTGGGGCACAGAGGCTAGGTAAAAATGCCTGACTCAGCCAGCCAATGATTTCCAAGCGTTCTTGGGTTTCTGCTTTGTACATACCGGTACATGGGAGGTGCGGCCCATGCATGCACGTACCAAGCCACTGCACACACTGCCCCGCGCTGCCTGCCCGCGTTGCACAAAGAGCAGCAGCATCGCAGCTGGCACATCGCATCTAATGCAGCGTTGCTTAGTAAGCCGTAAGACACTTCATCCATCCATGCCGCGGCGCCTGCTTTACCGCGATATGGCTGCACCCCCTCCTTTCGGGAGCTCTTTTCTTCATCCTCCTGCTGGTGCCGTACTGCTCAGTTGGACACGTCATGGCCGGCCAACACGGCCATGCTCGCATCCGTCTCGGATGCGCCGAGACCTGGGCAGCACCAACAAGTAGATGCATGGCACTGCTGGGGGCTCTGAAACACGACAAGTATGGACAGGGGCTTACATGGGCAAGCCTGATCCCGGCCTGCTGCCTCTCCTCGCCTCTTCTGGCCAGGAGAGATGCTGGCGTGCGTACATGGTACTGCGTATGCTCCTTGCTCCCTGCGCGATCCGGGTGGCCGGTTGCCTGCCTGCGTGACCAAGGTGTTTTCTTCATCTGCATGACTCGGGGGTCTGGAAACTCACACGATCCTCACGAGAGGAGGCGCGGAAAGCTCCAATCAGGGCACCTGCTCCTGCCGGGCCTTAGATCATGCGGTCAGGGCGAGGTCTACAGCTGGCTCATGCTACGTATGCACGTACGGTGCGGTTTGGCTTCTAGGAAACGGCAGTAGTTCAGGATATTGTGCAGTGTGTGACTAAGAGAGGAGTTCTCAGCGCTGCGTGCAGTCTTCGACCGTCGTCGGCGGCTGCACTACGAAGAACGAAAGCACGCGGTGGGTTGAGGAGCTGGAACGCAAGCAAGGAGCACGTGGTGGTACCTCGGCCAGCATTACATAACTTTATTGTTTTGCTTGAAACGGTTAAAGGTATTGGCCCGCTGCCAGGCGACAGTGCAATGGGCACAAATGGCCCCTGGGACGTGTGAGATTCACCCCACGCGGTCCCAATTATCGTGCAGTGCCCTCGCCGAGTTGTGTGGCTCAATACGCAAAACCCTAAGAATGCCCCTAGGCAACCGCATAAGCATATATTTGTCCAGGGTCGCAGCATAAAGAGAGCGCCATGAAACTGTAACGGGGGAGATGGCCTACGGCGGCAATCACTCAACGACAACCCTGCTTGTAGGGGCGTCTGCTTCGCGGCCCAACCAGTTATTACACAACATAAAACATAACAAAAAATTAATCGTGGAAATGTAAGGAACTCACATGAAGTGATACACTTTGATACGCGCAATCTAGACCGTTGGGAGCCTTTGCCAGGACAAATCTCCTCCTGCCGTACACTTTTCACATAATGAAGACGCAGTCACTTGAGATGGTGAGGCAAGTGACCTGCCAAACCATAGGTTGAAATTCAAAACACGCCTATTCCTGAATTCGCACTGCTCATCCACAAGCGTTTCTTGCGTTTCGGTGTCCCTGCTGCGATTTTCGCTGGGATTGATCACCGGGATACGCCGATAGTATAATAGGCATCACAATAGTGAGAGCTGGGGCCTCTTGGCGATAGACTGCATGCATACGTTCACGACCTGCGGTTGACTTGCGAAAGTTTGGAAAGGAAGCATGCAAGCCCTGTGCCCGAACAAGGGCCGGTGGCGCTCCTTGGAGCTATTTACTTCGAACAGGTGTGTTCCTAGGTACATCTGTGAAAGGCGGCGACGTTGGGCGTTGCGCAAGGCACTTTTTCCTCTGCAATAGCCTGATGAGTATACTTTGCCAATAATGCTTTCTGTTCAGCTTGACTTTGTTAAAAGTATTTTCTTCAGTGCGTCCGCGCTTTGCAAGGACCTGGACTTTTTTTGGATGTTGTCTGCTGCCGATGGGGCAAACTTCCCCTAGGGTTTGTATGCTTAGGGCCATGAATGCTAAATTTTGTAATAAGTATACTATAAGCCATTCCCATCGCTTGCATCTCTTCTTTCCCCGTCGCAGGCAAACCTGGGGGCCCGGCCAAAGGCCGCCTCACCGCCGACAGGGCTTCGCTTACCCGCCGCTAGACCTGGTTTGCAAGCGGCCCTCAATAAACGCACCTTTTTATGGTTGTGTGCACGCTCAACCTTCAGACCGGTTATCGTTGTGCGCCCTGGCCGCTGCTAGTAAACCATGCCTGCAGGCATCGCAGTCCTTGACGCCACCGTTCCAGGTTAGTTTATCATATTGCGTTTAAACATCAGGCTTGTTACTATCCCATCCTTTTTTGTCTGCTCGTGGGTTGCTGTTGAACTCCATGGCCCCAGTCGCCCCCGCACTTGCCCCCCGCACCTTCTGTCGCTCGCCAACGCCGCTGCTCTCTCCAGTTCACGGACTCTGCCTCCTCTAAACCCCACTAGCAGCCTTTGTGTTTGCCCCGGATGCCGCCATCTTTTCTTACCTTTTCCCCCGCTTGTGCTGCTGACCACATCCCATCCAGTTGACGGACTGCGGGTCGCTTCCCTCGGCAGCCGACGTCCAGGAGATGCTGCCCAACCTGACTCCCAAGCAGCTCGCGGACGCCGTGTGGTGCTTCGCGCAGCACGAGGTGAAGCCCACTCCGGAGCTGATGCACGCGGTGGCGCAGGAGATACACAGCAAGCTGCTGCAGTTCAGGTGCGCGGAGAGGGGGGGGGCGGCAGGGGCGGAGCGAGCATGGGTGGTGCTTATGGGGGGCGCGGTTGCCAGGGGAACTGATATCGTGGGTTTCCTGAGTAGCGCTCTCGCAACTGATTTCCCGGCGCGGGGCATGTGCGTATGGGAGGCGCCGTAGCATGGCTTCCTGAGTAGCGCTCTCGCAAGGCAACTGGATTCCCGGCGCGCCCAACGGAAGGTGACTGCATGCAACCCTCATCCGCGCTTCCGTACTCCGCAGGGCCCAGGACCTGAGCAACACGTTGTGGGCCTTCGCTATGCTCAAGTACCAGCCCACGGAGCAGTGGTGGCGCGATTTCGAGCGGCAGGTGTACGGCAACCTAACCGACCTAACCGACCGGCAGTTGGCCAACCTGCTGTGGGGCTTTGCGGTGCTAGAGCGCCGCCCGGCACCCGAGCCCTCGTCTGCTGCTGATGCTGCTGCTGCTGCTGCTTCAGGGACGGTCGCGGAGTGCAGCCCCGCCTCCCCCTACTGCCCCGATCGGCCCGGCTGGGTTCTGGGTCCGCTGCTGGCTCGCAGCTGCGCGGGCGGCTTCTCCGGCTTCTCCGCCGGCAGCCTGCACCTGCTGGTGTGGTCGCTGGGGAAGCTGCACCACGCGCCGCCCGCCGCCTGGCTGGGCGGGTTCCTGGCGGCGGCGGAGGCGCACTTCTTCCGATTCACGCCCACGGAGCTCGCCAACATTGTCTGGGCGCTGGCAAAGCTGGGTGAGCGGGGGGAAGCGGGGGAAGAGGGGAGAGACTTCAGGGGAGTCGGGGACGAACAGCCGGGAACACCGCTGTTTGGATGGTGGCGGTATCTCATGGTACATCCTCATCCCTTTCCATCCCAGCTGAGTCATGCGCCCGTGTTTGTTCCCCCGTCCCTCCCACCTTGCCCGCCCAGGCTCCTCCGTCCCCTCCGCCTGGCTGGACAAGCTGCTGCTGGTTGCGCAGTGGCGCTTCCCCTCCTTCCCCGCGCGCCTGCTGAGCATCGTTGCGTGGAGCACCGCCACTCTGTCGCACCGGCCGCAGCAGGAGTGGCTGCTGTGCTTCGAGGAGCAGGTGCGCGCCAAGTTCCTGGACTTCAGCGGCCACGAGCTGGCGTGCGTGGCCTGGGCGCTGCGGCGCTTCGGCTATCCCACGCGGCACAACGCGGTGTTCTACATGCTGCAGAAGCAGCAGCGCTTCCTGGACGCGGACTTTGAGGTGCTGTCCAACCCCAAGCTGCTGAGACAGGTGCTGGGGTGGAAGGGCGAGGAGGCGGAGGAGGCGGCAAAGACAGGGCAGGGAGAGGGGGAGGAGGGCGGCTTGGGATAACACTAGCAGCAGCGGAAGGGAGGCGTCTTTGTGGGATCAGGGCGAGAGGAAGGGATTGCCTTGTTGGTGCTGCATTGCTACTTCTCATGCAGCATCAGAACGTGTGTTGCACAAGCGTGCATGGCAGGAGGCGCAATGCCTTGCGTTCCGGAGAGGGTATGGGGCTGTGTTGGGAGGGCCTTATTTTGTTACGCAGACCAAGAGCGTTGTTGTCTTTTTCCTCGTTGCGTCACAACCCGGTGCGTTTCAATCATCATTGGTTGCTGGCCCTAGGCCGCGGTTTTATTGGGATTCAAAATCGGTTTGAACTAAATGAGGATGCCCGGTTCCGGTAAACCACGCCCAAACAAGGGATCTTCCAAAAACGCGAGGGAGCGTGTAGAGCCTCAAGACGCCGGTCGCTGCACATGTCTGTGTGGCTTGAAGGAGTTTGCGCTTTGTGCTTGCGTGAGCGTGAGGCGTGGAGGTAACGGACAGGCCCTTGTCGCGGGAAGCGAGAGAGAGGGAGAGAAAAGGCAAGGAAGAAAACGAGAGAGACAGCTGCGAGTTGTGCATGGCTTGGTTGCAGCTGCAGCAGTTGCTTGTGAGGAGAGGGCGCCAGTTGTTTGGATGCATGGTGGCCCGTGTTGGGAGGCGGTGCAGGCTGACATGGGCTCCTGACTTGCCTTTCCATGTGACCCATGGGTCACATTGTTGAGCGGTATGATTTGGGTTGCAAATGGCCATGGGCCGGTGCCGTAACGACCTATGTAGGTTGTTAGTTGTGTAGATACGGTAGGTAGGTAGGTAGGTAGGCGTTTGGGATTCAGCACAGTGGGATTGGTGGGCTTTTGGCTTCTTGACGAATTGCGTTGCAGTCATTCCAGTATGTTTTCGTCATCAAGATGGCGCGTAGCAGATACAAGGGAGACGTACTTTGGGGTTGCTGGTATTGTTTGGGTTGAGTTAGATGCGTTGGTAAGGAACTTGAAGCGCATGGGTAAGGGCAGCCGGCGGCCGACTCCTGCATTTGAATATGCATTTTCGCAGTAGTTTACCAGTTCCTTGAATGGCGCTCGTTTTCAGAAGATTGATACTGCGTGTGTGTGCTGCTGTGTGTGTCATTCTTTCTGTTCATTGTTGTAGATGGAGGGGCTCTTTCTGGTGTCCCACTGCTCCTGTTGAGAATCAAGGGGCGAGGAAGAAGCTGCTGCATGTCTCGATTATAATAAGAACTTCTTTTGGGGGAGTGTTGGAAGGCTGAGCTTGTGACGCAGCATATTGGGCCTTGAGCCACGCTGCAGGGTAGCCAGACTTCAGCCGAGCACAGAGAGTGGCTAACAGATTGAGTTAGCGCCTCATTTGGCGCCCAGGATGTATAAAAGAGCCCAAGCTGTACTTTCTGTGTTGCTTGTGTGTCCTTGCGTGTCATTGCGAAGATGGGTTATGTGTTGGGATTGCTTTTGGGATTGCGGCGGTGGCTTTTGTGGGACGCATCCGGGCTGCACACCCGCGACTGATCCTGTTGTGTCGCAAGCAGATGGTCACATGGCGGAGCCGCTTCTTTCCTGTTGAAGTCCGCGCATCCATGGAAGCCCCCATGCATTGAGCGGCGCATGATGGAGAACGGCCCAGAAGCGAGGGTTGTGGGTCGTGTTCGACCGTGCAGGCGCGGTATTGCGCCGAGGGGGAGGGCGAGCAGCTTTTTGAGAACCTTGTTTTGCTGCTGTTGCTGCTGGCAGAGGGCTGGGCGGGTCGTTTGCGGTTGCGGTTGCGCTGCTTCTGAAGTACTGATGCAAATCGTCAAGTAGGTATTCTGGTTGTTGGCGTTCCCGCAGCATTCCGTCATCTAAAAGCAGAAGATTTTTTACCTCGTGGGCATGCATGCGGAGCACACGGTAGTTTCTGGGCTGATATTGTGGTTATCGGTGGACCGTTAGCCAGGGGTTTGGCTCCAATCTCATCTGCAAGGGGCTCCAGTGAGACCCTGTGGCATGCCCTGTGTTTTCCTTCTCCCATGCGAGTGAGTGAATGAGAGTGAGTGTATCTCCGTTGTTCGTAGCGCTTTAGGCCTTGACCGTATGAGATGTCGGTAGTGTCGAAAGAGCAGTATGAACGCACCAAAGAGGCAAAGGGTCGCGGATCAAATTGCAAACGCGTCCCCTGGCTTAGGAAAATGGAGTACTACAGTTGGTTAGATTCTGGTTTGCTTGTTGGAAAAGAAAGCATAACTTGTTTGCGAGAGGAGTGTTTAGTTGCCCATCGTATCTCGTCATGTATCATCCTGGGTATTGGAGACACCACAAAGAAGTTTACGGAATTCCTTGTAGGATTTTGTGTCTTGGCACTTGGCGATGGTTGGCGGTAGGCTTTGGGGCGCGTATCCGGTGCCTGCCGTTTGACTAGCAGCGTTTAGCAGCAGTGGCAGTTTAGCTGCTGTCGTCGTTGCTGTCAGGCAACGACCTCGAATATTCTCGAGCGCTTGTTTTGGGGTTGCACACTAGACGCTACGCCCATGCAGGCTAAGAGCTTTGTTGCCTGTCTTTCAGCGGATGCTTGCGGGCAATCAACGCAAGGCGCTTGCAATTGGCCTGCTACGCCGGCCGATGCGTTTTTTTGGTGTGCACGCCCCTGCGTTGTCACTCAAGCGGGGCTAGCGTGTACGGCGCGTCCCGTATTTTTTCGTTGGGGTTTTATGCGTTGCCTTGAAGGGAAGGAGGGTCGGGATAATGGTCGCGGTGGCACGGCTGTTGCGTAAATCATTTGAAAAAGATTCTTTTGGGAAACGGTTATCCGGGGAGGGGCTGCACGTTGGGAAAGCCGTAGCAACGGAGTGCCCATCGCCCGTGCGGCTTTCTGGCGTCGTGCATGTGCCCTGTAGAACCGTCGATACAGCCTTCTGAGCAGTGAAAACTCTCGGGAGTCAAGGTACGCCGGCTTCGCCCCATCCTAAAGTTCGACTGGGCCTGCGCCGGTTCCTGTGTTTCACGACGTGGCCTATTAAATATTTCAATGGTGCCGTACTGGCACCTTTTTATATGGTTGGCTGCCCCTGCCCGGGTTTCATTTGCAATTCAACGCGAAGAAGATTTTGAGTAAAACGGTAGGAGGACTTCAGTAGTTTAGCATGGTAGCTAAGACCGCTGGGCCATCGGGTTGTTACCGTTTTAACGCACTCATCTATCGCGGTGGTGGTGGGCGTTCGACAGCGAAGCATGGGAAATGCGTTAGAAGAAATTTGCACCTTGCTGGCAGCCTATGCATCTACTTGTGCACGCTTGGTAGGTAGCGGCGAGGATTTGTTTTGCTCCGCATGGCAGGGAATCTTTCGTGTGTGTTATTGCTTTGGGCATATTGTTTTGGCCTGCTTGTTTCTAGCACGTGGTTGCAAGTGAGTGACGGCCTCAATTGTATCATTCCACACGACGTTTTCCGTGGAAAATTGCAGTTACCGGTATCCTCGGATTTGCTACTGCTGCTGCCACGCTTGTCATGCACCTAGCGGTCGTGTGGCGCTTTAAAACGGTGTGTTCCCCAAACAGTTTGTGTAGCAACCTGTAAAGGGCTTTTCACATACTAACCGTGCTACATACTAACATGTGCCTTGCCTCCAAAAGCTCCTGGCGTCCTTTGGGTTACAGGGTTATTGGCAACACGCGGGAGAGATGTTGTTGGGACATCATCTCATTTGCTGACGAATGTGAAATTGATTAATCATGAAAGTCGTGAGCAGCGCTCGCAAAACATCTTCAGTGCACGAAAGGCACGTTTGGGGCACGGAAATACCAAGTACGCCGCGGATCAAAGAGGCAGGTAGCCAAACGCAAACTGCACGGCCTCCAAGATTCCATTCAGGCATACATGTGCCGTTCACACCATCCGCCAGCATGGTTATTGTTGCTGTTGAATGTGTGCAGGGGAGTCTGCCTCCAGCACCACATGTCCAGCACAGGACGCAAGGCAGCAGCAGAACACATTTTTGACTGTCTGTCGCCCGGTGTATACAACAGGAGAAACAAGCAAACCATCATCCAAGGCTCAGCGCAAACAGACAAACATCATAGCAAAGCAAGCAACAGTGGCTGACAAACACTCACTTTTCACCCAACAAAGTAACGCTTACTAACGACACGTACACTACTAGAAGGAATCGCAGGGCTGTGTACGCTGTCCGCACACACTCCCCTACAAGGAAACATGTATAAAATACGCGTGCATACGTGGGCATGTAACTATGTAAATTGTGAAAGGATGGAGGCGCGCACGCGGTCTCCACCAGGACGCATGCGTGAGTGTAGTTGGCACACGCCAATAGCATTGCGAGACCCCCAAGGTACCGACCAGTAATGAGTCACACACCACTTACGGCAAAACGGTAACGCTATAAAGGCAAACACGCCCTCTTGGCAAAGGGGCAAGCCAGCTCTGTACATGTGACCCAAACTGCAACCTGAGAGAACAGGACCGACAAAGGAAGCTGTGTGCACTTCAGCCTGCCGCACCCCTCAAACAAATCGTACTCAACCAACGACTACCATGCGACGCAGGAAAACCGTAACAAACCCACCACAACAACCGCAATATCCCTTGTATATTATTAACCCAAACAGGATGTGGCAGTTCTAGGCGGAAAAACCAAACGGTCGGTCGTTATCTATTTCTTGACAACCGCAATGCAGTACCTGACTCACCTAACACTATGAACCTCACGGGAAATGCAGCCCAAGACAGAGCACACGATACCAATCGGCAGCGTGCACGGTTATGGCATACACCCCGGAAAAGCGGCGAGCAACAAAGAATGTCAGGCGGTGCTAAGGCCACAACCTTTTTGCCAAACCAGGCCACAAAGCAAGCCCGGCAGAACATGCGGCTACCATTGTCGCCCATCATACGCTTGCACAAACCAAAACACAAAACCGTCATGTATAATCGTAACGAATACTTCCACTATACAGCCGAGGTATACGTATCACTCAACCAAAGCCGCACACGGCCGCAAGGCAATCCTGCTGACCCATGGGTCATTCCCCGCATGCATATGCGTGGACGGAGTCCTCCTCAATACCCACAATGACGACTGGCATTGCGGAACAAATACAACACCCAGTATAGCACTCTTGTTTGTGATATAGAAGCATCATACGTGGGCCCTGCGGAAGAACCCAACAAACAGCCGGCTTAGTAGGAATCCCCCACCCCAACATCACTACTCAACCATACCCTTTGCACGCACACATGCGCACACGCACGCTTGCTAGAACCCACATGCTGTACACCTCTCGCCCCCATGCCGCTTGGGCCGCACGGCTTGCCAGCAGACAGCAAGCCGGAACGCGCAGGCCAAGTGGTCTACTTGTGCGAAAATTGCTTAAGCAACGACGGTCGAACCTCTGATAACCACCAGGCTATGTATGCGACTATGCCGAGTGTAAACTGCATCCCACCCATCATAACAGCTCCGCGGTCCTGTTGGCTAGACACACACCATCAACCGCGGTCGGGCACATCATAGAAATCGGGCTCTGAAACCTCATGTGGGAAAGCTCTACGCCTCCGCCCTTGCACAACAATCAGCGCTATAAGAGTCGTCCAAAGCAACGACACAACCGTATGAACAGAGTCATTTTGTACTTGAGTCACATCATTGTACTACCATGTGATAACGCGCTAGGTGGGGTCATGGCAAGGCATGCCGTTGTGTGGGCGGGAAGCGTTTGCGCGCACACACATACACACAGCGGGGGAGTAACTAGGCCTGTATAACCCTCCACACGGAAACGCAAACGCTATCCGCAGCCACGTGTATCCCACGCGCAAGGAAACACCAGGCTCGCTGCCCACGACGAACCACTCAGCCACAGCGCCCTGTGAACAGACAGCATGTGTCACATGTACCCCGGGATGCCGATATCGATACTAGCTACGTGAGACAGTTAAATGCACCCACAATTCCTGGAGCGTCGGCTTGGAGCATCGCCCTGGACACCTGAACATACCCACACTGTATAGGCTATATCGTACTCACCAACTACATGCCACATACCCTCAGGGGCAGTCGAGCAACCGCTCCTTACGTGTAAATAAACGTTCGCGGGATACCCAACTGGCAACATCGCGACCGCAAACCTGTCGCCACCAGCGCTCGTAAACAAAGCATCACCACTACCACCAACTCACATATCGCCCACACACATCATCCACACAAAGCAACTACTTGTCATCCTGGAAGGGTGTAGCAAGACAACGACACGCTTCCCCCCGTGACAAATACCACAAACACTTTCTTCGTTTGTGCATATGATCAACATCATATCCTTTTGTCTTCTTCTTTTTCACCTGCCCTACCACCACAGACACTTGGTAACAAAACCCTGCACCGATCCAATTGGAAACACACGTCTGCTTTGCTCGCATGTCCTGTACAAAGAAAGAGGTTTAGGGTGAACCCTACCCTAAAAGTTCTACTCCCCCTCTATGCCTCGTAATGCCTCTTATACATTATGTATTGCATGGATCGTGCGAAAGCGGTTACCCCCACAAGTATGCAGCTTATCATGCTCCCACATCCGCTCCTCACCCACGCCCACAAGTTTCGCTTCTGTCATGCACACTTCGACCCTTCTCGCATGCACTATCCCCCAGGATGTATAATTACCGAGAACTCCGCCGTAACGCGGCAAGGAGCGTCTGCGTGGGCTTCATAACCGCGTAAACGTAGCCTCTTTGAGAGGCAACGGCGCAGTCATGGTCAAAGGAAAGGCTCACCCACACCGGATGACGGTCCAAATTAGGCGCGTGCCAACGCCGCCAAAACCACAAACCTGAGTGCTGCTGCTAGTGTTATCCCAAGCCGCCCTCCTCCCCCTCTCCCTGCCCTGTCTTTGCCGCCTCCTCCGCCTCCTCGCCCCTCCACCCCAGCACCTGTCGCAGCAGCTTGGGGTTGGACAGCACCTCAAAGTCCGCGTCCAGGAAGCGCTGCTGCTTCTGCAGCATGTAGAACACCGCGTTGTGCCGCGTGGGGTAGCCGAAGCGCCGCAGCGCCCAGGCCACACACGCCAGCTCGTGGCCGCTGAAGTCCAGGAACTTGGCGCGCACCTGCTCCTCGAAGCACAGCAGCCACTCCTGCTGTGGCCGGTGCGACAGAGTGGCGGTGCTCCACGCAACGATGCTCAGCAGGCGCGCGGGGAAGGAGGGGAAGCGCCACTGCGCAACCAGCAGCAGCTTGTCCAGCCAGGCGGAGGGGACGGAGGAGCCTGGGCAGGCAAGGTGGGAGGGACGGAGGAACAAACACGGGCGCATGACTCAGCTGGGATGAAAGAGGATGAAGCAGTAGCAGGAGCAGTAGTTGGCATACCGCTAACAGCCAAACGGCGGTATAATGCATTGCAGCAGTCTGCCCCGAGTCCGCTCCTCTCCCCGGAAACCTCTCCCTGCTTTCCCCTGTTCCCCGCTCACCCAGCTTCGCCAGCGCCCAGACGATGTTGGCGAGCTCCGTGGGCGTGAAGCGGAAGAAGTGCGCCTCCGCCGCCGCCAGGAACCCGCCCAGCCAGACGGCGGGCGGCGCGTGGTGCAGCTTCCCCAGCGACCACACCAGCAGGTGCAGGCTGCCGGCGGAGAAGCCGGAGAAGCCGCCCGCGCAGCTGCGAGCCAGCAGCGGACCCAGAACCCAGCCAGGCCGATCAGAGCAGGAGGGGGAGGCGGGGCTGCATTCCGCGACCGTCCCTGAAGCAGCAGCAGCAGCAATCCCCTCCTGGGGTGCATCAGCAGCAGGGGGCTCGGGTGCCGGGCGGCGCTCTAGCACCGCAAAGCCCCACAGCAGGTTGGCCAACTGCCGGTCGGTTAGGTCGGGCAGGTTGCCGTACACCTGCCGCTCGAAGTCGCGCCACCACTGCTCCGTGGGCTGGTACTTGAGCATGGCGAAGGCCCACAACGTGTTGCTCAGGTCCTGGGCCCTGCGGAGCATGGAGGCGCGGATGAGGGTTGCATACAGTCACTTCCGTCGGTCGCGCCAGCAATTCAGTTGTGAAAGCGCTACTCAGGAAACCCACGATATCAGTTCCCCAGGCTACCGCGGCCCCCATACGCGCCCCCCATGCCCGCTCCGCCCCTACCGCTCCCTCCTCCGCGCACCTGAACTGTAGCAGCTTGCTGTGTATCTCCTGCGCCACCGCGTGCATCAGCTCCGGAGTGGGCTTCACCTCGTGCTGCGCGAAGCACCACACGGCGTCCGCGAGCTGCTTGGGAGTCAGGTTGGGCAGCATCTCCTGGACGTCGGCTGCCGAGGGAAGCGACCCGCAGTCCGTCAACTGGATGGGATGTGGGTCAGCAGCACAAGGGGGGAAAAGGGTCAGAAGAGATGGCTTCGTCCGGGGCATACAGAGAAGAGAGGAGGCTGACGGCCCTTATGCCACGCTATGTTGGTATGTGCGATAGGATTAAGGCACTTAAGGCACGATGGAAGAAAGGAAGAGAAAGAGGCGTATCGGGATCAATTTAAGGTGTCCTGGGAAAGAAGCCCTGCAAGGAAAGGTTGTGTACCGTGTAAACTCCAGCATGTGAGCAGCTTACGTGCCCACGCAGGCACAGGCAAGTTACGATACAGCTGTCGTTCGGTAATTATCACAGGCCAACAGGAGACACGAGTCGAAACGCAAGATCTAAATTACCGAGACGCATAAAGTGCATAGAAAAGCATCAATATGGCGCGTACCAGGATGAATTGTGCCGGCCCCGACGAAACGGTTGGTGATGATGCACTCGTGGTAGCCCGCCGCGTGGCCATACAGACGACATCCGCTCTTCGCTCATGCATCGACGTGGGTATCCTTGCAGCGTGATGGCCACAAACGTAAAGGATATCCCGTGGCTGTGCCCTCCGTGCATTACCCGCAGAAGGAATACACCGGGAAGACGGTAAGACAGCCCTACACAGCAGCATAGGAAGCTGTTTAGGCAAGGAGCTGAAAGGCAACGCAGGTTTCCTCTTGCGGGACGACTAACTGCAGAGCCCGAAACTGCAGGTCATACCAGACGTTTCTGAACGTCGCAGACATTTTGAAATTATATATAATGATCACACTTAAAGTCCTTCCGCAACTCCTTGATGTTTGCAATAGGGCTATATGACTGCAGGACTCCATGGTGCATGCCAGGTGCCAGTTCGCAAGCTACCTCTTCGCAAGCTACCTTACAAACACCAACATCCAAACACATACCTGTAGGGTGCGCAAACTATATCCTGCCCGCAAGGGTGTCCGACTGTGTGCCCCGAGGCAGAGCTTAGGCAGCTCCGCTGCATGCTCGATAATCACGCCTATGTTACTGGGCACAGATGCACTCACGTAGCTTACAAACTCAGAGCTTCAGGTTCAAGCCTCTGCTCCCGGAAGGACCTTTCGTGCCCCTAGAGGCGTTGTACTGAATAAGATAATCTCAGGAAAGAATGTTAAGCTATGCTATACAAGACACACTCTGACGCCAGGGGTGACATCTTACAGGATGAGTGTCAACTAGTATGTAAATCCTTTATGACATAGTACCGGTACCGGTGTTGTACAGTGTAAACCCGCGCGCTTCAATTATCACTTTGCATATTGCATCTCTCTCATTTAATATACAGTAGGTTCTTCATGGAGCACGTCTTCATGCATTAGGACAAAGGGCCAGTGTTGCTTCACACACGTGAATGGTGCACAGGGGTTACGCTCTTCTCGGCATAGGCGTGCTTTGCTGCCGCTTTCTCAGTTATGAAAGTGTATATGACCAAATCACGCAATGCTCTCGTCTGTATCGTTCCGAGTGCAACTTTGCGTTTCCATTGACCACAATGTGCAGTTTCGCCGCTGTTCACCAAAAGCCCCGCGCAGACGAATACTGGCCTATACCTTGCAGCTGCTAACTGAAGGAGCCCGAAGATAATACCCCGCATCTAACTGTAACTTTAGTCATGGATGGCCAGAAAAGGCGCTCGCCTCCCTACTGGCAGCGCGCTCTGGATACTGACAGCTTATAGACTGTGTAATCCCACCAATCACGTTGTTACAGGGTTACACGGAATACACAACCGCTGCAAACCCTTTCAGCATACGCAAACCTGCCAAAATAGGGACCCTCAACCTCGACTTCCTAACTAGCCTTCCTCCCCGCTTCAGGACCAAAGTCCCTACAGCCCGCATGCTGCTTGTCAATAAGTCACCAGCCAGCCCCTAGTTCTTCATCCATGCATAGGGACGCTAGGTAGGGCAGCACCCATGGCATTTCAAAACAGACTACAACCAAGCAGCACCGCCGAACAGACGCATGGCAGCTGCCAGTCAGTGTCCCGTCCCTCCTCGCTCACCCCCGCGGCCCAGCTCTAAACGCATGGTACCCTGCCAGCCCCGCAGTCTCTCCACCGCCGCCGCCGCTGAACCTCCGCACGCCACTGGCAGGCCCCCCGCCGCCGCCACCACCATATGCCGCCGTCGCCGCCGCTGGCGACGGCGTCAGAGCCTCCGCCAGCGCATCCGCCCCCCGGCTGCTTACCACATGGTGCGCCAGCTGCAGCGCATCCGCCCAGGCATCCGCGGTGTCTGCATCCTCCGCCACCAACCAAACACAGCAGCAGGGGGGTGCGCAAGCAGGCCAGCTGCCCGCAGCAGCACCTGCGGCTGCTGCCATGGATGATGCTACACCGGAGGACGAGGAGGATGATGAAGAGTGTGTGGAGGCGCCTTGTGTTGTTGTTGAGGAGGCGGACAAGGTGGAGGAGGAGGATGTAGCTCCTCCGGCAGCGGGTCCCGGAGCGGCAGCGGCGGCGGAGGCAGCCGCAGCCCAGGAATGCTCCAACACGACGGGGCACTGCTGGCCCTGCGGCTGCTGCCCCTGCTGCTGTAGTTGCGGTGGCGAGAGCTCGGGCCCCAGCGCAAGTGCATGTGGATGAGGATGCTGTGCATGCATGGCCGCACCGCTACCGCCGCCGCCGCTGCAGCTGTCCAGCGGCGCTGCGAGTTGCAACCACAGCGCCTCCCCCTCCGGCAGGCTGGGGTCGCAGCAGCGGCGCACGCAGCGTATGGCGTCCAGCGGCACCACCAGCGGCACCTCACCCACCGCGTGGCCGATGCGCAGGGTGGGCACGGAGCTGGAAAGGCCGCCTGGGGTGGGGAGAAAGAAATTCCAATGTGTGGGGTGGGGGGGTGGAGCCAGCACGTGGGAGGTTGGGGTTAAGAGAGCATGTAAGCAAGTAGCCGTGGGGATAGGGAGGAAGGAACGAACCATGAGTCCATGACACAAGGCCCCACCATATTGAGGGTTGGGGGTTGGGAGGAGGACGCATGAGGGGTGCGGGGCGGAGGGAGGATGAGCAGGTTTTGGGGGATATGCTGGCTGGCTATGGAAACGCGCGCGCAACACATCAATATCAACCCAACTCCATGGCAACCGCTAACCCACTTTCCTCCTAAACACTCACAACCCTCCTCCTAACTCTCTCCGCCAGTCCCCACCTGACGCCCCGCTGCTCAGCGAGCTCTCCAGCGCGGTAGCGGAGCGCAGGGACACGTGGTCCAGCACGAACCACTCGCGCCGCCATGTCTCCCCCGCGCCGCCCAGTGTGTGCGCCAGCGGGGCCGTCAGGTAGCCGGCGCGCAGGAAGGGCAGCGGCAGAACGGGCTTCACAACAGCCAGGGAGCGCCTGGAGGGGAGGGGGAGAGAGGCGGGAGGGGAGGCGCGATTGGAGAGACAAGGAGAGCGCAAGCTGTCGGAGCCACTGGCAACATGGCTGATGCGGATGCTGAAGGTGAACGTGGGTGGTACCCTGTGCCATACCCTACCTGTCTTATCCAGGGCAATACCTTGTGCTACGGTTTGCTACCGTAGTTTCTAGCTCCTTACCCCGCCGCCCCCGCCCCACCTGTATATGGCCCTTCCCGGCTGCAGTGCCGTGGCCAGGCAGATGTACTGCGCCGCGGCGGTGAAGAGGGCGCGCACACGCGCCTCACGAGCGTGGCGCTCGCGGGAGGTCTCCTCGTCCTGGCTGGTCAGTCGCCCCACTGGAGGAGGGAGGGGCGAGGGGATGCGATGGTGCGTAGTGAGGAGGGTGCACAGGGGTGCAGAGGATGCGGAGTCTCGCTTCCGGTTAGGATTAGGGCCTAATGCGGTGGGAAGGAGCACCTAGTGCCATGGTAGGGCTGCATTGGATTGATGCGTGGCGAAGTAGGGTATGGAGGGCAGAACAAGGAGGCCAAAAGCTTTCGAGAGGGGAAGTTGTCGGCTTGTCCGTACCTTGCAGCTGTGATGCTAGTTCCGCTTGTACGGCACATGCGTAGGCGTACAGCACCGTACCCATGTTATAACAGCCACGATCAAAGTCCGGTCGCAATCGTACGGCATGACGGAACTTCTCCAGCGCGTACGACACGAGCTGGTCGCGTTCTGATGCCGACTGCGTCAGACCGGACATCTCCTGGCGGCCATGGGGACGAGCGCGGGTTTTGATGGCAGGCTTTCGGGGACACCGCACGAACTTCACGTGCCCGGATCCCATGCATGGATTGCCTGGCACCCATGCCAGCTACGATTCAGTCTAGCAGCTCCAAACCGCATGGCCAGGGGCCTGTTCCCCAGCATGCAGCAAGCATACCGTATCATGCAGGGCGGTGTGCTCCCAGGAGCCGCCAGCCCCACTGTCGCTTCCCATGGTTTGGTCTGTCATCCCACCTGTAGCACCAGTCCCCAGTTGTTGAGCGCTTGCGGGTTGTCCGGCTGCAACTCCAGGGAGTCCGCGTACTTGTGGCTGGCCTGCGGGGAAAGATGCATGGGCTAGAGCTAAACATGCACTGCGCAACATGCACAGCCAGGGATCACCCATGCGCATTAGACATGGAAGGAAGCACCCTAAGGCCCGTGGGGCCAGCATTGCATACACTTTAGGCAGGTTTAGAAGCCATTTACGTCCCGCACCCAGGCGATACAACACCGCTGCTGGTACTCCGAAGCCTGTGATCCGCTGATACCGCACGGTCAATACGGACTGTGATGTCGCCACACTGTCCGGCTTTGGGGCCACTTGCCTGTTGGAGGCAACCCAGGGACTCGGCTGGTCGCGAGTCCCTGAGTAGTCGAGCCATGTCGGATAGCGCCACGCCCCAGTTGTACAGTACGGCATGTGCGGATGGACGGAGGGCTGCGGCTGAGGCATACAGCTCACAGGCCTGCATTTGCCGTTGGAAGGGGGTCACGGGAAGTGTACCGGTATTGAAAAAGGGACGGTGGGCAGCACGATAAGCAGGCAAGGGGCCCAGTCCCTTCTCGCTACCTGCTGCAACAGCTGCAGCTGCTCCGCCTGGCCGTTCTGAAGCTTCCCAGCCAGCTCTTGCAGGACAAGCCCATGGTTGTAAACCGTTTCAAAGTCCTGTCCGCTGGGGCCTGCTGCGGCTCCTGTCTGGCAGTACTGGTTGGCTGCAAGCGCTAGCTCCCGGAGGACCAGGTCACTCTCCGTTGCTTCAGAGGAGGGCGCCTGGGCGAGCAGCGTCGTCAGCGTGGAGCTGGAGTGGCTAGGTGACGCGGAGGTGTCATCGTCCGCGGCAGCTGCACCTGCTTGGCTGATATCCTGTCGCCCATATGGTTACGAGTGGGGGCCAGCGGTTACGGGAGAGGAGAGCGAAGACACGGCATGACATGGGAAGAAGGGCCATGAGAACGGTAGTGAGGTGCGACGACTAACCTTGGATTTAGGCTTCAACGCGCCCGCAAGAGCCGCGGTTGCTCGTTTCAGCTCTTCGCCTCCAAAGCATGCCTTGAAGCCAGGTAACTGCAAGTTGCGATTGTGTGTCGACCATGACATTGTGAAAAAGCAACACGTTTGGAGCAACGATGTTTTCGCGCATTGAGAGCCCGACTACCTGCTGCTCAAGTATGGAGACAAGCGACTCAGACATTGATGCGAGGTATGAAGGATCGTAGCAGCAACCGGTACAAGAAGCGCTAGTGGAACGTAATAGTGCAGGTTACAGTCATCTGAAAGCGGACCAAAGAAGTATTGTAACTTACAAGTCGCTGTCAGAGGTTATCTGGCAACCTATCTAGAAGTAACCTCGATGTGGCAGTTATAGCATCATAGGATGCACAATCATAAAACTGGTCTACGCTGTAATAAATGTCATCAATAACTATGCACCGTTCCATGCACAGCAAGGCTGCCGTACAATGCACATCCGTTAGCTTGGCTTCACATGGATCCTGCTATGAAGCCGCGGATCCTCCTGCCGATCGCACCTGCAACACTGCCACCCACAAAAAATAAATGGCCTTGGCCCTTGATAGGTATCTCCTAAACCGCAACGAACCCCCTTGCATGAATACACGACTCACATGCAACAGGTCCAAGCGGCTTCTACCGACGGAAAGCTCGCACGCAACCAATACAAGATTTGCGGCATCTACGAACGGAATTTCGCACGCCCATGTTGCAAGGAGTCCCTACAATAAAGATAAGCCGTAGCGCTTGCCAACCGCTTAACGTCCTCCTTTGGCCTTGGTCGCCTCCAGCTGCGTGAGCAGCTCGTTGCACATGCGCATTAGCTCCGTCTTTTCGGCCTGCGCCATCGCCAGCGCACTGGAAACCTGCCGGGTGGGCGGAGCGAAATTGTAAGTACTGCTTTACCCCACCGGCGGAATGGGTTACAGGAACACAGGGCATGGTTGCATGCTTCAAGCAGCACACAAGCAGTACATGCATTCATAGATGGCTGCATAACGCGCAGAGTCTGCAAAAAACACATACGGTATACGGACTAACCTCTTGGTGACGCAAGTCGCTGTCCACCACGTGCTGCTTCATCTGCCTGTACCGGTCACGGTACTCGACCAGCTGCTGCATGAGGGCGTTCTGCTGCTGGATCTTCTGCTCGTACTCCGCCACCTATGGAGAAACAGGTTGCGCAGCTTTAGCCAATATAGGTCATGTCAGAGCTGCTGACGGGGCCGGTTACAGGCCGTTTGGATAGATACCTTGCCGACCCGTATAGTCATATATCGTTGCGGTCCACAACTGTGTCCATAACCCAACCCGTCCACACCTGCTTCTTGTGGGTAGTCTGCGCCGCAATGAGCTGCTCCATGGCCTTTTGGAACTTGGCCTCGGACTCGTCGCGCGCACGCTGCACCTGGACCAGCTGCAGGACAAGAAAGAAAGAAAGTCCTCAGTCTTTTGAGACAGCAATGTGGCGTGCATAGAGACATAAGACCCTCATAAGTATCACAGTTGTGCCAATTATCATCGAACGTGTCATATACACACTGCGAGACATGTCGTTAGGGGGCCGGCAAAGAATCTTCCCGAGCCCACCTGGTGCGCCTGGAGACCCAACGTGGACTGCAGCTCCCTGCTCCGCGCCGCTTCTTCTTCACAGCCGGCCTTTAGGGCTGCCGTCTGCGCCTCCGCCTCCGCCGCACGGGAATCCGCCTGCTGCGCAAATGCACGCGCTGCATCCAGGTCCGACTGCATCTGCAAGGAGTAGAATATTCGCACGCAGGGGGCTTAGACGTGCTGAATGTAACCAGTCTGCTGTGTTGGCAGGCGGCGCGAAGGCAGCAGTGCACTCCTTTACAACTTGGTTTCATCTCCCAACAGCCTGCAACCCTAACACCAACCTGCTGCACGCGCTGCTCAAGCTCAGCCTGCACAGCAGCCAGCGCGGCCTCCTTGGCCTGCGTGGCGGCCTGAGCGTCGGCAACTGCCTGGTCCCGCCGCTTGATCTCCGCGTGCGCTGCCCGCAGCTCAGCCTCGACCCCATCAAAGCGGTGGCGCAAGTCAGCCATCTCCTGCTCCAGGAACTGCCGGGCCTCACGCTCCATGTCCAGGTCGTTCTGCATGGACGGGATCCCTTCTTAGCACGAGTAATATTTGCACATGGCAAAACGTGGGGCCTTGTTAATATCATTTCTACGCCGATACACCACACACGGTGGGCCCCTGCACCCCTACCCGACGTTATTACCTACCGTCATGCTTCGCTCAAACTGCAGCGTCGACAGCTGGTCGCGCAGCATAGCGATGTCCTCCTGCAGAGCAATCATGGATAAGCGTAAACAAGCCATGCAAACACATTGCAAACCCCTACGCATAGTCGCTTGACCTCAAGCACACCTGCGACTGCTGGTACTTGTTCTCCGCCTCGGCAAGCCTGGCCTCCGTGTCCGCTAGCTTGCCGGTCAGAAGCTGCACGTGGGTCTCCAGCACCGACAGCGTGGGGGTCCCGGGAACATGGCCGCCGGCACCGCGAGCACCAGTGGCACGGCCGGCCACGGTGAGGGCTGCGCGAGCAAGAGGCGGGTTTCAATCATGCATTATAACACTGGCAAGGAATTTCAGGCGTCATAAGGGTCAGCAGAGTACATCAGCCATGCATCAATGTGGTTACCTGGTGTAACTGCCTCGCTAGTTGCCGGTGCGCCTCCAGCGCCCAGCGCAGCAATGGCCCTCGATGCTTCCGCTGATATGTCAACCGTGTCCAAGTCAAAATCAGTCCCTGCGTTTCCATAACGAGGTCAATAAGCAGGCGACGGGACAATGCCACAGTGGGTCCTAGACACAATGTTCCCAGAACATTGCATATATTTTGCATTGCAGCACGCTTGGCTAATGACCTACCAAACGGCGAGTCGAGGGGCACAGCGGCGGCCCGAAGCACCATCGGCGTATCAAAGAGGGCCGCCATGGCGCCGGGGCGCCCAGCTAACATGGCAGGCGGCTGCTGACCCGCTACACCTGGCCGGCCGGCCATCATGGACGGCGGCGTCAACGACGGCGAAAGTGCAATCCGTGCGCCGTTGCCGACCCGTGGAGTAGTGAAGAGTCCGGGCGACTTGCTGATAGCCGCGCCAGGCGCTGGCGGAGCACGTGCGACCACACCCCCTGCCGCAGCGCCGGTAGCAGCCAGCCGGGAAGGTGTTGTAGCGACGCCGCCCCCAGCCGTAACCGGTGCCTTGGACGAGATGGGAGTTGACCGCTTCGATCCCACGGCCTTTGCCGCACCAGCGCCATTCGCTGAGCTTGCAGCGGCCATGGCCTTCAGCGCAGTGGACGGTGCAGCGTTAGCGCGCGATACGGTACCTGGGGCTGTGGTCTTGGCGGCCACCGGGGCTCCAGTCCTAGCTGCTCGGCTGCTGGACGCTGGCGACGGCTTTGCAGCGGTTGTGGTCGCAGCAGTCTGCCCCATGGGGTGCAGCCCTGGCGTCGACATGGGTGACACGGCGGCAAAGGTCAGGTCGGGCTGAGGTGAATCGCTCATGGCCGCAGCAGGTGCACCATCCTCAACGTCCAGTTCCGTCGCCTCGCTGAGCGGCGCCATGGGCACGAAGGGCACTGCACGGGCCTTGGCGCCAACGCCTGCCCTCTCGAAGCTGTCCAGCGACTCAACCATCAGGCTGTCGCTGACACGGCCGGCGCATGAGTTACGGAGGGAGAACAAGTCGAGCGACTCACGCTGGACCTGCAACGAGAGGGGTTGACATGGTTGTAATTCCCAGGCATACGGCACGGGCACATGGCGATTGACGTGCGCACACCTCCCGCCCGTCTGCGTTTCCCCACCAAGGAGGCTCCAACCCTCACCTGCAGAATGACGTCGGGGGCGATCTTGTGGCCAGTGGTGGGCGCATTGCTGGCAGTCTCGGGGCTCTTAGAGCCGACGGGGGAAGAAGCGGCCTGCAGAGGAGGATGAATACGATGAAGGTAGCGGTACATAGTGCTCCCCAATCATCAGGAGGGCAACGCAACGCATACATGCAGGAGTAAAGGTAGTGAATGTCAATCCGCACTTGAGTGACACCCAATGTGCAACCCAATGTCAACTTTCTTGGCGGAGCAGGCACGGTGTTTGTTACCACATTACGGCGCACCTTCCCATATGCGTAACAATTATGCAGATTACCATGGTATATTCCAAGTCAATCCTAGTCAACTACTAACCTGCGGCAACGGAAGCGGAAGGCCAAAACCACTCTCATCATCTCCACCCTCGGCCAGCAAGTCGTCATTGCCCCACAGCGCCTCAATCTCCTCAAGCGACTCGGCCGCAGCGGAGGGAGTAACAAGGCTAGGCGGGCAGGCCGCGGCGCTACGCTGAGGCTTCCCAGCGTCCGCAGGTGTCGCCGACGCGCCACGATCGCCAGATGCACCATCAGCGATAGCTGCGGCCCCAGCGAACGCAGTCGGAGTGGTGGGTGGGATAGCGACTGGGTTGCAAGGTAGCTCCGGCACGGCATGCTGGGCATCCTGCGCCAATTTCTCGACGGGAGCTTGCTGTACGGAGAAAGCAAACTCCGCAGCGTCGCTCAGCTCGAAGGCGCGTACTTCCGCATGGTCAACGGCGGGTGACTGCAGAGCCGTGGCGCTTGCGTCGGCAGGAGATGGCGATGGCGGAGTAAGCTTGCAAAGGCGCGACGGCACAGGGCTGACCATCATGGGATCGTCGGCGTCTACGACACTGGCTTGGAGTCCCAACGACGGCATCGGTGACGAGCCAATGGCCTGAGCTCCCTCACCCATGGGAGATGCCACAAGTGCACTGGCAAGCTCCGGCGCAGTGTCAAGAGACTCCTCCAGCTGGGGCGCCGGCACCATCTGCTGTACGACGCCGGCAAGGTTGGCCGAGGCCTCCGCACCCCGCAACGTGTCGCTCGCCACCGAGCCATAAGCAACAAAATCGTTGTCAGGCTCAGCAGCCTGCGGCAGAGGCTTGCTCGGCTCAGCAGGAGTCAGGTCAGCAGCGACAGCGGCGGCAGCCCATGCGGCTGTGACCTCGTCTTGCGGCTGCACCCCCACCTCACCAGATACCTGGGAGACATCCACCGCCGAGTGCTGCTGCGAGTACTGAGGGGCATCGGGCACCCCATCCAGCTTGCCCGATGGAGCAACACCCTCCTCCGCAAAGCACGGTGTAGACGGTAGCTGCATGCAGGCCTCAGCACGCGCACAATTGTCCGCCTCATCCATCTCCACATCCGTAAACCCAGCTAGCTGCACCTCCTGGCTAGCTGCGACGGCATCAGGCTGCGGCATGGATGACGAAGGCTCCGACACAATAGGAACAGCGTGTGCAACCGCCTCTGCAGTCTCATCCGTGCATGCTGGCTCGGCAACTGCAGGCTCGTCTTGCTGCGTGCTGGCGCATGACTCGACGTTAATCGCTGCGACGTCCTCCATGTTGATGTCGGAGCTGATGGCGTCCTCCGTCGGCGCCGGCTGGCCCGCCACAGTGTGCGCCTCCGGATCGGAAGACGGCGCCTCAGTGCTGTCAGCAGGTACCACGTCAACTAGCTGCTCCGCAGTCAGGCCCGCCTCCACCAGCACCTCCTTGACCTGCGGCGCGAACTCCTGTAGCTTCTCAAGTGCTGTAACCGTCGGCGCCTCCTCCGCGAGGGCCACCTCCATCTGCAAAGCCTCAACTGGCTTCTCCCCATCCAAAGCCGCCGGCGACTCCACCATCGGTACCGTAGCAACCGGCGGCTCCTCGGTCGGTGCCGTCATAACAAGCGGCTCCTCGGTCGATGCCGCCTCCACCGGCAGCTCCTCTGCCGTTGCAACCTCAGCCGGTGGCTCCTCCAACGGTGCAGCCCCCGCCGGCGACTCCTCTGTGGGTGCAGCCTCCACGAACGGCTCCTCCATCGGTTCCGCCTCCGCTGGCGGCTCCTTCATGAGCGGCGCCTGCGTTGACAGCTCTTCTGCAAATGCCGCTGCCGTCGACAGCTCCTCCGCAGGTGCCGCCTCCGTTGACACCTCGTCCGCAGGTGCCGCAACCGCTGGCGGCTCCTCCATGAGCGGCGCCTGCATTGGCAGCTCCTCCGCAGGTGCCGCTTCCGCTGGCGACTCCTCCATGAGCGGCGTCTGCAGTGACAGCTCCTCCGCAAATGCCGCCGCCGTCGACAGATCCTCCGCAGGTGCCGCCTCCGCTGGCGGCTCCTCCATGAGCGGCGCCTGCATTGGCAGCTCCTCTGCAAATGCCGCCTCCGTCGACAACTCGTCCGCAGGTGCCGCCTCCGTCGACAGCTCGTCCGCAGGTGCCGCCTCCGTCGACAGCTCGTCCGCAGATGCCGCCTCCCTTGACAGCTCCTCCATAGCTGCTGCCTCTACAGGCGGCTCCTCCGTTAGCGCCAATTCCGTTGGCGGGATAGCCTCAACCGTTGGCTCCGGCGTAGGCAGCCCCTCCACTGGCGCTGCCTCCAAGGTTGGCTCCTCGACCAGCGTCACATCCATGGGCGGCTGCTCCGCCTCAACGGCTGCCTCCAGTGACAAGGCCGCCTCCGTGTGCAACTCCACCACCGCTGCGGCCTCCGCAATCGGCTCCTCATTCGCCGCCGCCTCCATAGTTAGCTCCCTCATGGCTAGTTCCGGCGTCGATGCCGCCTCTACCGGCAGCTCCTCTGCCAGCCCAGCCTCCGCTGCCCGCTCCTCCTCGAATGCTGATGACGGCATTGCCTCCTCCGCTGCAGCCGCGCCATCCTGCACACCTTTCAGCGCCACATCCGTCGGTAGCTCCTCCGTCAACGCCGCATCTGTCGCGGGCTCTGCCGTTGTTCCAATCTCCGTTGCCGACTCCTCTGTCATTTCCACCTCCATAGCCTGCTCTGGTGTGGGTCCCGCCTCCGTGGCTTGGTCCGCCGTCAGGGCAGCGTCCGTTGACGGCTCGTCCGTCAGGGTAGCCTTTACAGCTGGCTCCGCCGCCGGCGCCGCCTGCGTTACCGGCCCCTCCGTCAGCGTGACCTCGACAGGCGCAGCGCCATGCACCACATCCTCAGACACCGCCACTGCAGGTGCCACCTCGGTCCCAAAGCCCGATGCTGCCGCTGCCGGCGCCACCTCCGGCGCCTCCTCCTGGACCTCCGACGGCATGACACCCACCACAGCGCATGATGCCATCAAATCCACCGGTGACGTCTCTGCCTCCAGCATATCACAGTCTGGCGCGTTCTCCATCGCCGATATTGTGGCCTCAGGCGGTACCTCGGCTGCCTCCGGCTCTGCTCCCCCCGGCGCAACATCGGTCACGGCAGCATCCGTGGGCACGCTGTCCATTGCATCCTCCGACGCCACAACAGGCTCGAGCGCTGCCTCGACCGGCACAACAATAACCGGAGCCGCCTCAACAGCTGCATCCGCCAGCAAAGCGTCGCTTGGCGCCAGCTCATCCAACACGACTGGGTCGGTCTCATCCGCGACTGCCGCCATGCACTCCAGCGCTACATCTGCCGGCATCGTGCCGGCCGACATTACTGCTTCATTTAATGAAGCCACGGCAGGCTCAGCCTCCGCACAGGGGATCTCCGACACCGCTACCTCCACTGCTGCAGCATCGGGCACTGGTAGCGCTTCAGGCTCTGGCTGCACCGCCTCTTCCGCCGTGAAGGATGCTTGTGAGTCCTCCGCTGATACAATCGTGGCCCCCTCAACTGTGACAGGAAGGCTGCAGTCTTGCGAAGTGGAAGCGGGCACGTCGAGGTCCATCTCCGAGGTCCCAGACGAAGCCGGTGCTGCAGGCTCCTGAACAACATCGGCGACAGCGTCGTCGACCTTGGGCTCAGGTGAAGGCGGCGATGCTGCGGATAGGCTGTCAAGGACGGGAGTCGGGGGTTCAGGCCCGGGGTGTGTCACTTCACAGCTTTCCGCAGACACAGAGGACGCTAGCGTCGGCGCTGCAGAGCCCTCGTCCCAGTCCATCTCGTCTGGAGCAGCCGCCTGGAGAGCTTTGCAACAGCCCTCGTCCGTGTGGCTTGCAGACGAGACCGCCACACTTGAGGAAGGTGCTGCCTTAAGGGGTGCAGGGCTCTCCGGCATCTGGCCGCAAGCCATGTTGCCGGTGTGGTGCCCAGCAGGCTGCTGCAGCTGGACCTCCTCGGGCATGGGCACGGGCAAGTCGGTCAGTTGCATGTCTGCCTGCAACGGGCCAACACCTGTAGAGCTCGCCCCGTAGTCGCAAGCAGATGCAGTGGACAGGGTTGCGCCTGCGACGCCAGCATGAAAATGACCGGCCATTCCACCTTGAGCGAGGAGTGCGGAGGCTTCAATGTCAGGGCGGATGGGTGTCAGGCCGATAATGAAGGCATCGGCACCAGCTGTAGTGGCAGGCACTGTCTTGTCGGGGCTGCTCGGGCTCTCGCGGGCGATGTTGGGCTCGAAAGCAGCACCAAGCTCGCTACGGTCGCAGGGCTGCGAACCATGACAAGAGGGCGAGCTGGGAGCCTCGACTGAAGGGGAAGCCTCGCCCATGTCGATATCCATACCGGATGCCGCCATGGTAGCGATGGCAGCAGCGGTGTCGCCGCTGACAGCAGAAGACACAGGCTCGCCGCTCGCGAACTCGGCCAGGCTATCCTCGGCCGCCACGTCGATGTTTGTGTGGCCGTTAAACGGGCTTTCCGCTACTGGAACCTCGGCGCCATCCGTTGGCAGTACGGGGCTCCTGGGCGAGCTACTCGTGTCCCCAGCGACCATGACGCCCTTCACGAGCTCAGGCGGGGAGAGTGATGACTGCACGGCGAGGCTCGGGAAGACCAGCTCGCCTCCCTGATCCGAAGCAGCGACATCCTCGCCATGGCTAACAGTCCCCGAGGCAGAGGTGGCCGGCAGCGTGGATGGCGGAGCGACGACGCCGATGTTAGCCTCGCGCATCACGGGACTGCTGCTGGTCTCAGGGAATGTAGGGCTTGTGGTGAGGGAGGCGGCAACGCCATCGCCGGCGTCGGCTACGGAGTCACCAGACGGAGTAATGTCGGTGGAGGTTGAGGCAGGAATGACCTCAACTTCCATTAGGCCATCAGCCGGCGGAGTTGAAGGCCCGACAGTCAAAGCACTGCTGCAGCCCTCGGCATTGTTGGCGATGATGTCGGTGGGGTTGCCCAGCGAACCAGCGGGGGACTTGGCGTAGGGTGAGGGGGAGGCTAGCTTCCGAGCAGCGACGCCATCGAGGATAGAGCTACCAGGCGAAGGCGACGGACGTGGCGACAAAGGGGGGCGTGCGTGGGTTGTGAAAGGGCGGCTGGGCGGCACTTCCAGGCCACCTTCGTAAATCGGCTCTGTGTCGGGCTCCTCGCGCGCGCTGTACATCTCGTAACCCATAGAGCCGGTAGGTGACCTGGCTTGCGACTGCAGCTGGTCGCTGCGGCAGTTAAGGTCCAGGGATGTCGATGATGTCTGGCTGTCCAGGGGCTGGCTTGACGGCCGTGGAGACAAGTTACCGGCGTCACTGCTTCGCTTTTGCTTGCTGCCAGACGATCTTGGCGTCAACGCCTTCTTAATGCTGCTGCCCACCCGCTTAAAGAGGCTACCGGAAGTAGGCGACTTGGCAGATTTGGGATCAGTCTCAACTCCATCCTGGGGCGGTTCGCTGTGTGGTGGAGTCCTAACTGAATCCTCGGCGCTGAGCGGAGAGTTCGCATTCTGCGCGACATCTTGGTCGGGCGTTTGCAGTGCAAGGTGGAGTGGCAGTGGAGGAGTACCGGGATGCTGCTCAACGGGCGCAGGGATGGAGATGGTATGGTGCGCAGACGCGTTGAAGGACGCATCGATAGCCGCTGCGAAGGTGCTGGCATCATGGCTGGCGGAAACCGGCTTGAACCTGCCAAGAAGGCTGTTGTCCTTTGGTTTTGGAACAGCACCTGTGAAGCAAGATAATTAGAGAAGTTAGACTCCTTGGCGTTTAGCAGGGTGTGGCAACAATGTGAATTGTAGGATGCCGGGGGCTGAGCGCACCTTTGGCCTCAAACATGCTCTTCAACTTTGAGACCGGCTTGGATTTGCTGAGAGCACCCAGAGAGCTCCTCCTCTTCCCAACTTGGATCGCCTCTCCGAGCTCGCCAGTTTCCTGTAGATGGGCAAAGCTTTTAAGCCGTGTCATGCGGATATTGCATAAACACGCAAGCAAGCAACGCACCTCCTCCATGTTTCCTCAGTCCCTAGCTAAACGTGCGTTTGGAGCTCGAACGTATGAAAACCAAGAAAGCTCAGGCGCGCTAAACCGCGGGCCTCTTTGCAGGTGCTTATGAGCCGCGTTCCACAGCAGGAAAAATACTTAGAAGTGCAGACCAGTATAAAACAAACACTAACATACAAGCTTCCAATTGGCTGTCGCGGCATGTACGTCAGATCCAAAGCTGTGAAACTCTTACTACGTTGAAAGTAACGCTACTGTTTCCCTCTGCTATGTGCTGGCTATATGGCAAGCGCTTGTTTCTTAATGCATGCATTAATGCATGCATTAATTCGTCTATCTTCACATTCTCGCATCCGTTTCATCCGCCATACAGGATAGCTCCATGGGTTTATCAGGCCATAGTGTATGAGATAATCTTGCTTCCTTGCAAATTAGGCCCTGCAGGTATCCTAAATTACGCATGCGCGCGGCCAAAATCTTGCCACTTACAAGCTCGTCATCAGCCCGAACTTACAAGTCCATTAAGCTAGTTGTTATATAGAGAAGCATGAGAAAGAAGTGAAAAGAGCGCCTATGCATGTGGGTTAGAGCCTGACCCATGGGCGAGCGATGTGAGCGTGCAGACACAACTTTGGCAGGAATCCTCTCATTCTCCTGCAAAGCCACTGAATCATGTCGAACGGGTCATAGGTAGCCCACAACCCGCCCACGGCCCGGGGAAAACAATTTTTGTTGCTTAGCACTCTTGACATTCGTATCATCGTATGCCATCCCCGCTGACAGTTGGGCTACAATAGCTACGTTCCGGCAGTGTCCAGCTTTCATGCGGATGTGTACTGTGTTTCTGATACCTACCAACCTCTGTCGCATAACATAGCCTTACAACACGCCACCCGCATGCCGCACCAGCCGTAGACGGACCATTCCTAATTGAGGAGATTGTGACCTTACAATTCCAGTGCTACTGTGGGGTATAAGGCGAGGTGCTAGGCGTGCATGCGAATACCTGCACACTGTCCGGGGAATCTTAGGTCGCCGAAGGGCCCCATCCTTCTTGCGTTGCAGTGTTGCCCACGCCCCCTGCCCAAAGGTCCATGGTGGGCTGCCGAGGACAGCTGTCTGATTCACACAGTGTCTTGGCTTTGCTTGCATATGGTGCATTAGAAGTAGGAGCAACTGGCACGCAACACGTGAAGGCCGTGCGCCTTAAGACCGCACCTGCCCGAAACTGCTAACGGGCAACGCCCTCTACACCGGCCCAACCTGCCCGTGGCGTTGTCGTGCCCACGGATATGCTCGCCTTGTTGCTGTGACAGCAAGAAAGAGGGTTCTTGTGCCTACTCAGCTGCCTGGTTGCATGAAAGGCAAGGACTGCGGTTGCGTTCTGCCACTGCTGTACGGGGCACAGCGCCCACTCGCCACCCAGGAAGCAAGGCCGCAATCAATTGGAAACTGACGGGACATGCCAGGAGAATGGTTTCAATAAGACGGTTAGGATTCTTCAATCGTAGGGCATCTTTTACTAGCCGTCCAAAGCCGCTCTAGCCCCAAAAGGGTCCGAGGGTCGCCCCTGCGACGTCCAAAAGCTCTAAACAGCTCGCTCTTCTACTCCTTCTCACCCCTTTCCTTACTTTCTTTCATCTTACGTTACATCTTACTTTACCGAGTTGCTATCTACTTCTTAATGTGACCCAAGCGCCCTCGTATTAGCAGCAGCCAGGCGCAGCTGTGAGGGATTAACGCGCCTCTCTCCGCAGCACTTGTAGTCTTACACTTCTTCACGACACGTATCCCTTCCTTCGCAACCCAAAGCAACCGTAACGCCAAATGCGCGCAGCCGGGGCCTCCCCCCAACGCTACACTGCGGCGCCTTCCGGACCGCCTGCGAATGCCGCCTCAGCTGCTTCTGCTGTAAACCATTTACCAGGCTTCTTATATCAAGGAAGCGTAAATCCCTTTCAACAAGACCAATCACCTGCCGGGCCCGAGGAACTCAAGCAGCAACAGCGGAAACAACAGGCTCTAAACGATGTGGAGACCGCGCAGCAAAGCAGCACAACCAACCGCCCAACAGCAACACCAACCAACCCGGCCGGCGGGGCCGCAGGCGGTGCCGGTACCACCCCTCCAGAGGGCGGCCGACTTGATGAGGCGCCGGTGTGGGGCAAGTACCTCCGAACGGCGCAGTGGGTACTGTCGCTGGTGACGTTGTCGCTGGTGGCGGCGGACAGGGGCTGGTCACATCTGGCGCCATTCCGCTTCCTGATGGCGGCGGCAGGTGGGGCGGGGGGGGGGCTGGTGGGGCAGGCCCCGGGGTCCGTGCGGGCTGGGGAGATGGAGTTGGGAGGGCAGGAGGGAGGGATGGAGCAAGGGGGGAGGGGGGAGGGAAGCGTGGTGATGGGTGCGCATGCGGGGTAGCGCTTGGGGAAGGAGGTGGAAGGGAGGCGGCTGCTTCCTGTGCGCACAAGTGTATGTTTCGCTGCGACACGGGGGGCTTTCCACTGCGTCTGCTACAATCGGGCAGACCCGCGGGTCACTCGACCTCCTAGTGAAGCGCGTGGCCTGAGAACCACTTTGCGACTTGACTTGATAGCTCGCCTCCGATCGTAATCCTAATACGTTTTTCCTGTCCGCCTGCAGTGCTCACGCTGCTGCTGGTGACCGCTGTGGGTGTGCTGGAGTGGGTCAGCTCCCTGCGCCACCTGACGCTCCCCATCAACACCGCATTCGACCTGGTGTGGATCATGATATGGTACGGCAGCTGCGCGCATGGCGGCTACTGGTCTTGTTGAAACGTTGCACCGTTGCACGGTTTCGTAAACCGTGTCAGAACGAGACACCGTCAGGGTGTCTGGTTAGGTCAGGTTTGTGGGTGGGGGAGGGAGGCTACACAGATCTCGGCAGTGGTGGTTACATTTCGTTACATACGCTGCACATGCCCTGCACCGCAGCTTCTCTGCGGCTGTATCGGCAGCGGCGGGTCTGGGTCTGCGCCGGGAGCTGTTGATGACGTGTACATCCCGGAGCAACAACGACTGCGCGCAGCTGAAAGCGGTGCGTGTGGTGCATCTTTTGCATGGGTGTGGGGGTATGCGGCGGTATGGGAGTACGGGTGTCGTGCGCATGGGGGGGGAGGGGTGGTAAAAGGAAGAGCCGTCTGTTGGGTTTACCGGGCGCATGGCGCCAGGAAAGATCGTTTGTTGCACACGATGAGACCTGAGGATTTCATTGCAGCAGCAGCAGGAGTACCCAGTCCTGGGACTCACCTGGCTCCCAACCCCACCCCTTCCCTTCCCCCCAGGCCACGGGTTTCATGTTCGGCCTGACCCTGTTGGCGGCCCTGAGTCTGGGGTACGAGGTGCTGCTGTGGCGGGCGGGCTGGGGGCGAGCGGACCCGCATAGCAGCCGCATCCGGGCAGTGCTGGAATACCTGAGGTGGGGGGTGGTGGGGTGGCGGGATGGAGATAGGGAACCGCGCCTTGCCGCCTTCCGCTGTTGACCCCGCTGTCAAGCTTCAAGGACAGCAACAGCTCAGCGGGAGCTGACTCCTCTCGCCGCTGTTTTGGTGCCCGTTGCGTACCTAAACACGTTACGCAACTCCTCCTTCTCCCCCCCCCCACCCGGTGATGCGCAGGTCGTGTAAGAGGAGTGCCGTACGCATTACACAGCCCACCCCTGCTCGTCCCACGCCGCTGGTATCGGAGCCGTACGCCCCGTCGGCTGCCGGGGGTTTGCAGTACGGGGAGGGTGGGGAGCCAACGTCGACGGTTTCTGCTTCTGCTGCTCCTGAGGGCCACCTTGCTGGAGTCCGCGGTGTGTTTTCCTCCGCCTCCGCTGCCGTACGGTCTGCCTTCAGCCGCCTCCGCAGCGGCGGCGGCGGCGGCAAAGCTAGCGGTGGTGGCGGCGGCGGCGAGAGCCCTGCTTGGACGAGCATGACGACACAGCGCGGTGGGCTACCGGTGTCAACGGCAGCTGGGGTCGGGAGGAGGACGCCAACGGAGGCAGCGGCAGCGGCAGCGGCGTACGATAACGGCAGGGAGGTGTTACCTGGCGGCGTCAGCGGCGGGAGAGGGGCGCTTGGTCAGGCTGGCCGACTGACGTCGGGGTTTGTGGTACGAGAGGCTGCATGGCTGGTCCGGGGGTTCCTGGGAGCCAGGTGGGTCGCGGCACTCACCCACCGCACCGAGCAGTGCTGGGCTGGAGGGGGTGAAGGGTGAAGGGTGAAGGGGAAGGAAGCGGCTGCACGGGCGTCTTCACGGTGAACGAACACTGTATACGGAATGGAGTCCTTAGGGAGGGATGTCGGAGGCCGACTTGTAGGCTTTACGTAACCCGGTGAGGGACGGCAGCACCGTACCCTCACTCTCGTTCCCACTTCCTACTGCTTTGCCCTCCCTTGGGGCCACCATTAGAACGGGTAGTTGGTTACTCGTCCACCCCCCCACTCTCCCTCCCCCAGGCTGCTCCAGCTGCTGCTCGCCGCCGCCTGTCTTGGCGCCCTCACGCAGCTCCCCCGCTACGCCTCCACCACCGCCTACCGCTTCCTGGTCGCGGCGCAGTCGCTAGCGTTGGCGGCGGCGGTGATCCTGGCGGCGTGGCAGGCGACACGGGCGCTGGCGGAGGCGGCGGCGGGGCGGCGGGAGCGGCAGCAGCAGGAAGAGGGAGCGACGGCGGCGGTGCGGGGCAACAGTAGCGGCCGGGCTTTGCAGGTGGGGGGCACGGCACGCATGGGTGCATGCGTGGGCGGTGCATGCGTGGGCGGTGTGTGCGTGGGCGGTGTGTGCGTGGGCGTGGGGCTGCTGTGTGTTTCTGTGCTGGTACATGCGCATGGGCGTGGGAATGCCTGAGCACTGGTGGGGTGCGTGATGGGGGCTCTTTTGCCGGGCTGTAGCTGTTGTGTTGCAGCATTGGTGGTAGCGGTGTCCGCATGTGTCCCACCCATGCACCGCACAGACCTCTTACGGCACCCAGCACCTCTACGCCCTCAACATGCTACCAACGCTGCCGTACTACGTCCAGGTGTACTACGTGGCAAGCTGTGTGGTGGACTGGGTGGTGTGGGCGCTGCTGGCCTCAGCCGCCACCGCCGCTGCAGCCGTGTCCACGCTGCCCTGCGGGCGGGTGACGCTGGGAGGGGGCGTGGCGCTGTTTAGCTACGTGCACGCAGGTGACCCGTGGGTCGGGCGGGGAAAGTGGGGGAAACACATGTGTTTTGGGTTGGCTTGTGAAGAGGAAGAACGGCGTACAGCGGGTTCGTGCCTTCCCGCCTTTTCCCCTAATTTTGGCATTAGTTAGGTTATCGCAAACACTATAACGCTCCAACCGCAATGTCACCACTACTTATCTTCCCGCCTCCTGCACGTTCCCCTTCCTCCTCCACCCCCACCTCCTCCTCCTCCTCGCCCCACCACCCTCCAGGCTGCTCAGCTCGCGACCGGACCGCCGCCGCCCTTGCGCTGCTCTCCGCCCCCGTGTGGCTGGCCACCGCCGTCGCCTCCGCCGCCGCCGCGCACGAAGCCTCCGCTACCGCCGCCCTGTTGCGACGTCAGAGAGTGCAACACCGGGAGGCAAACGTGCTGATGAGTACCTCCTCCTTCTCACCCGCCGCGGCAGGTGGCGGCGGCGGTGGCGGCGGTGGCCGCCGAAACAGCGTCGGCAGTAGCTCTGGAATGGAGTACGGCAGTAATCCGTTTGCAGCGGGGCCGGGGCCGGGGGCAGGGGCAGGGGCAGGGGCGGGTACGGCAGGGGCTGGGGAGGCGGGGGCGGCGGCTCACCCCTGGGTTGTGGCGGATTCTCTGCCGTCGTCGACATCGGCAGCTGCGGCGGCGGCTGCTGCTGTTGCGGCGCGGTGGAGACGCGGCGGCGGCGGCGGCGGAGGAGGAGGAGAAGCCACTGCGGCGGGGGATGCGGGCAATGGCGGCGGCGGCGGCGGTGTGGAGGCTGGCAGAGGTGGAGGCGGCGGTGAGGCGAAACCGGCGTTCCCGTCCGGGCGTTGGGGAATGGGTTGGGGATTCCAGAGTGCCCCCGATCTAAGCGGCCCTGGAGGCGGAGGTGGAGGGTGGGGTGGAGGCGGAGGTGGCGGTGCAGGGTGGGGTGGAGGCGGAGGTGGAGGGGTGCAGGAGGAGGAGGAGGGGTTGGAGGTGCGGCAAGAGCGGGGGGATGTGGGGCCGCGACGGCACGGGACGGGAGGGGGAGGCGGGGTTTTCACCATTGAGTAGCGCCGTACTCACATGGCAGGGTGGGTAGGGCGGGTGCGTCTGGGTAGTGGTAGTGACGAATTGATGTGGGTCGTAGGAAGAGGGGGGGTTCATGCATGCTGGGGTGCATGCGTGTGCATGCATGCTTTCGTACCACAAACGGCAATGCTATTGTTGCTGCGTTGCAATGGGTGCTGCACTGTTGCTGTTGTGGCGACAGTTAGTTAGTTGGGGCCGGTAGGTGGGGCCGTTGGGGTCCTTCAGGGTCCCCGTGGGGGGTTTCTCGGGGCCCCCAGAGGAACACACTTGAGGCTATGCGGGGGGGGGTAGCAATGCAAGGGAGCGGGATGCATGCAAGGGAGTGTGTTGACAGAACACAAGGTAGCGGGATCACCAGGCTAGATCACCAGAATGTGTTTTAGGTGGCCGCTGCAAGAAGGGGTGCCAACGCATGCAAGGCGTGCAAGGCGGTCAGGACGTTTCGAACAGGCAAACGGACGGTTAGTCATGTCCAATTTGAAGGCAACCCGTTGGCTTTCGGACTGTCATGCATACAGCATACGGCAGGGACCAAGGGGCCTTGTGCTGTGCCATCAGCAAAGTCTGTGCAGGTCAAAAGTGCAGGAACAGCTTCGGTGATGCTGTGTTTAGTTGCTGTGTTTTGTTGTTTAATGATGCGTCCGAGCTCTGCCTTTGCATGACACAGCAAACCCATCTACCGGCACGACCCACATATTCCTTTCACTAGTAAAGCATAATGGCCGCGGCATCACCTTCCTCCAACAAAGATGATTACGTGTATGTCAGGTGCTCGGCATGACGTCGCGCTCTCATGCGTTTTTCCCAAGCAGCTTGATAGCCTCAATCGTTGCGTTGCGGGTCTCCTTTGCACCAATCCGATACCTTAAATCCTATTCGTGCCAAGATCTTGAATACGAAGCATCACGGCACCCTAACTACCTTGCTAACCACCTCGAGAGCCCCCCACCAACCCTGATCACGTGCTACCTGCTACGGCAAACCTACGTGTGCATGTGTACGCCAATACACACAGCCCCCACAGGGCCCGCAAACGAACGCCCGATACACGCGGTGGTCACACATCTCAGTATCGAGTACTCTCAGTCACGCCGCCTCACGTACATACACAACAACACATACGGCACGCGTCCCTTCGTCGCGCCTACCCTCCTGCCCCCCTCAGATCGCGGGTCGGCTGCAGTTGCCGTACCTCGTGTCCCTCGTGTTGTACGGGCACTCCGCCCCCTCGGGCAGCCGGAAGCTGTCCACGTTGAGCCGCCACACCCGCCCGCACAGCTCCTCCTGGAACGCAGCCACCTCGTACCTGCATTCGCGTTGGCATTGGCATGGGCGTTTGCATGGGCATTCGCATGTGACATGTAACATGCATGAAGCAGTGTACGTCCCAGATACATTTTTTGCACAGGGCTGATTCGGTACACAATAATCCGCAGTCAGGGCTTGCGAAGGCCAACGGACGACGCGACCTCTGCCGCAACCCGGCCGCGCTTGCGCAGTGCCCTTCCCCTCCCTCCCCCTCCTCCGCTCACCTCTTTCCAAAGCACGCCGACGCCGTGTACTGCTGCCGCCCCCAGCACCTCTCCGCGTTGGAGGCGGTGTGGGTGCCGCCCGCATGGCCGTCCCCGCTGCGCCCGTCCAGGTGCAGGAAGCCCACCTGCCAGCCGTCCAGCCAGGCGCGCGTGCACAGCTCCCAGTCGCCCCAGATGCCGCAGTCGCCGGGGCGCGAGAAGCTCTCCTCCAGTCCGCCCAGGGCCGCCCAGGCGGAGGAGCGGACCACCAGCGGCGCAAAGTCGACGTTCTGCATGTGGTAATGCGGGGGAAGGGGGTGCGTGGGGTGCGGGTGGAGGTGCGTGGTGTGCGTGTGTGGAGAGGTGCGCGGGTGGGTTGCATGGAGACCAGGAGGCAGCCAGTAACACAACTGCGGTCCAACCCTGGATGACGGTGATGAGGGAAGACGTATGCGGCTCGGTACAGCACGGCTACCGTCCTTGTCCACACATGCCCTGCCACGCCCTACAACACACAATTACCCCTCCCCCGGTCGTCCGCACGCGCCCCTACCTCACCCCGCCGCGGTCAGCTGCTTTCAACAACACCCCCGCACTAACCCAGCCCTCCTCCCTCCCGTCGGCTTGATTGCCTTTCTTATTCAACACATTGGGTATCCTTCATTTCCCTCCCTCTTCCCGTCCTCCTACACTCCTCCTACCTGCACAAACGACCACTTCACTCCCGTGCGCGGGTCGGGTTCCCAGCTGGTGAAGCCGAAGCGGTTGGTGGGCTCCGCGTGCTTGCAGAGGCGGTAGGTGTTCATGCCCACGATGGCCAGCTGCGGCCAGGCGCGGAAGAGCGCCAGCAGGTCGTGCAGCCAGGCGCTGGAGGCGGGCGCGATCTGGTCGTCCTGCAGGGGGGGATGGGGGGGATGAGAGGGTGGGAGGGGAAGGTGGGAGGGGAAGGTGGGAGGGGAAGGTGGGAGGGGAAGGTGGGAGGGGAAGGTGGGAGGGGAAGGTGGGAGGGGAACGACCAGTTCACGATAGTGTAGCGGGGGAGGATGGCGGAGGATGGCAGGGGACTGGGCGGTGGGAGGAAGTGCGGAGCGCTGGGTGAAGCACCAGCAGCACCCCTCCATTCATACCTGCACCCACACACCCGCCCCCGCAACCGCACCTGCCAAATGATCAGGTACTGCCCCCTCGCCGCCCGCGCTGCCCGATTGTACCCGCGCGCCTCGTGCACGTTGGCTGAGAAGACGGGCACCAGGAAGCCGCCGCTCTCCGCCGCCGCCGCCGCCCATGCGTCCGCCTCGTGCGGGTTGTCCGCGTTGACCACCAGCTCGCAGGGCAGCCCGGCGCCCTGGCAGGCGGCCTGCAGGGTGGAGGTCATGCGGCCGATGGCCCATGGCCTGGGAGGGAGTGAAGAGGGGAGAAGGAGGGAGGAGGGAGGGAGAGGGGAAGAAGTTGACAAAGATTGGAGTTGGGAGGATTGGTGGGAGAGGGGAAAGGCGGAGGTTTGATGGGGGCTGGGTGGTGTGAGGAAGGGATGACGAAGGACGGCGGTGGAAGCGGGGGAGTGTGGAGGAGGTTGGGTGTAGTGCTTGTTAAGGAAAGGGAGTGGCGTCGGAAGAGGTGGGGTTGCGATAATGCAGGTAATGGGTAGCCAGCACCAGGGTTGGGTTGTGAGCAGTTGCACTGCTGTACCGCAATGAACCAAGCCAACGACTGACAGAAGCGCCAAAGGGGATAGGCATCCGGAACCTGTTCTTGAAGTACGCATAGGTGCAGTTCCCAAGCATCGCAGCTTAAGGTGCCCCCGTAACCCAAAGAATGCAACGGCGCGGAAACACAAAACATAAACGGTGGGATGCCAGAACTTGCCTTTTAAAATACTCCAGTAAGATTGAAAATACGGGCCGTTCAAGGTACGCGGAAGCCTGCCGGCGATGCCCAAGGCATGCTGGTCCGATTCCTGACCCGTCAAGCCTAGCCGCTTGACTCGTATTGGCTGCCAGCCATGCTTCTAAATGTTTCAAGCGTGTCTGGTTGCTCGATGGTCTAAGCTTGGCTAGGGCAATGTGCGATGCTAGGGCCTGAACAGCCTGCGTCGAACCTCGCAAAGCTTTTCGGTCTTCCCGAGGTAGTGCACCAAGATTCTTTGCACAAAATGAAAGCGGGCTCGGGTCCGGTCCGGCAGCAACGAGTAAAAGGAGTGGGAGCGTAAAAGCCGCGACATCCCTAAAGCCAAGCAAAACACCTATGCGCGGCATGTTGATAAAGCGTGCTTGACTGAGTAGTTGCGGCCAATCACGTCCATGAAAGGGGATCCCCTTAGCAAGATACTGTACGGACCCCGGTTTCTACGGCATTACCAGGCACGCGGGATCGCGGGTACCACCGGATAGTCAATGGTCGCTAAGAGATCCCAGAGACACGCACAACCCTCACCAACCTGGCGGCCTCTGAAGTAATCATTTGAGTACCGGTACATGTGAACAGTGGCTACAGCTGCGCCACCTAGCCAGCCGAGCACCCAAAGCAACTCTCAAGTAACCGCCCCTTGAGATGCGCCTCGCTACCCATAGCCTCGTGTTACTCTACCGTGCAGCCCTCCTCCAGCAGCCAGCTCATCACAGCTCTGGCATTCCTAGGGCCGTCAAGCCGTGCGCCAAGAAATACCGCCTGGAGGTGTAGTGGCAGTAGTGCTGCCATAAACGTACCGGTATCCGGACGCCAGCGGCAGCCCAGCCTCCACAGATGGCGAGGTTGCTGTGGTGAAGAGGGGCTGCTGCTTGCCTACATAGGGCCCAGCGGGAGACTTGGGGCGTTAACATTGTATGCAGTAGGCAGGCATGGGTCGGTTCGAGGGGAGACCGCATGGGACTAGAGGTAAAAGCAACCATAGCAGGTCCAGGTGAGAAGCTGAGCAGGTCTGCTCGAAAGGGAGCTCTAACCTCTGGGGTTAGGAGGCGAGGATATTGCCGTACTCTCACCTGCCGGCCTGCCGTGCGAATCCCGTTCTAGACGTGGTGGCACCTTGCGAATACAACGACGCTAAAGAGGTCCTGATACTGTTATTATGACGGCAGGTCATCATGAACTAATAAGAGGATTAGTTTAATTGCTGCGGCATCGGTTTATGATAAGCGATGTGACGCGACCGCTTGACGCGACGGTCCGCCTACTTCGTCGGCGAGACCGCGCGTTGTGCCTTGTTACTACCGGTGATCGAAGGTTGACATTAAAACATAAAAGTGTGTAACATTATACTATCTTGCTTAGTACGCAAATGAGCACGGCTTTTTAGATAAAAACCGCTTCAAATAAGGGAGCAAGTTATGAGTAGGCCATAAGGGACAGGAAGACTGTCATAATGGTGGATGCTGCACCAAGGTAATCGAGCCTTGTCAACACTGGTAGCGGACGGCTCATATGCCGATGCATGGATGGAGTTGACGTCGTGCGCACACAACGCAGCATTGCCACGAACAATGATGACAACATTGAGTCGAATGTAACCGAGACGTATCACCATATGAGTTCCTGGGAATCTAGTGAAAAGCAACCTGCTTCCAAACTGCCCGACAAGCGATGCCGTTTCTCGTTCTATGTCCTCCTGGGCACCTGGAAGGTAAGGACTCATCTAAGTATCATCTGGCTCTCCGTGCTAAAAGAAACACCTATTGACGACGTGCCTGCTGTTCATACAACCGGCATGTCCTGCCATGCCGTCACATCTATCCATCCAGGCCACCCTTGCCGTGTTACTGGAGCGGCCGATGCTCGCAGCAGCCAGCCTTCTCGTATTCGCAATTTTAACCAGCGCTGGTCTGGCGGGTGTGCTGGTGGCAGCGAGGCAGGAGGAGGTCAAGGCGCGAGACCTGGCAGAGCATGGCATTGGAGCTCAAGTGGCTCAGTCACTTAAGGAGGTATGTAAGACGGCAACAAATGCTCATGGATTGAATAGAATGAATACCGCATTAGGAATGGTCATTTGGGTCCTAGGCAGTTCCCTGTTCATCCCAGTCATCCCCTTCCGCCCCCTCACCCCTTTCGGCCCCCTCATCCCCTTCGGCCCCCTCTCCACCACGACACACAGGCGCTGCTAATCTCCACATTCGGCTCCGGGCTGCTCAGTGCGGTGGTGGTGCAGCTGCGCTCCTGCGCCGCCCTGGAGGCGCAGTGGGACAGCGTCACGCAGGACATCATGCAGCGGGTGCGGGGTGCGGGGTGCGGGGTGCGGGGTGCGAAAGAGAAACAAAACCATGCGGGGTGGAGTGGGGGCGGTCTGGGGGTAGTCCCCGAACCATTGTTGGCTTTCTAGGTACGTCAGGGTACGACGGAGCGTACCGTATAGCGACTGGGGCACCTAAGCCTAATTCCGTGCCGACTGTCGTACCTCGTACCCCACCAATGGCAACATACCCCTTGTTGCAACCCATGTTGACGCCTCTCGAGATGTCGTGAGGTTTCCCTTTAGGACTTACATTGTAGCCTTGCTACATTATCCCTCAGTCAGTTCGTTGGTTCCTCCTTACCCTCCTTCCCGTTCCCGTCCCTTCTCCCCCCCTCACCAGGTGGACCCCGCCATCGTAAACCAGCTAGAGCTGGACATGGCAGCCGTCATCTGGAAGACCCACCCGACGCTGCACGGCACGCTGGCGGATATCTTGTACGGCAGAGATCTGTTGTACGAGCCCAGCGACCGGCCGGGGGTTGTGTACGTGTTGGAGGAGGCGCGGCGGACGGGGAGGGCGGACACGCACATCCTGGGGCCTTACATGTGCAGCGAGGGCTTCACCTGCGTGTGTGAGTGTGGGCGGGGTGGAGGGGGTGCTGCGGGTGGGGGTATCTCCCTACCTTCCTCTCCTGCTCCTTCTCCTGGTCCTTTCTCCCCTTTACCCTCTCCAGTTGGGACGCCAGTTGCGACTTTGCACTTAGTTCCCCCCTCCCTGCCCCTTCCCCCTGCTCCGCCCAGTCGCGGTGGCGCCCATCTTCCTGCCGGCTCCCGACGAGCAGTACGACTGGGGCTGCGGCATGCAGCCGCACAACTGCTCCGACTTGTGCTGGGACCCCGTCAGCAAGACCAAGTTCTGGGGCCAGGTGGGCCCCACCTACCGCATGCAGTGGTGCTCACAACAGGGCTATGTCACGTGGGCCAGGGTAGCTCAGCTGCCCTTCCCTTCCCTGGACTGCGCGCTTGCAGCAGCTCCCTTCACCCTTCTCTAATCCCCCTTCTTCCGCCTTCTTCCCTCCTCCTCCTCCTCCTCCTCCTTGCTCCCACCCCCCCAGGTGTCCACCCTGATCAACCTGGACCAGCTGTTCTCGGGGAGTGACATGCGGCTGCAGCTGCTGGCCAGCAGGGGGTATGTGTACCGGGTGAGCTGGGGGGGGGGAGAGGGAGGGATAAAGAGGAAACATCGAACTGACTGGGGGGAGGGAAGGAGCTTGGAATTCTTGGAAAGAGCTGGGGGAAAACTGAATGATAAGTACAGCAACTGGAGTCCCAATCCCATGTAGCCGGGGGGAGGGAGAGGGGAGGGGAGGGTGACAGGAGAGGCCAATGAAGGGCGGGGAAGGCGCGGGAGCTGCGCCCGGGGGCGGGCGGCCCTGCCTACACTGCCATGTAGGTGTACTGCGAAGACCGTTGGGTGTGCATGAGGATTACTCCCAGTGCCTGCACCCTCCCGTCAAGTAAACCCCATTTCGCTCCTCCTCCTCCTCCTCCCAGCTCTGGCAAGCTGAGACCAGCTCCTCCAATCCCTACGTCCTGCTCTCAAACAACACGCCGCACATCACATCACCCGTGGCACGAGAGGTGCAGATCGCCAACCTGCTGTGGTAAGCGGGGCAGGTGTGCCAGCAGGGCTTCCCCTGTACGTTGCGGATGAACGGTGACCCATGGGTCAGTTATATCTTTCCACCATTACGCGGTACCCCGCCCGCTGAAAAGGTCACTTCTTCTTCCTCCCCCTCCCCCTCCTCCTCCTCTGCCCTCCCCTCCTCCTTCAGGCACCTGGAGCTGGCTCCCGCCCGCGGCTGGGTCCCCCCCTGGCGTGACCCCTGCCTGGCTGCCGTGCTGCTGGCTGCCGCCGCCATCGCGCTGCTGGTGCTGTGGCTGCTGGTCAGTCGGGAGCAGCACAACCGACTGCTGAGGGCCATGCTGCCGGGCAACGTCATTCGGCAGCTGCAGGTGGGGGCGTGGGGGGGGGTAAAAGTAAGGAAAACTGATTAACTGAATGACGAGGCTTCTCCGTGGGTTGCTGATTGAACCCGGCCCACTGGGTGGGGGTGCGAGGGAGTGAGGGTGGGAGTGAGGAAGGCGGTGGAGGGAAAAAGGAATACCCAATGAAGTGATTGACAATGGCAAGCTAGCCGACAAGCCCTTGGGGTGAATGGATCGTATTAGCTTGCACCCCCTTGCTGTGCCTTGCACCCCCCAACTCCTCTTCCTCCCCCTTCCTCCCCCTTCCTCCCCCTTCCCCCCCCCCTTCCTCCCCCTTCCTCCCCCTTCCCCCCCCATTCAGAGCGGCTCCCAGTCCATAGCGGAGCACTTTGAGGGTGTCACGGTGCTGTTCAGCGACATCGTGGGCTACACCTCCGTGGCATCGCAGCTCTCCTCCTTCGAGGTGGGCAGGGGGGGGGCTACCGGTAACAGGTGGTGAGGGGTGAGGGGTCCGGAAAAGAGAGGAAACTACGTGTAGCCGTGCGACAATCTGCTCCACCATGGTTCGAAGTGGCTAGCATGGGTGGCTGCAGTGACTGGTATAGCTGGAGTGGGGCGCATACCGCACCAAGCGACAACAACCTTACCCCACCACCACCGCCTCACTCATCCGGCGTGCGCCTCGTCCCTTCTCCTGCTCCGCCCCCTCCGTCCCCCAATCTCACCCCCACACACCCACCCACCCACCCCAGGTGGTCACGCTGCTCAACGAGCTGTTCAGCGTGTTCGATGACCTCACGCAGCGCAACGGCGTGTACAAGGTGGGTGGGTGGGTGGGTGGGGGCTAGGGGGTTGGGAGCCCATACAAGGGAGTTTGATCCACCCAACCCAACCCAACCCCGCGTGATTCCAGAGTGTGTTTTATGCCAAACTGGCCGCAAACCTGAACCTGACCCCCCGCGTGTGTGTTATACCAACTGGCCGTGTGTTAAAATAACTGGCCGTGTGTGTGTATGTGCTGTATACGTGCGCGCAGGTGGAGACCATTGGCGACGCGCTGATGTGCGTGTCTGGCTGCCCCGCCCCCGAGCCCCCTGCCGCCGCCGCCTGCCGCATGGCCCGCATGGCTCTGGACATGGTCCGGGCGGTGGAGCGCTTCCGCCCCTCCATGGCACTGGCGCATGGCACTGGGGTCAGCCGCGTGCAGATACGAGTGGGGGTGCACTCAGGTGGGCTGGGGAGGGGCAGGGGAGGGGGCTGGGCGAGAGGGCTTTTGGGAGCTGAAGTTAGCAAGGCTTTTTGACCTTGCTAGTAACTTGAGTGTGAGGGCTGGGGAACGGGAAGAGGGAGGAGAGAGGGGAGCGTGTCTCTGTTGTTACCGGTACGTCTTGGTATCTTGGCGCCTCCCACCCCCATGCGCTCCGTGTCCCCCCGCCTTCCTTCTTTCCTGCCGCTGCAGGCCCGGTGGTGGCGGGTGTGGTCGGCAAGCGCATGCCGCGATACTGCCTGTTCGGCGACACCGTCAACACGGCCAGCCGGATGGAGAGCACATCCGAGCCCATGCGCGTGCAGGTGTGTGTTGGGGAGGGGGGGTTGCCGGTGCCGGTGCCGGTACGGTACGGGGGGTGTACGGAGGATGTGATGAGGAGGGGCGTGGGAGGCACGAACGGGCTGTAAGGGGTTGGAAATACGTAGCGACGCGGAGAGGCGAACCTAAACGGGACGATAGGTCGGACTAGCGACGCGGTCAAGGGGTATGCGGAGACGGAAGGACGGGTATGGGGAAAAGTGGGCAGGGGCAAAGTAACCCGAGGAGAGGCACGAGGGCGCTGCGGCAGGCTGCCCAGGGACGCAAATAAAGCACCAAGCAGCGTGCCCGTACATCAGCACCACCCCGCACCCCGCATCTCACACCACAGGTCAGCGCTGCTACGGCGGCACTGCTGCGCTCGCTGCCGGGCTATGAGGCGGAGTTTCGGCTGGAGCCGCGGGGACCCGTGGCCGTCAAGGGGAAGGGTAAGTGGGCCTGAGGGGGTGTACTGGTATGGTATGGCAGCTGCTGCTGGCGTGCACGTTAGTTACCGGCTCGGCAACGTGAGCTGTCCCTGCTAAATCCCCTTTGCTGTTCTCCCCATGCAGGTCTGATGGATACCTTCTTCCTGCTCCCCGCCGCGGGTGATGAGTCCCCCGCGCATGCACGACACGACTCCTTGTCCCTCATCCTGGATAAGTCCGTGCCCGGTGTAACCATCTTGCCGCCTGCCAGCCAACGCCAACAGCAGCAGCAGCTACAGCAGCCACAGCCACAGCAGCAGCAGTCGTGTCCGCCGCAGCAACCACAGCAGAAGCCCTCATCACAGATGGGACGGCAGCAACTGGGGGGGCAGCGTCCACGGCAGCCGCAGCCCCCACAGGATCAACAGCAGGAACAGCAACAGGAGCAGGAGCTGCAGAAATTCCCGTCGTCGCCGCTCCTTCAGAGGCCGCAGCTGCGGCAATGGGACTCCCTTCGCTCCTCCCGCGCCTTCCTCGCATGGCCCGAGGGCCCCGCGTCTTCTGACAACGGATCAGGCAACGACCGCAACAGCGGCCCCGTCCCCTTCAGCGCAGACGAAAGGGGTGGAGGTGATGATTTCAAGCCGTCTGCTTTCCTATCGCTGCCTCAGACGCCGGTGCCGCCGGCGCCCCCGGCCGCCACAGCAGCAGCAGCTCGCCAGCGGACCAACTCACGGGCCAAAAATGAGGAGGCAGGCGCTGGGTTCGGAAGGTTTTCTGTGTAGTACAATAGACGATGTACGGTATGTGTTGTACGGCATGTACGGCGCTTATCCTGGCTTGGTCCATGGCGTGCAGGGGCGACGGTGGTGTTGCTGTTGATAATAACGGGGGAGCGGTGCTGGCAGCACGGTTGAAGCTGGGAGTGCGGCAAGGGCTTCTGGGTGGTGCGTGGCGGCGGTCGCGGTCGCGGCAACGCAAAGGTTGCGTCTGTTGGGCCCCAATTGGATAGCAACTTAGCAACTGGGTAAGGTCTGGACTCTGGAGGCTTCGTTGAGGGTGTCGTGGTATTGCGATTGGGCAATCCTGTGTCGCTTTGTGTGGATTGAAAACTTGCTGCAGAAGCCAGAACCTGCGCTTCTAGGATGCAATGCTCTACTGCGTTTTGTCCCTCCCTGGCACGGTATTGCGAAGGCGATTGGAATACGGGTGGCTGCTGTGAAGAGGAACAGTCACTGAGCGGGCGTATGCACTACCTTGTTTTAGTCCTTGGGCTGGTAGGCAGCGAATGAAGTGAATGCTGTTAGGGTTTCAACCCTGATGACCTGATCATCATGTGTCCCTACTCCCTAGCCTAATATACTGGTTGCTGCTGGCAGTTGTACTACATGCGCACTTGGGACACCGTACTACAGGATCACCTGTCGAGACTTTGTACGGCAGGGACATTCGGGGGTAACCGTATTCAGGGTTTAGTTGCAAGGTATTTAAGATACACCAACCCAGACCAACCATCACAGGAATCCCTTCATAAAGATTGGTATTACAGTATTTTAAGCAAACACCATGTTTAAACAGTAATGTTTGGTTGGTTACTGCCGGTATGTAATGTTTCGCAGCTCAGGGTGCTTTTGTGAACTACCGTATAACGTGTACAGCAGGACCTGTCAGTTACCGAACCGTTGGCTGGTTATGTTGGTGGTGGTTGGCTGTTGGAAGACCAAGCGCAATAAAAAGAGGAGGGAGCGGCGGAAGGCGAACGGGAATAATGTATTGCATTTGTGTCAGCCGAACGAGGCAAGCACGTTGTTCGCAGTCGGGATGGGCTTCAAGTATCTACATGTACCTACATTGCTAACTCGTGTGGCCCTTGGTGAAATGAGTTGATGTGCGGTCTTATGGAACGTAGCCGTCCGAAGGGTAGCCATGCTCATCTGCAAGCTGTGTTGCTGCTGCATATAGCAGTTGGGTGTGTTGGGTAGCCATTGGGGTGGGGATGCGAGGCTAGCTGGGGGTGTTGACATACGTATCCATTGTAACAGGAGGAGCTCTTAAGCAGGCCGAGATGCACCCACTTCGCGTGTACGGATTGCCTATCTGTCTCGACATTCGTTAAATAGGAGGACGGGATTCGCCAAAAGAGACCCACGGGTCAATCAAGCACGTCAATTTATCGTTGTGCTCATGGTGCACCGCAGTTCGCAAGCATGCTCTATGTAGCACCGGTTCAACAGCAGCAAGACGGATTGCTCTTCATCGCGCCTCATCTGGTGAAGGACAAGTCCTGCGCTAAATGGTGTCATAATCCTACCAGTGTCCCGCAAGTCAGGCACGCTTGCAGTACCACACCCTACCACCACCTAGCAACGCAGCACCCACCAGCTCCGAAACCCCTTCTCCCCGCCATCTAAACAGCATATCACCCAATCATTGTTTATAATCATTCGGCAAGAACTCGATCCGGCCAGTAAACAACGCTTCCAGCTCGGCTATCGACATGGTCAGTATCCTGGCTTCCCGGTCACCTGCCCCATAGCTCACGTACAGCGTGCCCTCCTCACTCAGAAACAGGCCCGCCACATACGCAATGTGTGCCTTGGTGGGGTGGTGCGGATGCCGGTAGAACGTTAGGTTCAGCTCATCCGACACGTCCGTGATGGCAAAGGGAGGCTCCGGCTGGAACTTGTACGCGAAGTGGCGGTACAGTTTGACTGTCTTTGACTTTTGGGACTTTGACCGGCGTTGACTGGTGCCACTGCTGCTGCTGCTGCCGCCACTGTGTCCCGTAGCTGGCCGTTCGTACTTTTCTATATGGTGCATGATGCCTAGGTAGTAGGGTTTGCCGTCATGGGCAAGCTTCCCGTCCACACGGACCACCGGCGGCCCGCCGTGCACGTCGTGGCCGGTGAAGCGCGAGAAGAGCTCGGGTTTCCCCTGTGTTTCGTAGCGCACCGTGCAGGCGCCGCTGGGGCTGACCTCCAGGATGCGATGTGGGTTGACCATGTGGGTCACGAACAGGGTTTCGGAGCCGGATCCAGATCCAAATGCCGTACTGCTGCTGCTGCTGCCAGCGGAGGCGGTGCTGTTGTTGTAGACCCATGGCATCCAGTTCTGTGGTGCCATGGCAGGTTGGGAAAGAAGAGGATAGGGCAGGAAGCTTCGCAAACGGGGATGGGCATGCCAGCTACGCTGCGATGGTGGTGGCACATGCCTGTCTTGTAGCATGCACCCTTCCTTCAGCTCAGTGGGCTAGGACTTAGCTACATTGTTAACCAATCATCATGCCGGGAATTGGCCTCCTTAAGGGCCCCAACCAATACTCAATAGCCAGTCCAGCCCTTTGCTCTCAAACCCTCCCTATGCCCTATGCCGTAAGGGGACGTACCTTTTCCATGATAAACGGCGCCTCATCTGGGTAGTTGTAACCGCTGGCTATGTACAAACGCAGCGGCTGCTGCAGCCGCCATTGCCCAGCCGTTGCCTCGGGCAGGATCTGCGCAACCCACTGGTCGTACACAACCTTGCTCGTACAGTACGGGCTAGCGCCAAGCGTCCGCTGCGGTTTGCGCCCAAAAATGGCGTAAACGCCTTTGCCAGGCCAGCGCCAGACCTTGACGTCCCCGAGACCGGTGACATCGACCTTGCCGCCGCGGACCCGTTCGTCAAACTCGCATTCAGGATAGGGTTCTTGCCAAGGGTTGTACGCCTGGCAACGGAGGCCTTGCAGGTCGTCGTGTGGGCCTAGACATACGTAGAGGTGGTTGACCCAGAATGTCTTGCCCTTTGCCTTGCGAAATGTTGTGCGCTTGAGGGCAGATAAGGACTTGTCGCCGTGCAGGACCAAAGATGGATTGTAGACTGCTTCCAAGTTGGTCCATGCCACAGCGATGTCGCTGTTTGCCGTCGTGCCCTGGAGAGATGTGTGAATTGCTACTAGGGCTATAGCTACAGCCAGGGCGTGTACAGCTGGGATCCTACTCGCCGTGTGCGGCATGGTCATCCGCCACGTTAAATGGAGGGTGGCAGGCGGCAGTGTTGGATAGGGCCACTTCCCATTATCTCCACAGCTTCTAAATAGCTTGTACGTCACGGAAGGTATAGTTGAAACTGCTGTAGTTGGCTCCTCGGCTGGTTGTAACCGGTAAAGCCGACGTATCGGTGCCGCGAAACAAGAGCACGCGCAACGATATTATGGTTCTGGAGTGTGGGCTCAATACGAATTTGTAACTAAACTAAAAGGATGAGTGATCTGTACATGATGTAACGTTGATGGCGGGACGCTATACCATCTACTCATCGACTAAATTTTCTACAGTATACAAGGCAGATTACATAGCCTTGTAAAACATACCCACACAGAGATTTTAGGTCGTTAGGTGTGCAATACTGGTAACGTCATAGAGGAGTACCAATTCAACTTGCGAATGACTGATCGTTGGCTAGCCTACACCACAGACCACATCGCCTTACGGGTACAAACGGTCTACCTAATACGCAAAAAACTTTTGGCAAAGTAAACTGCATGGACCTTAGTACGACAGGCAGGTGGTTCAGGCTTCAGGGTGTCACGTCCTGCTGTGGCTGAATCATTTGGTGGGGGTTAAGTGATCTGAGCGAATTTCTACTTGGTTGACATTTCCCACAATTCCCGCTATTTCCCACTCACGAAAGATACCACTTACAGTACACTCATTGACACCCAATGACGCGCGACATACCCGAGTCAGCCCCTTAGGCAAAGCTTTTCCAAGATCCCGGTTGTTCGTTTACGGTGATGGCGCTGCTTAGGAGCGCTGTAACCGGTGGTTATACTGTTTCACCACGTCCCGTGCATGTATAGCGGAGCTGCCGAACAGGTGGGTTTGCGACTTCGACCTCTCTTACAAATCAGGGGACGTTTGTCCTAGCACTATCAATACTGGTAGGCGTCCTTCAAGTCCCGCGCAAAACGCGCGACTGGAGCTCTTGAGCCGTCCATATTGCCTTGGATATCGGACGCAATTATTTTTAGGTTACATCTATGCAAATAAACATGTTGCACTCCTTTCTTCTGAGCTTGTCTACGCTGGCCCTGGTCCAGGTCGAAACGATATCCACGTCACGGTCTGCGCTTGACCCTCTGGCGTCGATATGAGAGCAGGCTATGCCCATCATGCAGCGTTTTCCAACGAAATGTCAGGGCGTCCTCCACATACGTCTTCCCAGGCTCCGCCTTCGGCGCCGGGCGTTCTCTCAGCAAATAAGCATCCTGCTGAAGGCTTGTTAGCCGGTCGATGTCAACATGCAGTTAGCTTTGCAGTGGTCCCTGACGTGGGGCAGCCTGCTTTTTGCCCGAGGTCAGCATGGCTAGCACTTACGCAAGCGCACCAACAGCAGCTATTCGGCGAGCTACCGAAAGTCACAAACGAGCACTTGCGCCCAGTTGCATCGCGAGACGAGGGTACGAACTTTTCGTCGTTGTCATCTGGGCTACTTGCAGGCGCAAAGCGCCTTCGGGCTGCGGCTGATGAGCATATTCCAGGAACTCACGACTTGCAGCGTGCCAACCAACAGCGGCAATGGAGTCCTTTGGCTGGTCGGCGAGATGGCAGCGCGCCTTCCAGCCAAAAAGCTAACCTACAGTCTTTGGCGTTTGGGCTCCCTTCAGTCCGTAGCCTCCCTCCAACTGGCACCTTCGGTCTGGCACCGCACTTAACCCTTAGCGCTGTCCATGTTGACGGTGCCAGCTCTTCAGTTGCGACTATACAGGAGCATGTTGCGACAGACCGTCCAGCCACCAAGCCACGGCGCGACAATGGCAACACCAAATCCATCAATCACATACAAGCTGCCACAACTACCACCTTACCGTATCCCGCTCCTCAACAGCAGCAGCAGTGGCAGCCTCAACATCACTCGGCATGCCTTCACCGTGAAGGGTCGTCCGCTGCTCCCGCTGCTGTTCTCGCCCAAACGGCGACACTTTTCCCGGGCACATGCGACTCGCGGCTTGAGCTGCGGGGATGCAAAAATGGGGATCCCCGCCACACCGGTAGCGATAGCGACAGCGGCGATGTGAGCGGTTTGGTGGCAAGTGACAAGGCGGACCAAGCCATAGCGGAGGACAGGGAGGACAGCCCCGGTGGCAATGGTAGGAGCGGAACGATCTGTGCAGATGGCGTCGGCGATGCGGCCCAAGGCTACGGATTCAGCGGGCCGTGCATCAGCGGGGATGCCTGTGGCTGTGCTGCTGCTACAGCTGTGCCCCAACCATCCGCCCCATGGCTACCGGCACGGCCTTCTGACGTCGCGGCTGACGGGGCCGCAGCCGCCCTCTGCGGCAAGGGGTCCGGCACACCCCATCACCCCATTTCTATAGCTTGCTTAACCACCACCAGGGGAAGCGATTCAGCGGGGAGGGCTGCAGGGGGTTCCGCTGTCCCTAGGCCGCAGGCAAACACGTCGGACGACAGCAAGCATCGCCTGCCTGTTGCAGTGCAGCAGCAGCCACGCCTCTGCCAGCCGCCTGAGCCTATCTTAGCGCAGTTGGGTGCGGCGCTTCCACCGGAGGTTGCGGTGCGGCTTAAAAAGAAGATTCGCATTATCCAGCCCATCAGCAAGACCTGGGAGGAGGAGACGCTGTTCAGCGCTGCGGGCATCGCAACTGCTACTGCTGTAGTTGGCAACAAGAGGAGCTCTAGCGGAGAGCCTAAGAACCAGGCGCAGGCACCGTCAGCATCACAGCCAGCTGCTGCAGAAGCGGCACCACCCAGCGTTGGCCGTGGCGCCGGCGGCGCTGTAAACTCCAGCAAAAGCTTGCCGGGGCCTTCCGCCAGAGCTCTGCCATTGGCGCCCATTGGCTACATCCCAGCTCTAGAGCAAGCCGCGGCCACCGCGGCTGTTGCGGTTGGCGGGGCCCCTTCGGGTCCTGGGCCGGAGCGGAGTCAAGCGGCAGGCGCTGCGGGTCGGGCACCGGCTGCGGCCCCGCTGTTTGCCGACATGCCACTACCTGCTCCGTACAACTGCACCACAAGCGCACTGACCGTTGCCGGACCCTCACCGCCTTCAAAGCCGGGTAGCGACGGCAGACCCTCCTCTCCGTCGCTTCTACCATCCCGCGGGTCGTCGGGCCCCTCGGCTGCTCCCTCATGTTTGGCTGCGTCGACCCAAATACACGCAGCGGCGGTGCCGCAACTGTCGCAGCCTGGTTGGGCTTCAAGGACATTCCGTGCCCAGGTCTCATCGGGTACGATGCCTTCTGCTGCAGCTGCCGCCGGCAATGGCGGTGGCTGTGGTCTGGTCAGTCCTGGCACCGCTGACATCCTCAGTAACACCACAACGACGGCTGCTGCGGCGGCGCCTGCGGCAGGTTTCCCTGGCAGTGCACCTGCGCAACAGCAGCAGCGGCGGGTGCTGCAGCCTCTCGCACAGCGGCATGCGGGACCGCAGATGCAGTTGTCCGCACTGCCGGCTGCTTCTCTTGGTAAAGTGCAAGGGGAGCTAACGCTGATGTATCAGTGGTACGTGGCCAACAAGACGGTGTATCTGGAGCAGGCGCAACGACACCTGCAGCGGCTCGCTGCGTTGACGGCGGCGGTTGAGGTTGCAGGGGTGCCAGCAGCGGAAGGTGGGCCATCGGCGGCAGCGAGCGTGCGTGCCGAATCGGCGGAGGCCATGCGGGCGTTTGAAACGGCGCTACATATCATGCGCGTCTGCGGGAATGTGGAAGAGCAGCTGCAGGCCCCGAAGAAGGCTGATGCTGTTACTGCTCCTGCTGCTGCTGGTACGGCAGGTACAACATCGGCTGCGAAGGCAGGTGCGCCGGCCTGGGTGGCGCCGGCAGCAGCAGCCGCGCCGGCGGTGCGGCTGCAGTCTTCAGCAGCAGCCGGTGTTCCTGCAGGCCGGCAGTCGGGTCCCTCGACCGGGCCGCAGCTCGAAAACGCCGGCGGTGCGGCTGCCATGCAACCCTCAAGTGGGTCAGGTCCGGTGTTTTGCGAGCCGGTTGCACCCCAAGTCGCGGGCTGGGCTCAGGGCGCCGGGGCGGCATTGGCGGTGGCAGCGGTCCTCGTGGGCTCTGTGGGGTGCAGCGGCGGAGAGGGTCATGCCCCGCTTCGCATGCCCGCTACCGCCCCTGGAGCTGGTGCTGCCCTTGCTGCGGCTGCTGGGCATGCCGGCATGGTGCCGCAGCCGCCTTTGCAGGCGACGGCGACAGCAGCGGGGCGGAAAGGTCCCATGTCAGGGGAGGCTGCTGCGGCGGCGGCGGCAGCAGGAGGAAGAGGGCACCTTGGCGGCAGTGCAACAGCAGCGGCGGCGGCCATGATGCCGTACCTCGTGGTAGCTGAGAACCATCAAGCCGTGGTGGCTTAATGACGCGTATGGAGGGCTGGTTTAGTAGTTGCTAAAGTTTTCTCTGGGGTTCGGGTCTGGGAAACAAGAAGAGATGGCGTGTGAAAGGGGTGGAGCTGGACAGCAGTGGATGTCGCTTGAGAGGAGAGATAATATTAGCAACGAAGCTGCTGAAGTGATATGACGCACTTTGCTCTTTGCTTGTTTCTACTGACCCGTGGGTCGTTTCGGGACGAAATTTGTGTTGCGACCGAGATGCCGGGGCGGCAGGGCTTTATTGTTTCTATTTTGGACGTGGTCTGATGTGTAGGGAAAGGGTAAGGACGTGAAATGAGACTGGTACTAAAACGCTGCAGCAAAGCCAAGACAAGAAGTTTTCCTGTCCGTTCTTAACAACTATTGAAAAAGCCGCATTTGGTAACACGCATGCAGACGTATGATAATAGTAGTAGCGGCCGCGTTTCATTGAAGCCATGCATCTAGAGGAGTGAGGTACACCTCCATTCCTCGAGTGCTGTTATCAATGCGGGCCAACTGTTAGCCCCCCATGTGGATTGCGGTTATTTAGCATGTTGGGCCTTTGCAGTAACGCGCTGTTAGTTGCTGTCTTTGTTGACGTGTGTGGTTTGATGATGGTTGTTGGCACAATGATGGTTATGGACAAGTAGTGTCGGGCTCCCCTATGGTGCGTTACTGTTGCTGCATGTAAAAGGTGTTTGGCTATCGGGTGCTCGGTTATCGGGTACTTGGAGAGCTGGCCTGGCGAGGCGCAACGCCTGTGCGGTTGTTGTGATGTGCTGGTCTGCAAGGGAAGTGCGGCCGAGGTGGCTTTGGGGCAAGGATTTGGTTGCTGCATGACGTTCCGCATGACAGAGATAGTACGGCGCATTCGGGTGGCAAGCTTTATGAAGTTCTTTCTTCACGGCGTAACCAGAAGTGGTTATGGGAAGGTAGTACGACATGCCTGCATGCCGCATGTGATTCGTTCACCTTGCTTACGGAAAACGGTCGAGGTGGCTCATGGCAAGGATGGCATTCGATTAGCAGTTCCTTTTGCTCAGTTTGCTTGCTTCTGCTCGGGTGCTCTCATGCAGATATGCGAACCTGCACAACTGCTTGCCATGCTCGTAGCTATTTATAAACATGGCATTAGAGGGGAAGACAAGTGGGAGTGCCGTTTCGGCATTATCTTGCCATGTCTCGGTTCATGCGACAGCTTGCATGTTTTGACAATTGGAGGGGCGTGTGACATTCCTAGGAGCGGCGTGAGCAGGGTGCGCGATGTCGAGGGGACAAAATGATGGAACGTTCCTTTGCTTGCAACGGGCCAGGTTCGTACCCGTGCTATGCTACATGGCCTGGAAGCTGACCCGTGACATATGAGGTTGGGGTTTAGGGCGCATGTGCCCCGTTGTTGATGGTGCCTCCAAGCGTGCGTCTTCGGGAGTCATGTGTGTGTCAGTAGGAGCGAATCAGCCGTGTTTTGCGACGTGCAGGTCACTGCTGTTGGACACCGATGGTGCGGGTTATTCCAGCGGTGGACAGCGGTGGTTTGTTGGCAGCGGGCATGCCTTGTTTGTTTGAAACCAACGCCTGTTTTCTGAGTGGTGTTCCCCCGTCTTCGGGGTGATTGTCGAGGTGGAAATGATATGTTCGTAAGGAGAGGGAGGAGAGTGCATGGAAACGGTCGGTTTGGTGTTGTGGTTTGTTGAAATAGGAGAAATCTCATATGTTTGCTGTCCTACGGCCCGACCGTCGGTGTGTATGCTGAGGGGGGGCGCGTAAGGAGGGTGCAATGTTCGCTCTTGGTTATCCCTTGTTTCCGTGTTTGTGGAAAATTACCGCCGTTTCCGTTATAAGTTTGTGGCTCCGTAGTTGTGCTTGCCAGTTCGTTTGCAGTTTACGACAGAATTTGGTACTTGCTTTAGTTCAATTCAACGAATGAAAGTTTACGGTGAAAGACATGTGTGTTGTGAAGAAGTCGCGGGGATAGCGGGTATGCCTTGTGGAGATGTTGAGGTATCTTGTGCTTCTTTCGAGAACTGTTTTCAGGACGTCAGCCCATTAGGCCTTCGTATGGTTGGTATCCCTATTCCATGCATCCATCTTTCATGGCTAGGGCACAGAGACTCGGACCAATACCTGTTTACATGTCCCCAAGTGCAGCCGTGCGTGCATTGAGGACGCGGTTTTGCTTGTTCCCGCTGCTTTTACCGCATGCTCTCTTGGGCCATGGTACTTCAATACGTGTTTGGAATGGCTTTCACGTCAAGTTGTTCCGCCCTCCTTGCAAGTGGCAACCCTTGCCAGGCTTGCGGGAGGAAAGAAAGTTAAGCCGCCACAGGTTGCGTGGACTTGTTGTCCTTCTTTCCTCGCGCCGCATGCGGGAAGTGTGCCTTGGCGCGTGTGTAAGTGTTTCTGGTGTCTTGTGTTGGGACCCCTCTCGGGGCGCTACAGACGTGGTGCTGGTTTTGGCGTTTGCAAACGCTGCCTGCTTTGGTGCAGTTTTTACCCCAGATTGCACGCAACTCAAAAAGCCTGCACGGTCTGCTGATGCCGGCTGCAAAATGCTTTTTTGAGAAATACATTTTTGTACTGCTGCCGTGGAAATGTTGTGATAGAAGGCTGGGTGCCACAATTGGATACGATCTTACCGGTATTGGCGTTTCTTTGTTACCGGTGGGTGGTTTAGGTTGTTACGTCCGTGTCGCGCTGTGTTTAGTTTACTGTAAACTATGAGCGCTTGCCCGTTTATGAGCCTGGGAGTTGTGCGACGGGTATAACGACAGGGCAGGGTTTGTGTGTTTTGTGCAGCTGGTGTAGTGGTGGCACGGTGTAGGCTCCGATGTATGACGGGTGGGACACATAGGCGTATGGTTTGTGTCAGAAAGGCCCATTACCTGTCCCGTTCTGTTTGGTTGAGAAGCAGGCAATCGTGACTTTGCGCTTGCCTTTGCATGCCGGTCCGGTCCCATCATTAGTCGACGACACCTTGGTTCCCCTTGTATGTTTGTACCCTCTTCCCGTACCCCAGAAGAGGGCCGAGGCGTCAGTGAGAAGAGGTTAAACAATTATTCTCCATCAGATGAATCATACTCATGACTTTAGGGCCGCTATAGCTTGGGCGTTTAATGGTTGGGTGGCCCGAACGGCATATGTGCATGGCGTTGGAGAGAAGTAATGAGCGAAGTCATTATACCCCTTTCAACCTTCTCACACGTGCACGGTGCAGTACGGTACAGCTGCAAAGACAGCATCTTGCTCTGCAGTCTCGGCATCTTTAGCCATCAACATCAGGACAAGGCAGCATATCCCTTAGGGAATGAGTAATTAGCTGAAGACAGCCATGTCCGCAAACCTTCAAGTACCGCACTCCTCGTGCTATACCGTACAATACTCCACAAGACAGAGCTGCTAGCGCCTGTGTGCAACAAACCGCCAACAAACAACTGGTGAAACCTGGGGCTAACAAGGCGCACCATCCAATGAGCTCACTTCGCCGCGTTGGCAGTCTTGCGGCATCACTTCACCTCCTCCGTCAATGTGACCGACGTCAAGCCTCCAGCGCGCTCGCCGTCTAGGGCTAATGGCCCCACGAAAACCCCTTCCACAATATCCCAACCAACGCACCAGGTATCCCCTTCCCAAACCCCAAACGCTGACCGCACTTCCCTTGCAGCATTGAGAAAACCCTCAAAGCCTCCCTTCCAAAGCAGCTCCTCTCGCACGCCACCGGTGGAGAGCACCGACAGACCCATGGGTCAAACCCTCCTCCCCGCTCCCCGCTTCTGCCGCTCCGTCCACCATCCGCAAGCCCACCACAAAACGCAACCCCTTCCTTCCCTCAATGCGATACCATTCGACCCATTCCAGCAGACATGTTGGTAGGACGGCAAGCCCAGCGTGAGTACCCCCCCCCCCTTGTTGCCGTCCAATCGTGCCGAGGCCGACATACAAGATACAACAGCACCTTGTGTAGCGTTCCGGGAGTGTGGCCTAGGAAGCGGTGTTGTCGCTGCTGCTGCTGTCGGTGAGTCGTTGGAATGCACTGCTGGGGTAAAAGCGGACCTCCTAATAACAGCGGCAGGAGCAGCAGCAGCAGTCTGGCGCCTGAAGCCGACTCGCCCTTTACGCCTCCACCTGACGCCAGAGAAACAGGAATCAGCCCGCGTAGGTTAGGAGGAGGCGAGGCGAGGCGAGGCGAGGCGGGGTTTGAGGACGGCAACCGTTTGGGGCTCAAAGCAGGGGCAAGGCGGCTATGGCTCATGCAGGTTTGGACAAGGCAAGGCAAGATCTCCTTCGCCTCCCCCTCTCTGTAGCTTTCCCTAACTCCTCCCCTCTCCCTCCCCTCACATTGGCCGGCTCCTTTGCGGTGAGGTCCAGCTCCCGGCCCGTGATGCGGCGGTACATGTCCAGCACGTCGTCCACCGTGGTCTCGAAGTGCGTGGTGGCGTCGTAGCCCTTGGAAATGTAGCACTGGTCGCTGGGGGTGGGAGGAGGGGAAGGGGGGGGGGGTGTGCGGGGGAGAAGGTAAATTATAGATAAGTGCAACAACTGGAGGGGGTGGGAGGGGGTGGGGCAAAATAAATGAGAATTGCAGCAATTCTGGAGTCCGAAATGCCATATCCCAAGGAGGGTGGGGGTGGGGGGGAGGCTATAAAGTTGGAGGTGGAGGACGAGTACAGGTGAGCACATGGCATTACCTAACTTACCCAACCGAACCCACCCCAACCCACGCATCCACCCCACCCCACCTAGACACCTACCAGTGCTGTCCCCCACCACCCCCTCCACCCACCCCCCTCCACCCCTCCACCCACCCCCTCCACCCACCCCCTCCACCCAACCCCCTCACCTGGTTCCATCCGCCAGCGGTTCGCACACGTCCCGCACCTCCACGAACACCTCGTCGGTCTTGCCCAGCAGCGCCAGACCGGGGGCCAGCTCAGCCTGTGTTGGGGGGAGGGGAGGGGAGGGGAAAGTGGTAGGCGGGCAGGAAGGCGGGCGAGATAGCGCGGTTATCAGCATGTGACGCACAACAGCCTTCACCTCCCTACGCTAACCTTTGCATTGTGGCAGCCTATCGCCGCCTATACCCGCTGCATCGCCCTATCTCCAGTGGGTTCCTATGGTTTGGGGTATTGTCTTTATCCCTCCTTCCCTCCCTTTCCCTCGCCGTCCCACCCCCACCTCAGGGTTTGAGGTCTCTACGGTGGTGCTCACGAAGGCAATCCACTTGTCTGCAGAGGGAGCGCCGAAGGAAGGGGGGGAAAAAAGAAATTCCGCAGGAAGGGAGAAAGAGGGGACAGGAAGGCAGCGAGGCAAGGGTTGAGGAAGGCAGGGAAAGAGGGGAAGGGTAAAGGCAAGAGGAAAGGCACGCATGAAGCCGACCCATCCCTCCGCCCGCCGCCCTCGCGCCCCCGCACATACACATACCGGTATACCGTATAACAATGACCTCAATGCACACGCAAAACACACACACACACACACACACACACACGGCGGTTCTGTGGGGACTTCACCTTCCGACATCCCAGTACGTTTCTCCTCGCGGCCAGTTATTTAACACACACACGTGCACAACCCTCCCTTCCCCCCTCCCAGGGGTGCCCCTCACCACCGGCACCAGCCCCTATCAACGCTATATGAATAGAACCACTCTGCGCCCCCTTTTACCTTTGCTGGCCACGTTGTGGGCGTACGAGCAGCAGAAGACGTACATGTCGTACTTGCGACCCGTCTGCTTCTGCGGCAGGATGATCTGCACGCTGTGCGCGTTGTCGGTGTTGGGGATGGGGTGGCTCTGGGGGGGAGGGGAGGGAGGAGGTAAGGATGGGAGGGAGGGAGGGGAGGGGAGGTGTGTGGGGAGGGAGGGAGGGAAAGGAGAGGAATGGGATAAAGGGCAGAAAGTGTTGGGGGTCAATGTCTTTAAATGTTCCGTACCATGGCCACCCTTTACCACCAGGCTTGCAATTAGTATCACTCACAGCAGAAAGAGTAGGGTTCGTCTTCTGATTCTCCTCTGTTCTAATCCTCCTCTTGTCAGCTTGTTTTACCACTATCACCCGCCACCCACCATGATCGAGATTGACTATACACATTCCCATAACCCAGCCTAGTGCGGAACAGGACTCTATCCCTACCCGCCACCCACCATGATAGCGATTGACTATTCACATTCCCCTAACCCAGCCTAGTGCGGAACAGGACTATCCCTACCCGCCACCCACCATGATAGCGATGGCCCGCACCACCTTGCCCACCACCCGGACCTTGCCGGGGAAGTAGGAAGGGTCGCCCACCACCACCTTGGCACGAGCGACGTCGGCTGGGACCAGGAGGGGGGAGGGGAGAGGGAGGCAGGGAGGGTGAGGGGAAAAGATCATGTCAAACCATAGGAATCAACAAGGGTTAGGGCAACGCAATGGGGGTATAGGCGGCGGCAGGGTGCAATAAGCCGAAGGGAAAGGAGGAAGGGGGGAGGTAAAGGGGAAAGGGAAGGGTGGGGAACGAAAGAGAAGTACCAGGTTGTACAACCGATCATGGCGACTCAGTAGCAGGAACGGCCGCAGGAGAAGGTGTGTGTGTTAAAATAACTGGCCGCATGTGTGTTGGGGGGGGGGGGACTCAGTAGTGGGGTTCGTGAGGGGAAATGGGGGCGGGCATGCGCGGCAAGGTGTAGTCCTCCCAGCACACCTCACCCTCCTGCCCCACGCCCTCTCAGTGCCACAACCCACCATCTCCCTCCCTCCCCTTCCTTTCCCTCCCCCCTTCTCCCCCCTCCTCTCCCCTCACCCCCCTACCTCCGTTCTTGATCCCCACCGCCACCCCCTTCTCGTCGTACAGCACCTCCACCCCCGGCTGGTTCAGCATGTAGGTGCCGCCGTACACCGCGGACAGGCGCGCGAAGGCCTGCGGCAGCTCACCCAGGCCGTAGCGGGGGTAGAGGTAGGGAGAGTTGAGGCCCTCGTACCTGCGAGGGGGGTGGGGGGTGGTTTGGGAGGGGGGATAGGGGATGAAGAAGTGTAAAGCGGGGTCTGACTTCAAGGTTAAGAGGAGGGGTTAAGAGGAGGGGTTAAGAGGAGGGGTTAAGAGGAGGGGTTATGGGCCGTGCGACATGGCTCCAAGATGTGTTGCGCTATGGGGGGGGGGGGTGGGAGGTTGCGGCGGGGAGGAGACCACAGAGAGAATCTCCAAACTGTTTCCGCAAGTGAAACCACAAGCTAGGGCAAGGCAGCAGATAGGGTAGTGGAGGGGGCGTGTTTACGACATAGCGGGAAAAGGAGTTGGTTGAGCAGCGACGGTCCGTCGGTCCCACATCCCCACAGTCCCTCTCCCTCCCCCATCCCCCCACCTGAACAGCGACTCGTGGTAGAGCTTGATCTTGAGTACGGTGGGCAGCGCGGGCTGCGACAGGTAGCCGTCGTCACGCTGGGGGGGGAGAGCGGGGAGAAAGTGGGGAGAGAGGGGAGTGGCGGATGGCACATGGGAGGGGAAGAAGGGGGCGAGAAACGAGCGAAGAAGGCGAATGAGGGGACGGAATGCGAGCGCGGAAAGGATCCCAATTCCACCAAAGACACTAACATCTCCCGCCCAGCTCCCCCCCCCTCACATGCAGCGCCAGCGCATGTCCGATGAAGTCCTGCGTGTCCTCACTCAGGTCGTACTGGCGGTACAGGTCGGTCATGGTGAGGCGGGACAGGTCCAGACCCTTGTGCGTGCGAGGGTCGGAGGGCTCGTAGTCCTGCACGTAGCTGGGACCGGGGGTGGGGAGGGGTGTGTGTGTGGGGGGGGGATTAGATAAACTGAGCCGCGGAAACACTGACCCTGACTGTAGGTTACCGGAAAGAACAGACAGACAGACAGACAGATGGTTGATGGTTGGTGGCTCCTGCATTCCCATAGTGCCACATCCTTCCCTCTCCCTCCCCCCGTTCCCTCCCCTTCCCCCTAACCCCTCCCCTCTCCCCCTCTCCTCCCCTCTCCCCCCTCCCTCACAGGAAGAAGTTGCGCGCTCTCCGCTTCTCGAACAGCCCCATCAGCGGCGAGCGCAGCGCCTCCGAGTCGTTGGCTGGCACCTTGTGCACCTTGCCCTTCTGGAGCACGTAGGAGCCGTCAACCGCCTGGGGAGAGAGGGGGGGGGGAAGGGGAGAGGGGAAGAGGGGGCGGAGAATATTTGAAAAATGAAGCAACTGGAGTCCCAAGCCCGTATCCCGACTCATGCAGTAAGCGCATACGGAGGGGGAGATGATGTAAGGACAGGGTTCGAATTTCACGATGTAAGTTGCGGTGTGAGGTGCGGGTGGGACGGAGTGCCCTTCAGGCCGTTCTTCCTCTCGGCCCAAGCAGCTTCCCAACATGTGGGAACCATAACCCTGTGCACTTCTCCCAGCTCCCCTTAGTCCTCCTCCTCCTTCCTTCTCCACCCCTCCCCCCCACCTTGAAGCTCCCTCCCCTCTACCACATGCACTCCCCCACTCTCCTCTCCCCCCTCCCCCACCTTGAACTCCAGGTACTTGACCACGTCGGTGTGCAGCAGCACGCGCACCAGCTTGCCGTTGGCCATCATGAACTTGGGAACCATGTCAACATTGTAGTCGCGCGAGGCGCCCAGGGACGCGGCCGGAGCGGCGCCACCACGGAATCGCTCGTAGAGCTGAAGGATGGGCGCGAAAATGGTGGATGAATTGGAGGGAGGAGAGAAATGTGTGGGCTGTTTGTTGTTGATGGGAAATTGGGGTGAGCTGGGAAGGGTTTCCTGGGCGTCAGGATGGGCGTTGATTGCTGTTAACATGGCAGGATGAGAGGTTCTTCATAGGTGACGGTAAATATATGGTTCATGTCGATTTCCGTGGCTGTGGGTGCGCATTTACGGGTTCGCATGTACCTGGGTAAGGCTGAGCGACGCGGATTCGCCACCATAGTAGTTGTTGCGGTCTACGTGCAGCACCTGGGAGGAAAGAGTTACATTTAGGGCGAAGAAACAAAAGAACAAACAAGCGTTTCCATGCGACCCGACCTCCTACCTTCTTCTTGTCTACCGACAGCAGCCCGCTAATGATGCACTCCTTTAGGCCGGTGCCCAGCACAATGGCGTCGTATTCCTCGTTCATCGCGCACGCACTAGGAGACGAAGAAGGAAGTTCGTCTCAAGATCGCGCCTGTCAAGCGGAAAGCTAAGAAGTTACAATCCTATTGTGTGACAGAACTAACAAGGTTTCTGCGTTAGGGACAGGACGTTCTTCCTTCGCTGATCTACAGAGCAAGGGTGTTGTGTCCTCAGCTGAGTACGACAACTGAAGGCTTTCATGCTCGTTTGACGCCAGCCGGCATGCAATACAGTGGTCATAGACACGGGTAATCAACCGGATTATTGTTGCTCTAGAAGAAGTTGACATTATACAGGAATTTCGCCCAGGCAGATGTGTACAGTGGGCGTAAAATTGCAGAAGCTTTAGGGCAGCGGGTCTTAATGATTACCTGGTTGCCTATATTTTCATTTATCCGGGGCTGACAATGAAACGAGGAGGCCACGCCACCAAGAAGGCTCGATTAGAGTTGAGCGAGGATGGTTCAGCCGAGCCCCCTGATCCAATTGCAGCCGCTATGGAGGCCAAGCGTAAGCACCTTCGTTATCTTGATCTGAAGGCCTGGGAGCGTCCTAATCCTCAGTCGCTGACAAAGGTCAACCCTCTTCCAGGCTTGCGACTGCTTGCTGGCGGTGCAGCAACTGCAGATTACTCCTCGGTTAAGCCCCCAAGGGTTGACAGTGCCCCAGGTTTGTACTCTGCAACGCAGCTATTTCGCAGCTGGGTGGACAACAGTTTGCCTCTCTCCAACCATCCAACCATCTATCTAATCGTCCCTCGCCCAACACGCAGACCTTTACGATGCATATGCGGCCGGCACCAGAGGCGCCGCTCCGCCATTCTCAGTTACTACCACGACCATCACCCGCATCGCACGACAGCGTCCTCCGCTGGCGGCCCCCGCTAGCGCACTCCCAGCCGGCTCCAGCGCAGCAGCGTCTGCACCGGCGCCCACCGCCACCGCAGCAGCAGCTGGAGGGCGAGATGACGACGGTAGCGGACTTGCCGCTTTGCTTGGCTACAGGTGCGATGCGACCAATCGCGAAGCGCCAGCCAGCTAGCTAGCTGCTGTACACTGCCTTCCGAAACGTGTATGGTCACGTATCTGTTGCCTGCAATAACCAAACGTCTTCCAAATTCACGCGGTCGCACGCTCTCGTACCCGCTTTCTGCCACCGTACCCCGGTGCCCCAATACCCGCAACCCTGCTCACCCAAAACCGCAGTGATGCGGAGGCTGGTTCCTCCTCTTCTGGTGAGGAAGACACCGGGGCGGACACCGATAAAGACGAGCAGCAGCACCAGGAGCACCGGCGGAAACTTGGCTCTGAGGAGCGGTCTCAGGAACTGCCCCCCCGGCAAGGTCAGGGCCTGCCTAACGCCCCTCGGCAGCCGCCGGCTGGTGCAGGTGGTACGGCATCTGGGTCGGCAGCAGCAGTCCCAGCGGCCACCACAACGACAACGTCTTCCACAGCTGCCACGTCTTCCGGAGTAGCTGGGGCGGGAGCAGGAGCAGGACCGGAAGCCCGGGAGGGCGAGCGAGCGGCCACGCCGGATGCTGGCACATCTGCTTCTGCGGAGGCAGGGGCGGCAGCTGCTGCGGCGGGCGGGGATAGCATGGATATGGAGGTGAGCGAGGGTGGGCTTGGTGTTGCGGCGCTGGGTGGGCTTGGTGTTGCGGCGCTGGGTGCGTTGTGCAGCGTGTGTGGGTGCTCCCGTTCCCGTGGGTTGGCGGCCTTGCAAACTCAACATGGAGCTCGCGCACGTGGCGCCGCATCGGCGGCACCGCACATGCACATGCACGCACATGCCCTTCATCCCGCTCCACACCCATGCACCTGACCAAGATGCTCATTCCCGTTGCCGCCGCTGCTTGCCGCGTGTGATCGCACACACCCGCAGCTCGCCAGCTTCATGCAGGAGCTAGAAGCCAGCGGGCTGCTGGGGGAGGCGGCTGCAGCTGCTCCCACCTTGGGTGAGGCAGCTGCAACCACCACCACCGCCGATCCCAACACCGCAAGCGCAACCCCCATGGAAGAGCCCGCTGCTGCTGCTGCTGCTGTCGCTGAGGACTCGGAGGCCTCAGCAGGGCCTGCGGGCGACGCCGCGGTGACAGCGGCTAAGACGACTATGACCAGCAGTTCAGCCCATGCTGCTGCTGCTGGCGATGGCTCTGCAGCTACTGTAGGCACCACTGCTGCTGCTGCTGGCGGCTCCACTGCAGCGGCGGCGGAGGGTGCGGAGCAGCGTGTGCTGGGCTACCTGCGTGCGGCGCCCGAGTGGTGCAAGTGCCTGGACACGGGGTCGGGTCGGGTGTACTACTGGAACCTGGGGAGCGGGCAGGTGGCGTGGGAACCGCCGGAGGGGGCGGCGGGTGGGGAAGGGGAGGAGGAGGAGCTGCTGCCGCCGGACGAACAGCAGCAGGGGGAGGGGGAGCAGAGTGGAGAGAAGGGCGGGGAGGGTGGCGGAGAGGCCGGAGATGAAGAGGTGGCGGCAGGGGAGGATGTGGGGGCGGCAGGGCAAGAGGTCCGCGGCAAGGTTGAGGGAGCTGGGGTAGATGAGGCCGCGGAGGGCAGCGAAGTAGGCGCGGCGGCGGCGGCGTTGGAGACAGGTGCCTCGGCAGGGGAGGAAGCCGGACGTGCGGCTGTGTCTACAGCAGATGTGGACACAGCAGCAGCGGCAGCAGCAGAAGATGGGCGGGGAGGCAGTGCCAGCGGTGTACACGGCGAGGGCCGTGTCGGCGCTGTTGGCGATGTCGTCATGGGAGAGGCGGGAGGCGGGGAGGACACGGAGGTTGCGCAGGAGGCGGTCAGAGGGCCTGCGGGGCAGCGGAGCCTTGACGGGGCGGTTGCCGAGTCGGCCGCCGCCGTAGCGACTCGCTGCGTACCCAACGAAGGAGGAGGAGGAGGAGAGCTGGGACGACATGGGGAGCCTGGCGTCGGAGAGGAGCGTGCTGCGGCTGCTGCTCCGGCTGCTGCTGTTCCAATGCTTGTGGATGAGGGCGGCGCAGTGGATGGGAGTACCGCTGCCCATGCTGCATGCAACGCCCCGGATGTCGCTGCCGCCCCCGATGTGGTGGCTGCTGCTGCTGGTGCTGCCTCTTCAGCAGGTGTCGCCAGCAACCCCGCAGATGGAGCAGCACGGCAAAAGGCGGCTCCCGTCGCACAGGAGGCTGATGTGGGCCATGTGCGAACGCAGGCAAAGCCGCAGGGCGGCGATCTGGGCGGTGGCATTGCGGACGGCGAACACGGGGACGGCGCAAACGGCGGCGAGGATGCCTCGGGGTCGCTGCTGCTGCGGGCGGTGTTGGGCGAGCTGGTGCTGCGGGCGCCGCAGCCGCAGGTGCGGCAGGCGGTGGCGGCGCTTGAGGCGGAGGCAACGGAGGCGGCCAGGTGCTTCCTGCAGGTGGGAGCGGGAGGGGGAGGGGAAGGGAATCCATACCTCACCCAACAGCCTCCGGCCCGGATAGTTCAACGTCGGGAATTCGGGTCTCATGCATGGCGGTTTCCTTTCCTTTGCTCCTTTCCCCTGCAGGATCTGCCCCCGCTGGTGCGCTTGGCGGTGGAGGCGCAGGTGCGTGCAGCCGACTGGCGGCTGCTGGCGGCGCAGCAGGCGGCGGCGGTGGCGGCGGGGCAGCCGGCGGAGGCGGTCACATGGGCTGCCCTGGAGCGACATGTGGTGGCGCGGGTCAAGCAGCTGCTGGAGGAGCTGCCGTACGCGGCTGCAGAGGCGAAACGCATGCGGGGTGTGGCAGTGGCGGAAGCGGCGGGTGCTGGCGTTGGAGTTGGCGGCGGTGTGAACAGCGGTGGCGGTGGTGCTGCGGTGATCGGGGCAGCGGAGGCGGGGGCAGCGGCTGTCAAGGAGGAGGCTGGGGTTGCGGCTGAAGCGGCCGAGGCAGGAGAAGCTGAGGGTGGAGCAACGCGGATGGATGGGGATGCGGGCATTGGCGGCGCCGGCGGTGTCAGTGGGACAGACAATAAGGAGGAGGAGGAAGTGGAGGAGGGGGAGCTGCCGATGGCTGAGGAGGACGAAGATGCTGCTGGTGATGCTGCTGCGCCAGGAGCTGCAGAGGCCAGGGCGGCAGCGGAGGCGTCGGCGGCGGGGACCCAGGCAGCAACAACATCAGCACCGGTCCCAGCCGCTGCAGCTACTCAGTCAGCCATGTCTCAGCATGCGCACAACGTGCAGTACGGATACGCTGGCGGGGGCAACGTGGGGCCCGCTACCAGCACCTTCGACGCCAACGGGCACTACAACTGGCATGCGCATGTGTATCGGTATGACATGTCGTACGGTACGGCAGCTGGCGGCCTCCATACCGCCGCCATGCCGTACATGCCGTACGCAGCCGCCCATGGCATGCCTGCTGCGGCGCTGGCAGCTGCACCGTTGCCGGTCGTTGCGGGGGTAGAGGCGGCGGAGGCGCCACCTCCGCTGCCGCCCCTGCCGCCACCAGAGGATGCTGACGCCGCTCCGCTTCCCACCTCCTCGCCGCCGCCACCGCCGCCATCGGAGCCTCCGCTTCCTCCGCTTCCGCCAGTACCGGGCGACGAAGACGCGCCGCCACCGCCGCCGCCAACTGGCGATGGCGACGCTGACGATATGGTTGTTGACGACGCCGCCGGGACTGCCGTACACGTCACGGCGGCGGCGGCGGCTCCAAGCCAGGTGCTTCTGCCACCTGGTTATGAAGCTGCGGCGGCGACGTACGGAACAGCAGGCGTGTACGGCACGGGCGCGTACGACGCGTATATGTCTCACATGTACGGCTATGCGTACGGCATGCCGCCTCCGCCGTTGACCACTTCCGCTGGGCATGAGGCGCTTCAGTTCGTTAACTCCTACCTCGGATACGGTCCGACTGCACTAACAACCACAACAACTGCAACGTTGGTGGCTAACACGGACCCGCTGACGTCGGCTGCCGTACAAGGAACAGCGGCGACGGCGACGGCAGCGCCGCTGCCAAAGCGGAAAGAATACCGCGCTGAGCCGGTACGAAACCCTGCGGCAACAGGTGCCGCCGCCGGTACCGACGGAGACGACGACAGCGTTACTCCCGAACCCGCAGTCACACGATTTAGCGCATCTCCCCCTCCCCCTCCCATGGATCTCCTCAATCTCCATGCGCTGCCGGCATCCAAGCCTCCGTTGCCCGCGGCGGCGGCGGCTGGGGCACCTGCAGCGGTGATGGCGGCAGCGGCTGCTGAAGCGGCGGCGCCAGCAGCTAAACGCAAGGCGGTTGCTGCTGCTGTTACTGCTGCGAATGCAGCCCTTGCTGGTGGTGGTGGTGGTGGCGGTGGTGGGAAGCGTAGCAAGGGTCTGGGCGCTCGCATGGGCGCCCTGGTGCAGAAGTGGAGTGCAGCGCAGCGGCAGTTGGAGGCGGAAGAGGAGGAGCAGGCGCGCAAGGTGGGGTTTGGTCGGGCGGGTTGGGTTGGGTTGGGTTGGGTGGTTGATTTACAACCGTAGATGCAAAATGAGCGGGTAGCTCTTTCCTAAACCTAGTCTTAAGCTAGCCAAGGGACTAGAAGAACATGTGATACCCGTCGGCTCACTCCCCGTTACCCTGGAAGCCGTTCTTCACACCCTGCTGCCTCACATCCCACACCCACCCTAAAGGCTGCCGAGGCAGAGGACCCCGGGGCCCTGGAGCGCAAACGCCTAGCAGAACTGGAGCGGTGGAAGTGGGAGCAGCAGATCACGGGCGCAGCAAGCCATAACGCCAATTTTGCGGTGCGTGTCGCGCTCTCTGTTTGCGCCGCATGTGACCCGTGGGTCATGCGCAACACGATGTTTCGTCCTTGCGTCACTGTTTTGACTTGCATGTCTGGCGGCGGGCCTCGCATGGCTTGAAGACACAACAACTTACTTACCGGTTTGTTCCCCCTTGTCCTCTTGTCCTCCTGGTAGCCTCTTGGCGACTGGCGCAGCCGCTTTCCAAAGATGGCCACGCAGCAGCAGGACGGCGGCGGCAGCAGCAGCGGGACCGGCGGGGAAGCCGCCGCAGCTGAAGCGGGGACGTCTCCAGCGGTTGCGGGAGAGGCCGCAACGGACCCTGCCACCGCTGCTGCTGCTGCTGCTGCAGCAGCCGCTCAAAAGGCTGCACGCAAGGCTGAAAAGGAGGCCAAACGCGAGAAGAAGGACAAGAGCAGGGACAAGACTAAAGACAAGGTCAAGGACAAGCAGCAGCCGTCTGCCGCAGCGCCGGCCTCGGCTCTTCCCTCCTCCTCCTCCAAGCACCAAGCCGCTGCGGCTGCGCCAGCTGCTTCCGGAGGGGGAGTGCTCAACTCCAAGACGCGACCGGACCTGGATGCGCTGTCTGCCGGTCTGCCTGCGGGCTGGCGGGCCATGTGGGACAAGGGAAGCGGCGACGTGTATTACGGCAACCTCACCACACGGGTAGGTGCCTGCCGCTTGTTGCGGCTGCTGCCGTGCTGTATACGTGTGCTGCTTCCGGTACTGCTGCATGCTGTAATAGTACAGTAAAGTATTTCAAGGGAAACAATGGCTGGCGGGGTGCAGGTGGTTTAGGTGGATGTGTGCATGAATAAGGGGTTGAAACTTGCAGCGCTGTGACTGGAGATGGCGTCGTGCCTTACCAAAGGGCAGGGCGCGCTCGCACAGCTCGCGATAGGCGATGTGCCTATCGGAGTTGCATGGTCGCATGGGTTTGGCCTTGGGACAGCTGAGGCTACACTACTGTTAGATGACGAGCGTTACGCAAAGCCGGAGTGGGAGGAAGCCCGTGTCTCATGCCCAGTGAGAGGTTTACATTGGCAACGTCCTGAGTAGGTTGCCCCTTGGCGTTCAGTAGGGCCCTGCTTATGCTAAGGAGGTGTGCACACGTGGGTTGGGTGGGTGACCCCAAAACACCGTAGCAGCAGACAAGCTGTGGCACATAGGTAAGTGGTTGCAGGTGCAGGTAAGCTGGATAAAGCTGTACACTACGCTGTTGCTTTGTTGCTTTGGCGCAACGAAACCCTCCCACTGAACGACACGAGCAGCCGGACTGCCGCCGCGCTTAGCACGTGGCGGTGCTGCTGCTGTACTGCTGCTGCATCCGTTGCTACACCGGCTGAGTAAACGCCTGAGTCGGCCACCGTCTGAATGACACACGGTACGAGCCGCATACCGAGCGGCGTGATGATGAGCTTAGCGAGGCAGCAAAGCTGGGCAAACACGGGCCAGGTAAGTATGAGGCCAGGTAAGCGACACGGTTAACCCTGCGGCGTGAAGATTTGCTAAGATGCTTCTGTATGTATGGTTGCCGCCCTTCCCGATGATGTTATTGGTTCCCCTCTGCGCCTGCTGCACCGCTGACGAGCTCTGCGCCCGCAATGCAGGATGCCGTAGCTACCGTGTGTTGCGGCTACCGAAGAGCCAGTCCTAAGCGACCTGGGACACTGCGCTGAGCCAGTCCTAGGGAAAGGGGGCTGTGTGTCAGGGTCCGATACCCTCATGGATGAAGGTATTGGGAGGTTTTCATTACCATCTGCAGTGAAGCCTTCTTTGATTTCTCAACGACCTCGCTTCTGACGATGTGTGTCCTCCCCTCCTCCCCTTTTCTGTGTCCTTTCCTCTCGCTCGGCGGCATCCTTTGCGCGTGGACGGATGGAACCTCTTCTTGTGGCTCCATTGCTTCCGCGATGTGCCTTTCAACTGCTGCCCCTCCGACTGCGACACACACACACACGTGCATCGCATGCCGCTCCCAGGAGACGTGCTGGTCCCGACCCACATGACGAGGAGGATGGAGAGAGAGACGCGCTGCAGGACGCGCGAGCAGAGAGGCGGTGGTGTTCGGGGGGAGATGAAGGAGGCCCATGCGGCGGCGGGCGGGGCGGGTGATGGCGTTGCGGGGATAGATCCGAGAAAAACAGGAAGGCGTTGCCGTACATGATACATACGGCCAGTAGCGACCCTACAAGAAGGGCTGGGGTGCGGCACGGTGGACCATGTGGATGTCTCTTTCCTCATAACGCCTGATGAACGACGCCTGTAATGACTGCGCCGCACATTGCATTTGACCGCTACTTCGCTGAACAGTTGTGAGTGAGTCGTATCTGGCGCGGAAGCGGGTAGCAAAGCGACCACGTTGTGGCTTGGAAGGGTTTCAGAGGGCTTGAAACGGGTTAAATGGTTGCAGCGTGTTGGTCGCAGCGCAACCCCAACTGGCAGCCACATCCCAGGTACAAGCGGGTTATGCTGACCGCTGACCGTTCTGCGCAAACCGGGCTTCCTGACCTAACCATGATGACGCCTAATTACACGGTTCGTTAGTCGTTTCCTGTTTACCCTCCCGGGGACTTGCTGGGACCTGTAAATCGGACCCAACGCTCAGCCAGCCACGTGGCTTCGTGGACACACCTCTGGACTTCATCTTTCGGCAATCACAGTACGTTTCGTCTCGCGGCCAGTTATTTTAACACACCTCTGCATGTTGAGATGCCCCTCTCCGGAACAGAATAGGTATCAGCTGTATAAAGGGTGCAGCCCCCTGCTTGGGACAGGGCCACATGACGAGGACTGGACTGACGAGGCATGCGTGTACGTGTCCACCAACACCCGGGTGGGAGCACCGCAGCACCCTGGTTGGAACAAGTGACAACCCTTGTTGGACTCGCTGACGTCCGCTTGCCGGAGACGCTGGCATTCCTAGTTGCAAAGAGTTGGTAGGTGTATTAAGTGCATGACAAGGCACCGTTGCAGTATCAAAAGCAGGCTATTGATACATGATAATCAGCAAAGAGCAGGCTGTTGATACATGATCTAGCATGTATGCCTCCCACCCACCATCGCAACCATGTATCTGACCGTGGCACGCCAGGGGGTAGTGGTCGCCATGGCATCTCATCTTACTTCATACCTTTCTCGGCCTTTTGGCTCAGATCATGTGTAGTATCTGTTCTTGTAAGTCTAATCGCTTACATGGTCCTCATTGAGGACCTGCGATTAACTTCAATATTTTGAGGGGGTGCGGTCAATGGGTGTGCTTGCGCATCCGACCCACCAACATGGTTGCGGCCTTACACTACCGCCGTAGCCGTGCACCCTACCCATCACAATTGCAATTGAAACCGCACTCTGTCGTGTGTTTGGTTGTTTCCTGAATCCATGGCCTTAACGGCCTTCTGCTGTGTACGTCTGTCCTGTCCAGTCAGCATCCTGCCTGGCCGCCAGGGCGGTGTGGACCCATGGCCATGCTGAGCCTATATACAACAAAGACCGCAACAATGGTCAGCGCCCTTTTAACTATCCGATGGTTTAGTTGTTCTCTTCAACGCTACAATTGTATCTGAATGAACGACTATTATTGTGGTCCCAAACCAGATAGCAAAAGGGAAAGCGGACGCTTCCCACCACCACCACCACAAGACCTGCTAGCATGCCAGCACAGATGCTGATAACGTATGTCTGGGCCAATGATATCCTGACCGCAAGTCCGCACTCCAGTTACGTCTTTCACAACCCTTCACTTTCAGCCCTACTCTGCAAACCGCACGCCGTCCCAGCCGTCTCCAAGCTGCTCCAAAAGCGAGGGCCTCGACATCCTTTTCAGCCCCCACTCCCCGTGACAGTGACACAGCCGTATCCCCAAACATGCGAACCCCAGCTCCTCATCGTGTTCTTCCCAGGTTACCGGTATTACCCGCTACCCGGCCGCTACCGGTACCTCGCAAAGTCGCCATGAAAAACCCATCACGCTGCTCCCCTGCTCACGCCGCCGCCCTCCCCCCCCTCCTGCGGCTAACTGTACACCTCTCAGCTGCTGCGGTTGTGGGCTGCTGCCGCCGCTGCTGCCGGCGGCAGTGCGGGCGCAGTCCCGGGTTCGAGCCCCAGCTGCCGCAACCGCCTCCGGAGCTCCCACATGAGATGCGGCATGTCCGGCAGGTCCAGGGCAGCCGCGTCAGGCGGCAGCGAGGAGGAGGAGGGGGGTGCGAGGGGGGGCGCGACGGGCGCCGCAGCCCCTGTCTCTTCCTCCTCCTCACGACTCGCCTGCGCTCCATCTGCTGCTGCCCCCCGCTCCTCCGCTCTGAGCGCCCCAAACTCCTGTGCCAGGTCCGCAACAGCACCACCAGCATCACCACCCCGGCCGTTGCAGCAGCCCTCGCTGCTAGGCTCGCCCCTAGCCCCACCCTGACCGCCACAGCAGGCAGCTGGGGCCGTCGTCGCGGTGCTGCTGGCGGTTCTGGCGCCCGTGGCCTCCTGCTCAGGCCGTCCTGGTCGCTGTTGCCCCGCATCCTGCTCCGCCTGCAGCGGTTGCTGCTGCCCTTCCCGCTCTTGTTGCCGCCCCTGCTGCTGCTCCTCCTCAGCTAGCCGCAGCAACAAGGGGTGTTGCAGCGGTTCAGCAGCCAGCAGCTGTTTGAACAGCCCTAGCATGGCTGTGCGGGGAGGCAGGGAGGAGGAGCAGGCGGCCGCACGGAGCTGCCGGATCTGGAGGAGGAAGGGGAGTGAGAGGGGGGGCAAGTGGCGTTGGATTTGGGTTTTTGAGAGAGGAGAGGGGGTGGGCGTCCGCTTGCCGCTTGCGCTCCTTCGTCTTTGCATTCTGTTGCCTGTCTGTTGTCATCTTTCCCGACCTTTGTGACCCTTTCTTCACTCCCCTCGGCATCCTATCACGTCTTCCCACAATGCAACACCTCCATCATGCGCCTCCGTACCGCTTCTCCACTCAGTCCAACGCCATGACACCCACCTCCTGGCTGTGGGGTTGCAGCAGCTGCTGCAGCCGCTGGATGTGAGCCTGCCCGTCCGTAGGGTGCGGGGAGGAGCTGGGCTTTGCTGGGCTGCTGCTGCTGCTGCTGGCAGCGCCGCGACCCTCCAGCAGGGAAAGTGTCTGGATGGCGCCCCGGATTAGACCCCACTCGAAACCTGCAGCCGCTCCTTCGTGAAATCCTGCATCGGGGCGGGAGCCGTGAGACAGCTTGAAGGCAAAGGAAAAGGGGATGCCGGATGTGGGATGTGGAAGGGTGTGCAGGGAAGGTAGGAGGAGGAGGGTACAGAGATGGGTGGGATGGGCGTTCGGTCAACACGGGAAGTTGTAAACGGTTAAACGCACCTGTGTTAAAGCCTTCTTGCAGAGTTTGTTCCTTTCCTTCGTCGAGACCTTCGCGGTAGCCGGCCTGCGCGTCAGCGTGTGCAATGATAGTGCGTCAAAAAGTTGCATCAGCTGGCTACGTGTTGAACGCACGACGCAAGAAAGAGCAAAACTGCTTCCTCGTACGTTGTAGAACTGTTGGTGACGGGCTTCCGCTTCGCGGTTGAGCTCGCGGTGGTCCGGCCGTCCATCGTCGCTGCTGTCGGCCCAGATGTCGCCGTCGTCGCTGCTGTCGACAACCATTCCTTTATTTAGGCGTATATCTGGGATACCGCCGTAACTATCTGTGTCCCGACTGGCAGTGCTAAGGAGGAGTTGACGCCGTTCGGCTTGCAGCGAAAAGCACAGAGCGTTTGGGCACGTAAATCAAAGTGTCATCCCCAACCCTGCCAGCCTGTGCTTGAAGCTAAGTCCTTTTCAACACATGCATCACAGCATCTGCCTTGTCAAAAGAGTTTCGTTTATGCCGTACACGTGGCAGTTGCACGCAGCCATCAGTTGGTTCCACCAATCCACCATCCTGTGCCAGGCACAGCAGTCTGCCCCGCCGCCCCGAAGTCAAGTTTTCCCTCTCCCCTTGACTTCCTGTCTTCTAGAGCCTTCTTCAGACGATATCAACCGCCAGCGTCCCGCCTCTGTCCCGGCGCCGTAGACTGCATTTACAGCTGCAAGGGGTGAGGGAGAGGAAGGACGGGAAGACGTGTCAGGGTGGGTGGGCTCCAAATGCCATCCTACCCTCGCGTCTTGTAGGGCTAGGGCCCTTCTATGTGTTCCCTGCCCTTCATGGGTCTGCGATGGCAGTTGGCCCCCTGGGAGGTCAAACATGAATAGTAAGTGGGCGGGACCTTGGAGGCAGGGAAGGGAGGCTTGCCCGGGCAAAGCGACGGAGACCGAGGTGAAGGGTCATGGAAGCTCTTGGAATGTAGTTGGCCGGTGAGTACGGCAAAGTAAGCACACGGTGAAGCACTGCTCTCGCATGCTGATGGTTCGCGCGTATGTTTTAGGAGACGATTCTTTACGCAATGTGCATAAGAAACAGACAAATCTAGTTGTTTGCGACCTGTGAGCTAGGCTTTCCGGCACATAGAATGCCATCTGCCCTATAGTTGCTTTACTTTATATCTGTTGCCTCCATTAAAAACATATTACTCAACATGTCGCGGTTTAGCGCAGCGCTGCAAGTCATTGCCAGCGCGGGCGTATCACAGCTTTCGGTAGCACAATGGGCTCCACTTGTAAGTCTAGGTGCTCTGGGCCAACTGGAGCAGCGTTGTGGGCGGTCTATGCTGACGAGCGTGTTTGGAGGTGTCAATCATCAACCTGCCGGCGCTCGCCACATTACTTCATCTACGGGTAGCCAGCAAGAGGGGCAAAGCACATCTAGTTCTGGTTCCGCATCGGACAAGGCTCCTGCTAGCACGAGCTTGAAGGACCTGCTCCAAGGTGCGATGTCGCACGCGAGGAAAGCACATCGCCAAAATGCAAACTAGACGCGTACTATCCTATCAAAGGCAGTATTATCCTTTGGGTTAACCGGGAACCGGGAACCACCATACAAGGAGGCCATGGAACAAAGTGCCCTATAGTACGCTTTGCGCCCGTATGGCTGCACCGTTCAGCCATGTCAGCCTGTTAACGCATAACACGGTTATGCTCAGGCATATCGAGGCTTTCTTAGCCCCTCAACCCAACTCTACTGCCCTCCGTCGCCCCATCCCCACAGTCTCCAGCGCCCGCATCGCCCAGGGCGACGTAAGCCGGCTGGCCGACGTCAACGCCGACCTCGCAGCCGCAGCCGCCGCAGCCCGACTGGAAGCCTCTCTCCAGCCCTCCACCACCGCCACCACCTCCACCGAACAACAGCCCACCTCTTCCGATGCTTCAGCGGAAGTCAACCCCGACGAGGCCGCCTCCACCAGCGGCCCCAGCAGCTCCACCCAACAGCAGCAGCAGCAGCGGCTGTTGCACCCCAAGTATGGTTACGGAGCGCTGGGCGGCGTGTTGCCGGCTGGCGCTGCGGACGAGGCGGGGGCGGGGGTTGCGGGGCTGGTGGGTGCGCTCACCGCGCAGCACCCCCGGGTCAACCCGCGCAAGATGTTCATGCCGGGGGAGACCTACGAGCCACAGGTGGGGAGAAATGGAAAGCGAAGCAACGGGGGGGAGGAAGATGGGGCGATATTGTGGCTTCGGATCAAAGGTTGGGATGAGGCGCGGTGGGGGCGGGGGCGGGGCGGGTGTGGTGGGTTGGTAGTAGACTAGCTTTGCTTTAGTTAGGTGGCGCATGGGTGGCGCCCCAGGAGGCAGTGGGTGCGGTTAGGTAAGGACAGAAGGGCGACGGGTCTCCCCATGCAAGCCGGAGGAGGGCTAGGGCGGTGGTGGAGGCGGGGGAGGTTGTGGGGCCGTGGCACTGAGCGGGTACACTCGCACGTGCATGGTCACGTCCCTCCCGATATCCTACCCTCGTTCGCCTCGTTCCAACCCGTCACCCTTCTTGCACTCCTCCATTCACTCACACCCGCCTCCTTCTGCCCGGCCCCTCCTCCTCCTCCCCTCACAGGACCTCAACCCCTACGCGGTGAAGGCCCAGCAGCCCTCCGCCCGCCGGGGCGCCGCCGCCATCCCGCGCCCCTCCGTGTCGGAGGTGCTGGAGAAGGCGGACTACAAGAACGTGGCCTTCCTGGCGCGCTGGTTCCTGTCGCCGGCGGGCCGCCTGCTGTCGCGGAGGCAGACCAAGCTGCCCGTGGCCGTACACAAGTGAGGGGGAGGGAGGGGGAAGGGAGGAGGGAGGGTGTGCAATGGGGGTTAGGGTTAGGAAACTGGAAGGGGCAGGTGGGAGGTGAGCGCATGCGCGTGGTGCTAGCGAGGTCCGTGGCTCGCATCACGCCTTCACCCTGTCACCCTTCCTCCCTAATACCAGTCTCAACCGAACCTCCATCCCTCCACTCCCCTCCCCCGGCACGCTCGGCTCGACTAAACTCGATTTCCAATCACCAGGAGCTCGTCGTCTTGTTTTCCATCCTCATTCAACACGTTCTTCCCCCTCTCCCCCCCCCCCTTCCCTCCCCCCAGGTACGTGTCCCGGCAGGTGAAGCTGGCCCGCCACATGGGCCTCATGGCGGGCGAGTCGCGGCTGGACAAGATGCACCTGCCGCGGCTGAGGGAGCAGGAGCTGATCGAGGCGCAGCAGCGGGCGGCGTACGAGGGGGCGGCGGCGGGGGGCGGGGCGGCCAGGCAGAGCGAGCTACTGGACTTTGGGGCGTAGGGGAGGGGGGGTGTTGAAGAGGAGGGGGGAGGAAGAGAGGGGGGGAGAAGTACGGTAGTGAGGACATGGGGGTGGGGAAGGTGAGGGGAGAGGAGGTGGGGGGCGTTTGGGAAGGTAGGGGCTGGGATAGCGGTTATGGGAGGTGTGAAGATGGTGGTGGTGTGGGAAGGGTGGTGGTGGTAGGGGGCAGGATGAGATGAAGGGTTTGTGCGTGACCCATGGGTCATCTGGCGTGGTAGTGCTTTTGGCGTGCATGGTGCGGTTGGCGCCGTAGAATCGGATGTTGTAAGCTCGGCTTGGTCATACTCCCTTGCAATGGACGAAACTTCCCATGGGGTTCCGGGTAACAACATTGCCCTAGCCTGCTGGTCTTCTTAGCTTCCACGGAAGTGCTGCACTGGTTCGAACGTGTGCCACGCTCAGCAGGTGTGCACTCATGGGGGTCAGTGCACGGATGCGGATGTGCGCTTTCCGGTGGGACCAGCGGTACTGCTAGTTCTCCTGCCTGCCCTCACCTGGACAAGCAGCTGTCAGCCGTACCCAGGCCAGCTTACATGAGAGAGCTTGCGGTGTGCCAGGGATAGAAAGGGACTGGGAATGCAGGTGCTTGCTGTGGCCGTTGTTGTAAGGGCATGGTACAGGAGCGTACCGGTACGCGGATGACTGCCGACAGTGCCATCGTCTTCGGCCATATCTGCCATTCCTATGGCAATTTGTAGAACTTCGAGGGTTAAGCTTATGCCGAGCTGAAGACCCCGACACTCGCGGAACGGTACGTGCGCTCTTAACTGCCATGTCAGGATCCTGCTGCCGGTGGTGCCATTCGCAAGTATCGTGCAACACCGACTCGTGAACTGCTACACTGTTTTAAAAAGAAACGCTTTACTTCTATTGCGTAGCTTGACACCTGCATTTGCCAGCCCCGACACATCAACTTCCGCGAGCTAGTCCCCGCCCGTGTCTGTGCCATCCGCTAAAGGCATATTGCTGTAATGGGTACAGCTACCAACAAGGGTACGTAGATCTGTGGTTTCGCTAGGGACGAAGCCCCGAGTCAGAGGGAGACCCTGCTCCCGACAACTAAATAGAAACCGAAATGGGAGATCAGGGCTGTAGTTTGCTGTTATCTTGCCAATAATGGCTAAGATATGTAACTTGGTACATGGATATTCATCAGTTAAGCCTGCTTTGTCTTAATTGTGCGTTCCACAGACCAGGTTACCCGCGGAACAACAGCATCCGCTGCCCGTAAGACTCTTGGAGACCGTGAGAAGTTTGAGACATACAAGGGCGAAAAGGTAGCCTTACAGTGCTTGGTGCCATGGCGTGCATGCTTACCGAAAAGCCCTTCCACATTATCAACGATCACACGCTTCACAATCCGGTCTTCTATTATGCTTCTGATGATTCTAATTCTAACAATATAATCCATGCACCCTACGACCGTAATCGGTCCGCATATCGACTCGCGCCCGCCTGCATTGCCCTGCCCCTGGCTGCCCTCCCCAAACTTCTCTTCCCTCCTCACCCGCAACCCCAACCCGCGCCCTCCCCGCAGCGTGCGGCTGTCCAGGCGCGGAAGGCTCCTCGCCGCCAGAAGTCCCTCGCCGCGGACTTCCCCCTCGGCACCACCGGCCTCTACCTCACCCTCCTCACCTTCATCGCATTCGTCGCTGCGGCCATCTACTGGGTGGTGGTCATCGCCTATCCCTCCAACTAAGCAGCGGGCGCCGTACATCGCTATAACGGTTGGCTGACTGCTGGCTAACTGCTGGAAGATAGATTCAGCGGGTGTCAACTAGCTGGTGTCCCGTTCAGCAACTGCAGCCCTTCGTACGGCAATCCAGTTCCAGTAAGGCAACTCTTTACCAAAGAGTACGGCACCGCATCATTAGGAGAAAGTATCAACACAGCATTATCATCATTCGACTCAGCTTGAAGGAGGATCGATAGTGGAAGGGACTAAGAGGGGAGGTAGCCGGAGTTCGCAACACCCTGAAGCAAGTAGACAGGGACCCATCCAGTACATACGGCATATCCAAGCTCTTGCAACAGCAGCCATCCGCAACAGGAATAACTACAGCAACAACAGTAACACCACCACCAACAACAGTAGCAGCAGCAGCAGCAACCAGCCATGAAGCTGCTGTCCCAGGGGTTCGCCAAGGGGGCGGAGGGCTACGTCAAGCTGCTGCCCGAGGAAGGTGGGAGGGAAGGGACCACCCCACAGCACCTCACACCACCTCACTGCGGTGTACCTCCACCGCTGCCGGCCTTCTCCTGGGACCGCTGGGCTGCTCCTCTCCTCCTCCGCCTTCTCCGCCTCTCCCCTTGCCGCTCGTCCACCTACGGCCGCACTGGTGCCTCCCCTTTCTCTATCCCTCCGCTGCCTCTACTCCTCGTCCTACTGCACTGCCCGCCTCCCTCCTCCCCTCCCCCCTCCCCCCAGCCGAGGACATGTGGCACGTGTACAATCTGGCTCGCGAGGGCGACCACATCACCGCCACCACCTTCCGCAAAGTGCAGGTAGGGAACGGGAATGGGGGGGAGCAGGGAGGGGGGCAGGGAGGGACGGAGGAGGGGACATGGGCGCGGAAGTGGAGGGGACAGGGCAGGAAGATGTGTGCGGCTGACATGGTGGGGAGGTGTGCGGCTGAAGAGGGCGGTGCAGGCGGCTGCTAGCAGTGCTTATACGCTTGTTGGCATGTGGCTGCCTGGCTCCGGAGGTGTGGTGCCGGTACACGCACTGGCAGGACCTGTCGTGAGCGGCATTGTGAGGGGGTACCCTACCGGTACCTGTAGCGAGAAGATCCTGCTCCCCCTTCTCCTCCTGCTCCCCCCCCCTCAGCTCGTCAGTTTCCTCGCTTTAACCTCCGCACTCACCCCCTCCTCCCTCCCTTCCCTCCCCACATACCACACGTTGGAATTTCTTTTTCCCTCCCCAGGTTGACAAGGGCACGGGTGCGGACACGGAGCGGCTGAAGCTGAAGCTGACACTGGAGGTGGAGGGCATCGAGTTCGATGCGGAGGGTAAGGGGTGGGGGGCGGGACGGGACGGGAGGGGGGAAAATATAGATAAATGCATCAACGGAGTCCCAATCCCGAATCCCGACTCATGCAGTGACGGGAGGGGGGAGAGAGGGAGGTGGGAGTAAGGAGGAGGCATGTATGTCGCCCCAAGTTGCGGGGTTCGTAGCTGCGGATGGGGGCTTAGGGCCTTTGCCTTCGGCTGCTGCTGCTGAGAGGGCACACGGTGTGCCCCTCCGCTCTCTCCTATAGCATGGTTGTTATCCTTCCCCATTTCCCCCTCTCTGCCTCCCGCACATACCCCTCCTCCCGCACATACCCCTCCTCCCGCACATACCGGTACCCCTCCTCCCGCACATACCCCTCCTCCCGCACATACCGGTACCCCTCCTCCCGCACATACCGGTACCCCTCCTCCCGCACATACCCCTCCTCCCCCTCCCGCCCTCCCTCCCCCCCAGGCGGCGTCATCCGCATCAAGGGCCGTAACCTCACCGAGTCCGAGCACATCAAGCTGGGCGCTTACCACTCGCTCGAGCTGGAGATGGGGCGCGCGTTCACACTCAGGAAGGTGAGGCGGGGAATACCCAGGGGGGGTTCCCATTCGTCCGACCCTCCCACCGCGCTCCTCCTACCGATATTTGAGGATGAGGCCCGAATGATGTGGGCAGTGCCGTGGGGTGGTAGTACCTGCTGGCTGGACGTGTCCCATGGGTCATGTCTTCTTCAGTGAGAAGGGCCTTTACTTATTGGCGAGAAGGTATACGGTCCATGCAACAGCTCCCAACCAGCTCCTCCCGCCCACAGCACGAACACAACACACTCCAGGGCCTCACAAGCCCCCCCACTTCCCACTTCCCAACCCCCGTACCCTCTCCACCTGTGTCCGGTGCGCCGCCTGCTCGCACCTCCCAACGCCATCACCAGCCTCACCAACCCCCCCATCCCTCCTGCTCCCCATCCCTCCCCCCCGGGTTGCTGCTGCTGCTGTCGCAGGCTGCCTGGGATGCGCTGGACATTGAGCGCATTCGCCTGGTGGGGCGGGGGGGTGGTGAGGGGCTGTCGGGCGGGCGGGAGGAAGGAGCTGGCGAGGGAGGGAAGGGGCTGGACCCTGCCTGCTTGCTCCGTTTTGCTGGGGTGCGACAAGGGTGCGGAGGACATGCGGGTCGGCGGGCTGACCCCGCCTGCCTGCGCGGGGGACATCGGGCTGGCAACCCACCACCGCGGCTGCTCCCTGGAGCCGGCTCACTAGCCGACATGCCGAACTTCCATGCAGCTGTTCGCCCTGCCTTGCTCCTTACCTTGCTCCTTACTTCCGCCGCCCTCATATTCACTCCACGTGTCCCCCCCCCCACACACCCAGTTATTTTAACACACCCCCCCGCCCCCCAGGCCACGGATGCTGCGCTCTCCGCTGACCTGGCGGCGGTGCTCATAACGGTGGGTGGAGGGATGGGGGGCTGGCGGTCGGGAGCGAGGGGTTTACCCGCCTGTGCCTGGCAAGCGTGCAATTCCTAGACAGGGAAGCCCACATTCCCAACCGTTATTAGCTGTACTCGTCGTCGTACGTGTCTTTGGCCATCACAGCTTTCGCATGCGGGCAAAACCCCCCTTGCGCCCTCTCCCTCGCACCCTTCCCTCCCTCTTCTCCCCCATCCCCATGTTCCCTGCTTGGCAAGCATGCAATTCCGGGACAGGGAAGCCCACACATCCCCAACCCCTTCCCCCCTTCTTCCCCTGCACTCCTCTTTCCCCCCTGCCCCGCAGGAGGGTCTAGCGCACGTGTGTCTGGTGGGCGGCAGCACGACGCTGGTTCGAGCCCGGGTGGAAGCAAACCTGCCGCGGAAGCGAGGAGCCGCGGCACTGGGGTACGACAAGGTAGGCTGGGCAGGCTGGGAGGGTTGCGGTACGACAAACACGTTCTGCGTTACGAGAGCTTGGTGGGAGGGTTTGTACTTGGCACCGCCATGGCGTACTGAACTACAACAACAGATTTTTAACACAGCAACGCTAAAGCAGACCACTTCCTGTTTACCTCTGTTATATGTATACCTCTGTAGTGGTTCATCATGTGATGTCGGTGCCATGGATTATACCGGCGGTGTGTTTTGTGCCTGGGTTGGTGCCCCAAGGCCTATTATCTACTACCAGTACCCTCACCCCTTTGCCCTCCTTGCCTCATTTGGCCATGGTGCAAACTAAACCGCTCCATCCCCCGCCACGCCAAACACCACACACACCTGCAAGCAGGCCTGGTCTCGCTTCCTGGACCACGTGTTTACGGCGGTGGTACGGCATGTAGACTTTGGGATCGTCAAGTGCCTCGTCATTGCGGGTGAGAAGAAGGGAGTTGCGCGTGTGTGTTCGTGTGTGGCCACGAGTAGGAACGTACTGGATTGTGAGAAGATGAGGTGTGAGCGTACCGGTAGCCATCGAGCAGTTGGGATACCCTGCTCGAATGTTTTCCAGAATGCCATGAACGCAGCCCTGCAAATGCTCCTCTAACACGCACGTTCGCACACTTTGTTACCCATGTGTGCTTGTGTGCACCCCCGCCTCCCGCAGGACCGGGCTTTGCCAAGGACCAGTTCAAGGAGTATCTGGAGGCGGAGGCGGTGCGGAGGGAGGTCAGGTGAGCGGGCATGTATGCACGCGGGGATGGATGGAGGAAGTTGAAATATGTGGGTCGGGTCTCGCATCATCCCTGGCATGTTGTGCCCCCTGGGTCACGTCACGTCTGGTGCCCTTCCCATCCGCTGTTGTCCTCCAACACCACCCGGCTGTCCCCCCCTTGCTGTCCCCCCCTTGCTGTCCCCCAACCTGCTGTTCAGGCCGCTCATCGAGAACAAGGACAAGATCCTGCTGGCGCCCGCCTCCTCCGCATACAAGCACAGCCTCAAGGTGGGGTCTCGGGGTGCGGTGATATACCCAAGGTGCATGCAGGGGCAGCCAGCGTGCGGGTAGGGTCGGTCGCGACAGCAAACCATGCGCGAGGAGGGGCAAAAAGCAGCGACGAGCCCGTCAGCTAGGGTGCACGGCAGGGGGGGGACCACGTAAATCTCCCCTCCCTCCCCCCCTCCGCCCCCCCGCAGGAGGTGCTGTCGTGCCCGGGTATCGCCTCCCGCATCAAGGACACCAAGGCCGCCCGCGAGGTGGGCGCGCTGCAGGACTTTTACGACCTGCTGGCCGCCGACCCCGCCCGGGCCTTCTACGGCCCCGGACACGTCTTCGCAGCCGCTGAGCTGGGTGAGCGGCAGCGGCAGCAGGGGGGCGGGTGGGCAGCAGGCCTGTAGCAAGGCTATGCAGTATAAGAGATCCCACGGGAGACCTCATTACGGCGTTTTGCTTGAAAGGCCCCTTTTAGACCCCGTGTGTTACACGGCCCCTGCAAGTGCATACACTGGGTTGTAGGGGCTGCCACCCCCCCCATGATTTTGTGGCACCCTGCCGCTCCTATCCCCATTGTCTTGCCCAACCTGTGGCTTCCTATGGTTCGGTATGGTCTTTGACCCCCCCCATGTGCACCAACCTCCTCCGCGGTTGCGGCTCCGGCTGTGGTTGGTTGCTTGCACGCATGCACTCCCCGTGGAAGTGCGCCCCCTGCGCCCCCCTGCGTTACGTTATATCCAATCGCGACTGTGTGAATTCTGGTCTGGCCTTTTCCCGAAGTGTAACACGGTGGGAGACCGCCTCCCTCTCCCTCCCCATTGTCCACACCCCATTCCTGTACCCTCCTCTCCCCCCCCGCCCTCAGGTGCCTCCTCTATTCCGATTGCTTTAACCCAACCTGTGCTTTTGGTATACCTCTTGACCCTCCCCCTCCTCTCCCCCCTCCTCACCCCCTCCTCCTCTCACCCCCCCCTCCCCCCCAGGCGCCATCCAGGTGCTGCTGATCAGCGACTCGCTGTTCCGAATCAACCATGTAGCCAAGCGGCGCAAGTACGCGGAGCTGGTGGAGGGGGTGCGGGAGGCGGGGGGGGAGGCACTGGTGGGTGCGGGGGTGGGGGTTGGGGGGTGGGGGGTGGGGGGGAAAATTATATAAGAAATGCAAACAACTAAGCCCCAAGGGTAAAAATAAGGAAACTGACGAGGCAACTAACGAGCTGTGTGACAACGAGCTGGGTGGGGGTGTGGGGTCGGGACTGGCACTGCTGGCGCTGGTGGGTGGGGGAAAGTTAGACGCGGCGAGCCACCCGGTGAAAAACGTAAGTAGGGGTTAGTGGTGGGGTTTACCTGCATGCTACGCTTCTGGCTGTACCCCCTCCACACCAACCCTCTTATACGTACCTTCCCTCCCCTTCCCTTCCCATCCCTATCTCGCTGGAGGCGTCAAGCTAGCAGTAATTTGGCGGTGATTGGCGATTCCTTACACTAGCTGCCCGCCACCACCGCAGTTCACGCGTGTCCCCCCTCATCCCCCCGCCGAATAACCCCCCTCCCCCCCCTCCCCCCCCCCAGGTGTTCTCCGCCATGCACGTGTCGGGCGAGCAGCTGAACCAGCTGTCGGGCATTGCAGCCATCCTGCGGTTCCCGCTGCCCGAGCTGGAGGACATGGAGATAGCCGCAGAGGTGTGAGCGGGGGGGGGGAGCAGATGTGGGGGAGCGGGAGGGGGGAGGAGGAGCAGGGAGGGGGAGATGTGTAAGCAGCAATAGCAGCCGCTTGATGAGGGGATTGGAGCAGCAGGACGAGGAGAGTGGAGGGGGGCGCTGATGAAGGGGGTTTGGACACCGGTATATGCTGTTGCGAAAGCGAGTTATACGGTAAGGCGCGTTTGGTAGATACGGTTGAAGGTATTTGTTGGCAGGTGCGGTAGGTTGTAGTTGCACTCCAGGTGGCGTTGGAGTAGGCTGGGCTAGGGGCGTGCATGTTGCAGCGACAGGAGGCCCGGCGGCGGGGATGTGGCTGGGTGGGGTTGCGGCGGGTGCCTGGAGGGGGGCTGTCGTGGCGTGGTGTGGGAGATGGGAGATGGGAAGAGAACGGAGGTAGGAAGCTGGAAGGAGGTCTCTGATGTAACTGGTTGAGAAATGGGCGGTGCACGTGACAGTAGCAGTAAGACAGCAGGGACTAAGTGGATAGCAAGCTGCTAGGGACTTTTGCATAGATGCAGTGTTGGCATGGTTGGCAGGGCTTAAGGGTGCGCCGTGCTTGCGATTTCTGTAACAAACGTGTCTGAAGTATGGAGCAAACCCCAGGACACCCTACAAATTACCAAGCTACCGGTACCCTAACCAGAGCGTTTTAGGTATGGCAGGGCACGGTCACCGGCCAAACGGTAAAAATTAGTAATGTAACAAGACGGTTGACTAGTGGTTGGTGCTGAACTCCTCCCGCCTAACAGCAGACGAGTGCTTGCCGCCGTCCGTGGAGGAGGCCTCTCTGTCCCGCACAGCCCATTCGCGGAAGAGCCAGTTAGAACGTATGCTCTTGTTTGCTAGACAGGCAATGCCTGCGGATATGTCCGAGCACTGGCGTCCTGGCGCTTGAGATTCACGTGTTTGCTATGGAAGTGCAAATATGAAAGGGCCCAGGCATACTGTACTGGAGGCCCTATGTTGGTGGCCGCAATACTTACGTCGCGGCAGGGGTGCGGCAGACGAGGTTAGGGCTCTGAGTAGGGGGGCGGTTTGTTTCCGTCAGCCCTGCAAAGGGTGTGCCGCCAGTTATTTTAGGAATTTAAAGCAATGGACACATAGCGCCCAGCTTGGGGTATTCCACGATGTGGCTGGCGCGCGTTATCGCAGGAAAAGCTAGATTGCTGTACAGGAAAGTCGTACGATGACAAATTTCGAGTTAGAGGCGAATGTGCTGATCCGGCTACTGTTTAGCATACGTTGCTAACTTAACTATGACCACTTAACTATGAATCCGGGCCAGTGGCCTGCACTGAGCTTGGCCTGACCTTACTCATCGTTGCCGATTCTTGCCAACATGGACACCGTAGTAGTCCTTGCAACTTGGATTGTGGTTGCAGCGACATTCATGGCGCTACTCTTGTCACAGCAAGAAAGCGTCGCGTTATGGGTGACCCAATTGAGCGGAGCGGAGGTGCAGAGGACAGCAGTTACATGCATGTTTGCGGCAAGTGCTTACCGTCACATATAAAACGTGCAGGTGTAGCCTATTAACCTGATGTGGCCACCTATGACTTGTGCAGACGCTTGCCGGGTGGTTCCTGTCGAGTCTTAAATATGAGCGAAAGGTAAACGCCATGTTATTTTTAATCTCACTAACTGTTGTTGTCCACTTGGAATGCTTTTGATGCATATTCGTCGGCCATCCTAGGCTTCGGGTTAGTTAGAGCCGTTTCCTTCTTCCATTTCCACTTATGAGTACATGTATGTTTCGTTCCTACAGAATGCGGCAAATAGCACTCGTATATCTGCTTCAACGGAACCCATGGCGACGGTGCATTCCACATCACCAGCAGAGGCTTCTCCCAACAGGATCGAGCAAGGAGCGGAGCTAACGGAGCTCCTCCGAGCTGTCGGAAATCGCTTGGAGCCATCAGCGTTTTCTCGCCGCACGCCCTACTCAGAGACGGCCGATGCCTCTGGTTCCATGCTGCTGCTGGTGCTGTCAAGCGCGCCCGGGCCCGCTGCCTATAGCGCGTCATATATCCTGCCCTCTGACAGGTTTGAAGTCGTCGTCTTACATTCTCTCGATCACTGTTTGCAGTATCTGGAGGAAGTGCCTTACGTGCCGGATTGCATGGCAGTTGAGCAGGACGACTTGGCTGGCGGAGCAGAACAGGCACTCCAGGTAAGCGATGGACGCCACTATCGTCAGTTAATACGAATATCCATTGAAGCCTTATCCATCCTTGGCCTTGAGCCCTATAAACGGCAGATTTTATTCTTCACTCGGTCAACACGTCCAGTTGTGCAACTGAAGCTTGCCTACAGCAACCCTGCTACCCACCCAACCATCCAGCCATTCCCGAGCACGTACTCCCCTCCTGCTGCCCCGCAGGCCATTGCCGCCGTCCGCAGACGCCTGGGCCCAGCCGACCTTCCCATCCTACGTGTCATGCGCAGCGGAGTTGGCGGCGCAGCGGCTGACTTTTCCCAGCAGTGCTGGCAGCAGCAGCAGCAGCAGCAGGGAGGGCTGCAGGGAGGGCAACGGGCCGCATCCTCCTCCTTCCCTCCCGCGCCCGCCTGCTGCGCCTCCTCCTCCCCCAGCATGTGGGACCCGGCTGGTGACACGCTGCTGCTGCTGGCGCAAGTTCACCCGGCGCAGCTGGAGGCGATCGTGACTGCTCGGGTGGGTGGGTGTGGGGGGCGCGGGTGCTGCTTGCCGCGTTGTGGAAGGCCTGTTAAGCTGGTGGATAGCTGGGAAAGGAAAGCGACGGTGCGGTGAATGGTAGTTGAGTAGCGGGGAGGCGGGTAGCGGGTTTGGTAAGGAATGGAACATGTCCATGGGCTGCTAGGCATTTGCTACCGACATTGAGGCTTTGGTGACCCATTTGACCAAAATGAGAACATCATATGAAAGCTTCTGGGTATCCCTTGAGCCACCGCAACACCTCCGTCCTCTCCACCTCTGCTGCTCCACTGCTGCTCCAGGTGAAGCTACGGCGGCAGCACCAGCAGAGAGCCGCAGCACACGCCACACTCTCCCTGCTGCGGCACCTGCTGCCGCCGCCGGCTTTCACGGACCTAGTGACCCATGGGTCGCCCTGGGCGGCTCGCGCCCATGCAAACGTGTCAGTTATCAGCGCTGTTATAACGCTGGAACTGCTGTTGCCTCGCAATAGATCCACAATGTATACTGTTGCCGATTCTACTGCTGCTGGCAGCGTAAATGTTAAAGGTTGCAGTACACCTCTAGCAGCGGACTGTACGGCAAGTACGGCAGCTAATCAGGATGATGCCGTACAACTTCACGCGACACCGGCGATGGCGGTCATGCATGAGGTGTGCGCTGCGTTTGACCAGCTGTGCGAGGTGCACGGCATTACTAAGGTTGGGCTACTCGGTAAGTTCGGGCGTAAGGTCTCAAGACACTCTCGCAGCTGAGTAGCGGTACGGGTAGGTGTTGCGTGACGGAGCGAAAGGTACTGTACGAGTACCGAAGACGAAAAGGGACAGTGCTGACATCCCCTCCATCCTACGTTGCCTAGAGATGCCTAACCCTGAATCCGTGCACACCGTTGCCTGGCCGCCTCTCACCATGACGTGACAGTTTGGTTGGATGCGTTCATGTCCTGAAAAAGGACTACCGGTAGCCTCCTTGACACTCGTGACCATCCCGATGTTGTAGGGGACTGTGCTGCTTACGATTGATGATGTCCCTGACCTCTTACCCTGTCCTCGGGCGCTGCAGGTGACACCTACCTGGCTGCGGGCGGGCTGGACGGGGCAGCGGACCACCCGCAGCGGGTCATGCGGGCGGCAGCTGGCATGCTGGCGGTCGTGGAGGGGCTGCAAGCCAAGCACCAGGGACAGCATGGACAGCATGGACAGCAGGGGCAGGAACAGGGGCAGGGCCAAGGGCTGCCGGAGCAGCAGCAGCAGCGGCGTGGGAGGGAGGCGGCTTTGTTGGGTGGCCCCCGCATGGAGGTGCAGATTGGGGTGCATGCAGGTGGGTGGTTGCGTGCGCGGACGGGGACTGCGAGGGCAGGGCGGGCTATGGCGGGCTAGGGCGGTGGGAGACCAAGAGCTTGCTGTGGGTCATCGTGGTGCTCTCCATATTTACATTCCATGTTGGTGCCCATGTTCGTACTGCGCACGGTACCACGGTTGCACGCTTCCCTTTGCTTGCGTCTGTGTACCTCGCGAGCAAGAGCTTTCGCCACTATATATTTACGCGTTGTGGTCATCCTCGCCATCATCATCATCATCATTAGCCGCCCGAAAGCGATGCGTCCTCTCCCCCGCCTCCCTCCCATGATGACGCCTTATCCCTCGGTCAGTCAGTGGTTTCCTCTTTACTCCCCGCCTGCCCCCAGGACCCTGCGTGGCTGGAGTGGTGGGTCGCACCAAGCCGGTCTACACGCTCGTGGTGCGAGGTCGGGTGAACGTGTGAACTCCGGCTCGTGGGCAGCAACCGAGAGCCGGGTTCGCTCTTGGTCGGACGCACACGTGCACGGATCGTTTGGATCTTTCGTAATGATGCTGTCAGTAGCTTTCTAGCATACGTTGCGGTATACCGGTATATCGCATCCGACCCGCGTTTCTTAACATCATGATTGCTGTAGTAAAACTGCTGTTGCCTCACCCGCACGCAGGGAGATGCTGTTTCGGGAGCAAACGAACTCCGGCGCACGTGCTACCCCATGTGCATCCACGTCAGCGCTGCCGTACATGACATGCTTGTTGTACGACAACCTACAACGGTGACAACAGAAGCAGCCGCGACAGGAGCCTCTGATGCTGCAGCAGCATCGGCGACAGCGACGGAGTCTAAGGGTGGTGATCACATCAGCGGTGGGGGCGGCAACGGCAGTGGCAGCGGCAAAAATGGCGGCGGGAAGTTTGCTTTCATAGCGGCGGTGCCGCCTGCAGTGTCGCCTCCGCTGGCACAGTCGGAGGCCTCTGGCGCATGCAGCCGCATGCACAGGACATACTTTGCAAAGGTGGGTCAGCCATATTTTTCATCACCACTTTTGTGCTTCGGACTTTTCGTGTCATTGTTCTCGGCCACTCTCCCTTCCACGACACACAACCCCTGCCCCTTTCTTCATCCTCCCCCCGGAAGCAGTTGGGGAGCTGGCGCGCAGCCCTGGCGTCACAACCTCAGCCCCTATCCGCTACAACAGTATCTGCAGCTGTAACTGCAACAGCAGCAGATGCAGCAGCACCCATACCCACATCTGCTGCTGCTGCTGGTGATGATGCCGGTTCCAAGCGTCCGTTCCGCCCACCACCGCCGCACCCGCACCACCTACACCCACTCCAGTCGCAGCACCACCACCTCCTCCCCGCCCGTTGGAGCAGCTCCGGGGCGCTCCCGCACCGCCACCACCACCACCTCGCAACCTCCAAATCACAGGCCGCACATGGCCCGGAAGCGCCGCCTACAGGCGGTGTCAGCAGAACGGGGGTTGCAAGCCCTGCTGGGGTGAGCGCGGCCCCCGGCGGCCCCAGGGGAGGGTCATTGCCGTACAGTAGTAACAACGCAGGGCCCTGCTGGCCTCATCAGCACAGGCCGTTGCTGCGGAGGTCGACATGCTCTCGGCGGTCGTTGCTGGCGGCGGCGACGACGACGGCGGCGGCGATGGCGGGGGCAGCGCAGGAGGCCGCCGCTGCTGCTGCTGCGGGTGGCGGCGCCAGCGGCTTTCGCCGGGCGTCAGCGCCTGCTCCTGGCGCGGCAGGTACGTGTGGGGTCGGTTTGGAAGTCTTAAACGTCTGACGTTTGCGCATATCGCGTTAGATGAGCCTAGTTAGGCTTCCAGCAGGGAACACGGCTGTGAAGGTTGTGAAGGGTACAGCCGACACACACAGTTTCGCGGCTAGCTGACTACTTGATTGGACACACCCCCATTCAATCTTAACCACCGCCTGCAGACTATTCCTACTCCCGGCTGTCCACAAGCGCCGTCTCGAGCAGTGGCAGCACAGAGGTTGAGCCACCACCACCACCACCACCTCCGACATGCGAGCATCCCTCCGGCACCCCGCTTCTCGGCATGTCGCAGCAGCTGCAGCACCTGCGCCCTGCAGCGACTGCCTCATACCGCTCCTTGCCCGCTCGAAACCTCTCAAACCTCAGCAGTACGACATCCCTGGCAGGACCATCTTCTGCAGCATCTGCCGCCTCAGCTCCTGGCGGCAGCAGACAGCAGCAGTCGCAGCTGCAGCAGGCACCGTGGATGACCCATGGGTCAAGCGTGGGGCTGTACGGTGCAGGCACGACTGGAAGCAAAAGCGTCAGCACCTCCCAGGCGCAATCCAGCGAGTCATCGTCCGCGCCGTACCATTATACTGCTACGGGCGTCGCAGCAGATTCGTACGGCAGCCCCGCGGGTCGTACACAATTGCCGTACACATCAGCTTCCCAGTGGCTTGCAGCAACCCCGGCGACCGCTGCCACCCCTGCTGCGGTTCCTTCTCCTGAATCTGCTGGGCGCATGCTCGCTCCGGAACCTGTGGCACCTGGGACCATGCAGCAGCCCCTTCACCCTCGCCCTTTTCAGCAGCAGCAACAACAACAAGAGCAGCAACAGCAGCACAAATCACAACACCACCAGCAGCAGCAGCAGCAACTGCCCAGGCCCGCGCCGTCACCAACGCCGCAAGTGCAACGCAAAGAGCACGAGGAGCACCGGCCCGTACCCTTCCTAGTCTCCCGACAACACCAACTTCAACAGCAACACCAACAGCACCAACAACACCACATGGCGCACGGAGGTGCCGACCACATGCCGCCGCCCGGCGGTGGCACCTCCGCCAGCCCCCCCGGCCTTCGCCCTGTAGACGAGGACTTGGTGGGCCCGTACGGCATCAGCGGCATCAGCGGCATCAGCGGCTCGCTGGGGGGCTTCTCCGCCGCGCTCACCCAGCTCTCAAACAGCGCACCGGTCGGCGAGTCGCCGGCTGTCAGGGCGGGCCGTGCGTTTGCGGACATGGCTGCTACTGCCGCTGCTGCTGCGGTGACAGCGATGGCGGCGGCCCAGCCGCTACCGCCTGCGCCGAAAGACGAAGGCAATGAGCGGCGGCAGCGGCCGCCGAAAGACTCGGTTGATGGCATCACCGGTGTGGTAGCATGCAGGCTCCAGGCAGCTCCGACGGTCACCCATACTGCTGCTCCTGCGGTGGCGGCAGCAGCAGCGGGGCCTTTTGCCAGCTTGCCGCCGCCGGAGGGTGTTTTCATCGCGTGGGGAAGCTCCGTGGGCACGCACACAGGCGTGTCGTACATGCTAGGTACGACAAGTACGGCGACGGATCCCGTTTCCGTGCACGGAAGCGCGGGTGGCGGAGGCCGCCGACAACACGGCGGGGGCTCGAATGTCGTACCCGAGCACGCGGTGCATGGGTTGTCACAACTGGAGTTGATATGGTTACTTGCATCGACGTCGGCGGGTTTGAGCAATGGCGGAGGTACCGGTACCGGTACCGGCATGGGCACGGGCATGGGCACCGGCGCGGGTTACAGCGGCACCGGGGGTCAAGGCAGTGCCCGGGATTGGACGTACCTCGCGAGCGAGGGGTTTCAGAGCCAAGGTCAGCCAGCGGAATCCATGCGCGCAACTGCAGCTCCGGCTGTCGCAACCGAGACACCCCCCAAGAGGCTGCCCTTGTTGGTGGGTGAGGAGGAGGAGGATGGGGAGCAGTGTCCGTTTGCTGCAGATGGAAACGGAGGAGGTGCCTGGAAAGACGGCGGCGGCGACCAGGGTGTTGGTGAGGGTGAGGGTGAGGAAAGCATTACAGCAGCAGTGGATGCTTCTGTTGAGGCACTACCCACTCGTGTCGGCTCTCATAGCGGCTTCTACTCAGTAGCAACAAGCAGTCATGCAGAAGGAAGAGGCGGAGGAGATGGAGGAGGAGAACGAGGCAGTGACGCAAACGGTGTGGTAGGGGGAGAGACGGCCGCCGCCGCTGTGTTCGCATCCGCTTTCGGCAGTCGATTACAACACCAATACCAACAACATCAGCAGCTGCCGGCGCCGAGGATACGGCCACCCTCGTGGACTCACACACCCCCACCACCAGCACCTCCCAGACCGCAATCCTCACCCTCACCCTCACCCTTGCAAGCGGTGGCGCAATCACCGCTGCTCATTGCCAGTACGGAAACGTCAGCGGCAGCAGCGCCAGCAGCAGCAGCAGCAGCGGCGGCGGCGGTGGCAGCAGCACCCGGGATCATCCCACCGGACAGACCGCATGCGCCCCAACAGCAGCAGCCGGCGGCAGCGGCGCCGCATTCGGCTGACCTGGTTTCGGTGGTGTCGTTTGACAACGCCGCCGGTGCAGCGATGGGGCTCACCTCGGGAGCAGTGCTGGTCAACGGGGCATCGATGAGCGCGGCTGAGCTGGCGGTGTTGCTGCAGGTAGGGGGGTAGCGGCAGCGGTGCCGGGTAGGAGGGTAGCGGTAGTGGTAGGTAGGTAGGTAGGAGTTACGGTAGCGGTGGTGGTACCGGTAGCGACGTGCGTGGAGTGTGATGGGTGCTGGGTGCGTGGGGTAGCGTCAAGTGCGAGTAAGGAGTGTGGTTTATGGCACAGGTCCTTGCCGTGTTGCGCTGCGCTGGGTGCTGGTCTGGATGCATACCTTACCATATTTCCGTAGCAGCAGCCGCTGATGACACTGTGGCTCCTACCCAACGCAGGCCGCCGGGCGCAGTGTGGGCGGCAACAACAGCTCCTCCATCACCTTTCCGCACCTCCAGGTACGGTTACTAGGGTACGGGTAAACGGTACTGCTGCGGCTGCTGGCTGCTTGTATTCGCATGTAGCATGCTGTAGCGGTTGTACGGATGTACATATGATACTCTGTATGACACTGTATGATGTACCATAAGCTTTAGCCGATTTTGCCTGATTATATTGGTTGTTGCTCTCTCGCTTTGTCTCACTTTGTCTTGCTCGGTCGGCGCCGCAGGAGCTGGTGTCCGCTACACTGCGGGATGCAGCGCCGGGCAGCAAGCCGCAGGTAAACGCAGAGGCGGCGCTAGGCGGTTAAGCAGTGTGCACCGGTACTTACTGCAGGGCTGAATACTTCCCATCGCACCGCTCCTCTAAAGACACCAGGGGTCCCGGTATCACATCCTGGTAGTCCCTAAGCCATTATCACGCCCGGATACTCCGCCATGTCGGTGCTCATATGCTCCTCAGTCCTGCACACTGTAACTGTAACGGTAACACTGACGTTAACCCTAACGGTGTGCAGGTGGGCAGTTTTTCCGCCGGCAACCTGGCGACCTACCTGCAGCTCATAACCAGCTCAGCAGGCAGGAGCGCAGCGGACTCCAGCAACGAGGGGTCCGACAGCGAGGCCGCCGCTGCTGCTGCCAGCTGCAGCCGGGCAGGCGCAGGCGGCACGGGTGCTGCTGCCGTTGCTGTGGGTAGCGGCGGCGGCGGCGGCGGCGGCGGAGGAAGTGCGTTGGGAGGCGGCCGGAGGCGATCGGCTGACATGCAACGGGCGCTTGCGACGGCGGCAGCTGTGCGAGCGGCTGCCGCTTCGTTACCCCAGCACATGAGAGGTCAGGCGCTGGTGCAACAGCAGCAGCAGCAACAACAGCAACAGCCGTCGCAAGGTTTGCCGGTGGCAGCCATGGAAGGTGGGAGGGCTGAAGGCGCCTCGGCGGCTGCTGCGGCTGCGAGCGTCGCTACCCCACTAGAGGTGCCGCTAGGGGTTGCCGCTGGCGGGTTTGAGGGCAGCAGCAGCAGTGCCAGCGGCGGTGTAATGGAGAGGGGAGTTCTTGTCATTGACGAGGCGTTGGCGCCGTGGGTGTCGGGAACGGGCGGCAGCAGCGGCGATGGTGGCACCGGGGGGCCAAGTCGCGACGGGCGGCTGTCCTCCTACCTGATTCCGCAGTCTGCGGGCACAAGAGTCCGACCGGCAGCGGGCCATAAGGGGCTACTCAGCTCGCTTTCCACAGTACCGGTAAGGAGGTTAAACCGGCCCTCGCACGTTGTGGTTCAGAATGGATATTATCTTGTTCGGGTGACCCTTTTTGGCAGCTCCAAACACTCTTGAGCCTATTGTGCAAGCCCCGAAAGCTGACACACAAGTGAAACAACACCAACCAACCCACCCACATGTCCCTCCTTTTCTCCGCAGGACCTACCCACCCCTCCCAGCAGCTCCCTTCTCACCAGTCGCAGTCGGGACGACTCCCGCAACCCCCTCACCTCACAGCTCCTGCCCTCCAGCCAGGCTCTAGCCGTCGCACCCACCACCTCCCAAACCCTAGCCGGCCTGTACGGCATGCAACTTCCGGCCCTGCTGCCGAGCGCCAGCCCCAGACACTCCATGGATGTGTGCCATTCCGTACCCGCTCTGGCGGTTGCTGGCGGCGTCGCCGTCCTGAGCAACCAATTCGCCTCCGACGGACCCATGGGTCGCGATGACGTGACCCAAAACCACTACCACCACCAACAGCAGCAGCACCAATCGCAACCACAACCGCATCAAATGCAGGATTGCTTCTACCACAACCACGGTCCCTTTGCGCGCATCTCAGCACCCAAAGCTGATGCCGGTAATGTCGGTCGAATGATGGTAGCTCTGGGCCCGCAAGCAGCCGTAACGTCAACGACAGACGGGGGGTCAGACACGCAGCCCTCCAGCGGCGGCGGAGCTCCTGAAGCATCGGCATGCGTGGGAGGCGCCGCCGCCGCTGCCGCCTCATCTACAGTAGCAGCAACAACAACGATAACAGCAACGGCGGCTGCGGCGGTGGGTACAGTGACGGGTGCGTTGGCCACTGCGCCATCAACAGTGGCCGCCGCAGCGGTGGCGCTGGCCGCGGCAGTGAATGCGGGGCCAGCAGAGGCAGTGGAGAAGGATTCAACCTCGGCGGCTCCTGCAAGCCGCCATGAGGGTTCGTTCTCGACACAATTTCGGCCGAGCTCAAGTTATCGGCGCCCTGTTACCACGGTTACATTAGGTGCTGCTGGGGCTTTCCTTCCCGGCGACGTGCGTTCTTCTCTGTCAGGGCGAGCGCTGGCTGTCGGCCCGGCCGACTACGGTGTCCCAACAGGCGAGGGCGGAGGTGCTGCTGCTGCGCATGAGGCCATTGCTGCACGCGCTACCGATGCACCTGCATCTCCCGCTCCTGCTGCACCTGCACCTGCAGCTACTGGTGGTGCTGCTGCTGCAGCCAGCGGCATTACTACAGGCGCATGGTTGCAAGGCCGTGAGTCTCTGTCAGGAGTGGACGCTACCTCTCCAGAAGGCACTGATGCCGGCTGCAGCCTGCTGCGTACCACGGGCTCCTCCATAGCAGCCGTGGCGACCCAACCCTCGCAGCAGCAGCTCCTCATGGCTTCCCACCCGTCCCTGCATGGCATGACACCCAGCGGAGGAGCCACGGGAGGAGGAGCGGGCAGCCACGGGAACACCCCCATGGTTGCGGGGGAGCCCTGCTCGCGGCCTGGTAGCTCCGAAACCGGGTTGGCTCCAGCGATGTTGATGTGGGTGGGCAGGGCTGCAGCTGCGGCGGGGAGCACTGGGGACGGGAGTGCGGGGAGCTCAATGGGCAGTACGGCTACAAGTGCGGGGGGAGGGAGCAGTCGTCGCTCCGGAGCTGGTTTTGCTGCTGCGTTCTTTCGACGCCGCCGGTCGCAACAGCAGTCACAGCAGCAACAGCAGCAACAACAATCGCAGCAACAGCACCAACGGGGTGCCACTGCCGGCCCGCAGCTACCCGCACTAACCCATATGCAAGGCGAAGACATGGGCAGACAAGGATCTGAAGCAGAGAAAGCAGGAGCAGCAGTCACAGCGGCTGACGGAACGACCCATGGGTCCAAAACGATTCCGGATGTCCCCAAGGGCTGGCAGCGGCTGCTGTCTAGTCCGAGGGCTCGGCCAAAGGCTTCAGCGTCGTTCAAGGTCCAGAATGGAGAAGGCGACAGTGGCGGTGGCGGCGGTGGCGGGGATGGAAGTGGGAGCGGCGGCGGCTTAGGTAGCATCTTGCGTGCCTTGTCGTTAGGGAAGCGACGAGGCCGGCTTAGCTCGAAGAGCCTCAAGCTGTGAACAGCAGCTGATGACGTGTGGCGTGGTGGAGTGATTTTCACATTCCCCATGACTTCCACATGCAAGGATGGACGAACATGTTTTCGGGTGCGCGTGAAGGTACCGGTAAGCATTGCAGGATAGCCGGTTCACAAGCTATAGACATCTTCAACATGTTTTGTCATGGCAGTAATTACCTACGACGGCTTCACAAGAAGAAGATCCATGTTTAGTGAGGTATTGCTGTACTACAGTGAGGTACTGCTAGTGAGGTACTGCTGTACTACAGTGAGGTACTGCTGTACTACGCCGTAGGCATCCAAACACTGCAATGCTGGAGAGGAGCCCCCTATAGGCTGCCACTGAACCACTATTTGTATCCCTCGGATTTTGCAGAAATGGCGAACAACCTCCTCTAACGCAGTAATGGGACAGCGCCAGGCCCATACCGGCATTGGCAACCTGCTGCAGCCGCCGGCCTGCTGCCGTACCGTTGTGAGTGAGTGCCCCCCGGAACCCGGATTGAAGTCGTACACCCTGCTGCTGTACTTCGTGTTACATTGACGGGGGGTATTGGGGGTGTGAGGTCGTGCATGGGCTGTTCACCGGACCATTCAGTGTTGAGGCAACACAACGCCATTGTGGCAGTTTGTGACATCTTCATGTGTGATTGGGGCAGTGTGGTTTTATGCTGCACCGGTGCATCCCATCTGGACGAAAACTTACGAACTAAGAACTGCTGCTCATGTCCTTATGCGGTGCGGGATTTGGAAATCTTGTCTACAGCTCCCATGCTTACGGATTCTTTCCCCGGGGGCGGCGTGTCAAGCACGGGCTGCCGCACTGTACAGGCACCGCTGTACACAAACTGCAGGCTGTGCATCGTTGGATTCATGTGCCCGTCGCAAATTCTGCACTGGAACCTGCTGGAACCAGCTGAAACTGCCATTAACCCACAATGCTTTTCGTTTCGCAATGTGTCGTTGGGTGACTTCGATCGACACGACTAGCTCAGGGGAGGTGGGGGTGGGCATTTGGGTACCGGTATGTTGGAGGAATGTTGCGGAGGCGCTTCTTGTCGTGTCAGTACGTCATGTAGTGGCAGATCAGGAAGCATGGTGCGGTTTCCTGCTTGATTAAATGTTCTTCTTTTTGCTGCGCCATTGCGAGTTTGACCAAGGAGGTCTCTGATGTGGGTTTGCCGAATTGTGTTTCGACATTCGGCATGCAAATTGTTGGGGGCACGCAGTTAAGAGGCATGAGCTGTATGCCCCCTATGGCCAGTCCTGGTTTCTGATAATGCCTGTGGCTAATGACTTGCAATGGGTAGGGGCGTAAGACCGCCCGCTACCCCGGGTTAGACAGACGTTAGGAGCACTCTGCGGCCGCTGATAACGCAGCTTGAACCCGCCGGGCACTGAAGTGGACTGTATGTGTTGGACCAGTGCTTCAGTGTTTTACTACTAGTTATTGACGGCCCCGGGACTCCCAGGAACCCCTTCCCATACGGCACCCGGAACCGGTATCCCGAATGGCGCAAACCGCGCTGGAAAATTGATTGCAACCAATAGGGGAAAATATAATTCTTTCAGACATGGCAATCGCGCTGCAATGCTAAGCGGCCAAGGCACTGACAGTTAATGGCGCTGCCCATGTCAGAGAAAGAAAGAGCGCGCAGTCTTTCCTGTTACACCAAGGGCATACTTATACTGAGATAACATTCCCAGTTGTGAAAGCGTGCTAACTTTGCAGCTTGTAAAGCCGGGACCCCATTGACCCCATTGGGGTCCCGTGCCGTACGCATCGGCGTCCCGGGGGAATCCCGGTAGCGATCATATGGGCGTCCCGGGGCGTCCCGGGGGGCCCCGGTAGCGATCACATCCTGTATGGTAAGGTTGGTACCTGACCAGACAGGTTGAGTTTTGCACACCGCACTGCCTTCGGGACCCCTCTGCTGCTGCGTGCTGTAAACCAATGCCTGTGGTAGGAGATAACTTGGGTAATTAAACGTCACTTTACCGACAATATGACAGGTAACTGTTACTATATCCTGAGGATGCAGCCAAGGAATACATGCGACCCCCCACTTCCGTCTTTCCAGGCAAGGACTCAATGACAGGTTTAGGGTGGAAACGCCATATTTCCCTAATCAAGGCAATATTACACGACAGAGTAAAGGCAATTAAGAGTCGGCCATGGCTGCCAAGAAACCGTGCGCCGGTACATATCCTTCTCAGTAACTCTGGCGTGTACGGCAATCGTTGCCGACAACTGCCCAAAGCAATACTGACGATTATGTTTGCCTACCCCTGTTTTGCAGGGTAGTGCTGGCAACTGGCATGCTCCTCTTTTTTAGTTGTTGTAACGCTTAACATATACGCGTTTGGATGCTGCAACACTTGGCGTAGAGTTCGTTTTAGCTGCTGGTGGATGACCGAGCACTACTTGCAACGCTTGTCCTAAAAGGCCTCCCCTGTTTGGGGGACGCCGCTGTCACAAATGGCGTTCCTCGCTCGATGCATTTCGGGCAACTCCTTGAAGGGAATGGTGCGCGGCGAGGCGGAAGAGGATGATGCCGGGGGCTCTGGTAGCACCACCCCAAATGATACTACCCACGGCAGTAATAAATTCTCCAGCTATTCCTGGAAGCGCCTGAGCGCTAAGTCTAGGTCAGCCCTTAACTCCCCTAACAAGCCACACACTCCACCGTCCTCGGCGGCAAGCAACGATGGAAACGGACAGCTTCCTCATTGCATGGAGCCAGTAATGGGTGAGGTTCCGTGGCCGTCGCGTATGCCTAAGCCCCAGCACGCTGCTCCCTTTGCATGGTTGTTATATGATATCTGTTAACTGTTGATAAGGGAGTATCTTCGTAGAAGTGCTGGTGCAATTGGCTACGACTTGCGTAAAGGGTATCCACCTGGGTATCAGAACCTTGGCGACGTTTTGCTTTGCCTGCTTGCCTGCATACAAATTTCGATTTCACCTTGGTCTGTTGTTATATGTTCTTTTGCCTTGTGCTCGTGCATTGTTCCCTTACAAGCCCTTGGCGGGTGCCAATGGACTTGGAGGAAGATGCAAGACCGACATCCCTACTATGTTTCCCCCCTGTAGAGCGGACGTTTAGCGCTTTGACGGACATGGAGGCTGTAAAATTCCTGGTTGAGGACTGGCCGCATAAACATTGGAGACCAGCAACTCCTCAGGTAACCACTTCTCTAGCCTTTTCAGTGTCTGCTTGACTGCCACCTTTGTCATTCCTCCCATATTCATTCCCACCTCTCCCCTCTGCTAACACCTCCCGCCCTGCCACCATCCCCATTCCCCCCCTTCAGGACCAGGACATATTCGACCGGCTGGAGCAAACCGACATCAAGCCGCTCGTGGCCCTGGGTGAGGGCGCCTACGGCTCAGTCAACCTCTGCCGCATTATAGCCAACCAACCCCAACCCAGACCCCGCAACCCCTCCCACTGCCGGAGCGCCTCAGCGGCCGCCATCTTCGGAGCCGTCGGCTCCTCCAGTATGCACGGAGCCAGCCGCACCGCGCACAGCGCCAGGGCCGCCAGCAGTGGGGGCGAGGACCCTGCGCCGGCGACTGCAGGCTCCCCAAGCAAAACCTCCGCGGCCGGCAGCGCTCGAAGCTCCTGCTCGGGACCCAACAACCAACTCAACCCACAAGGCCAGCCAGGCAGCAGCAGCTGCTGCGGAGGTGCTGCTGCCCCGGCTGCTGCTGCTGCGGCGGCGGCTACTGCTGTCACCGCCACGGCTTCCATTAGCGGCATCGGCAGCGGCGCCGACGGTTCTTCTCCGTCCTCCAGCCCCTCTCCTTCTTCTTCCTCTGGGGGCGCCAACGCCACCTCTGGCGGCGTCATAGAAGCAGCGGATCCCTCATTAGCCCACAGCAGCTCCAAATCTTCAGCTTCGGTCCCACCATGCCAACCGCCTCCCGCCGACCTGGAGGATGCTGCTATCTCCGAGGTTGAGATTGAGTTGTCACATGAGCACCTTGCTGGAGATGGCGATGAGGGCGGGGAGGTGGAAGGCGGGGAAGGCGAGGAGGAGCGGCTGCTGCACCAGGTTTCCTCCGTGAACGACCCGCAGCTGATTGTGGCTGTGAAGCGCGTGCCGCTGGGTTGGAACCAGGAGCGCGAGCTGATGCAGCTGCACCGCTGCCAGCAGTGCGCCTTCATCGTGCGGCTGTTTGGGTTCGTGGACGACGGAATGGAGCACTGCAACTATGTGATGGAGTGGGCGGAGGGGGGCGACCTGGGGGCGGTGCTGGCGGTGAGGGGGGGGAGGAGGGGAGGGGATGAGAAAGGGCGGAAGGGGAACATGGGAAGAGGGGGGGTGGAGGGGGGGGAGCAGGGGGGAGCTCAGCTCGCTTGCATTGCTCCTCTTCGCAAAGCTACCCATTCCTTCCTCCAATCCTCCTTCCTCCAATCCTCCCTACCTACAATCCTCCTTTCTCCTCCCTCCCCTGCCGCAGTCCCTGAAGGACCGGCGCGGCTCCAACAAGCAGCGGCTGCTCATGTCGGAGGCCTCTGCGCGCTACTACATGGGCTGCCTGCTGCTGGCCATGGACTTTTTGCACACCAGCGGACTGCTGCACCGGGACGTGAGTGGGGTGCGGGGTGCATGGGTGCGGTCTTGGGGGGTGCGGCTTTGGTGCTGGCTTTGCCCTAACTTCCGGTTTGGCTTCTCTCCGACCCGCCACCTTCCCCCTCGCCCCCCCGCCCCAACCCGCAGATCAAGCCCTCCAACCTGCTCCTCACCAGCGACGGCACTGCCAAGCTGGCCGACCTGGGCTTCACAGTGGCCCTGGACGCCAACGGTCAGACGGTTGGGTGCTGTGGAACCACCGGATACATCGCCCCCGAGGTGTTTGCGTACGGCACTGCCAAGAGCCGCATGGCGTACGGCGTTACGGCAGACATCTGGAGTGCTGGGGCGACGTTGTACCAGGTGTGTGCAGCAGCAACGCTGTGTCGCGCTGGTGATGTTGCGTCCCACTTTCGTCAGGGGAATTCTCTGTTGGATGGTTGGGGGGGCGTTGGCCTTTCTTTGGTCGAAGGCTTACCCCTTGCATTTTGCGTGGCACGTGGAGCTGCCATTGCTCTCAGGGGGGACTCCTCTCCATTCAGTTGCGTGCACCACACATACTCCAGCTACACGCAAGGTCTTCTCGCGTCTCTTGCCCTTCCTGCCTAGCCCTCCGCCCTCTACCTCCTGCTGCTGCCCGGCTGCAGATCCTGACGGGCCAGGTGGTGACGGATAAGCATGAGGAGGTGCTCAAGAAGGGGTGGAGGCCGCCCACACACGAGTGCTTCAGCCACTCCCTGCGGGTGCGTTCGTTGATGGGTTGCGCTACTGGGTTATCTTCTGGGCGCCCGCGCGCTCGGAATGGGACCAGCTCCTGCCCTATCATTCCTTTCGTTGCATAAAGCACCTGTAGCCACCGACCTGTCCACATAGATGTGCGACAAGTTTAGTCGTGCTAACCAGCCACTCAGCAGCTTCAATCCAAGTACCGTTAGCAATTGAACCGATTGCCACTGCCGTACTCCCACAGGATCTCCTCAATCGGATGCTGGCTCCGAAACCCACTGCTCGGCCCCAGAGCGCCGCCTCCGTCATGCGCCACCCCTGGTTCTCAGGGTTTGACTGGCAGGCGCTCAAGAGCGGTCGAATGAAGGCGCCCTACGTGCCCAGCGAACGTCGCCGTTCGAGGCAAGTCGGCAACGACGTAACGCCAAGGCCCTCTGCAGCGGCAGCGCAGGATGGCAACAGCTGCTGCTGTGGGTGCGGCAGCAATCGCTGCCGTCGCGCCAGCAGCGGCCTCAGCGGCTGCTGCGGCTGTAGCAGCTGCGGCGGTGGCAGCGGTGGCTGTCGCGGAGGTAGCAGCGGCGGCGACAACGGTCCGCCAACGGCTTCGCCCGGCGGTCAACGGTTATCAACGGTCATGGAACGTCCCCCTGAACTGATGGAGGGGGAGCTGCCGGTGCAGCGGAGTGCACTGTCGGGTCGGGATGAGGGCAGCCGTTTCCGGGGGCGGGATGGGCTTGTACGGGAGGGCTCTTCATACGACACAGCTCTTGGCACGGTGATGCCGGCGGGGGCGTGTGCAGGAGCTGACGGAGGCGGAGCTGGTGCCGTACATGTGCCTGTCGCCGACGTGGCGGGGGTGGCGCCGCCGCCGCCGGCAGGGGCGGGGGCAGCACAGGCACATGGACACGGGCATGCCCACGGCATGTCAGTGCGGTTTGCGATTGGTGTGGCTAATTGCGCGTGAGAGGGGACAGCTCTTGACGGCACTTGTGATGTGAGGTATGGTTGCATGTATGGGGCTATGGGGGTCACATGTACGCATCCAACGGCATCGACTTGTGGCAAGGGAGTGCTCTGTTGGAGGCCTTGGCAGAGCGGTGATGTGCGCAGGTAACATTGCGAAATGTGGTTTGCGTGGAGAGGCTTAGGTACTGCATTAGATGCATGGCTTATGTGGGTGAGAGTAGGTTACAAAAGCAGCGGCAGCGTGACTAGTTTTGACAGCGTACATAGAGCAGACTGACCGGCGTGGTGAAATGGGTGACCGCCCTGCATTTGCTTATAAGTCCCTGTAATTAGCCGTTTGGGGGTTCCAGAGTCTTGGAGGAGGAGGCTGATGCGGTTCGGTAAGGGCAGTCTGACCGGCGTGGTGAAATGCTCAGAACCCGGCCTGCGGCGTTGTCTGCTATTTAGGTAGACGGGGTTCTGAGATGGAAAGCTGCCAGCACATGTGAAGTGCATGAAATGACTGGCTGCTGGATTGGTCGTATCCGCGGATTCCCTGTCATATGGATAAAGGGGACGGCAGTGGAAGATCGAGAGGTCTGGTTGGTTGGTTACTTGCATTTTTTGCTATGTTGCTTGCTTGGTTTGCGTGTTTGGTATACCAGTAGCGTGCGTTATGTGGGTCCGTGAAATTGAGAAATCGAGGATATACCAACACCTGTTTGGTCTCTTCATGCCGTGGTCCCTGGGTTGGCTTGTTGGTCTCATCTCATCTGCGCCAGAAGTGTGCTTTGTAGTAAGGTCCATTATATAAGGTCCATAAGAGATAAGTAGGGAAGTCGTGTTGGCCTAACCTGGTGGAGAAGATCGTGTGAACGATGTAATGTGTCAAGATGGGGGGGCTGCTGGGTTTTATTCCTTTACAAGCGTATTGTGGGTAACGTGGGTCGACTTTGTATTCTGGCGGACTCGTGTTAGCAGCGACTGGTGACTGAAAATCTCCGCATTCAGGGTACGGAGGTTAGCTGCCGTACAGGCCTTATCGTCGCTGCCGTACAGGCGGGACACCCCCCCTTCCTGCACCCTGATTGTACGGATGGTGTGTAAGGCTGTGAGGAAGCACGTCTTTGGTGGGTGGCATGCAACGCCGCTAGAGGTTGCATGCAATAAGGCCGCTCGGTACCAGTGATGGTGCGATTGCTGCATTGTGGTGATGGTGGTTTGCATATCCGGGCTCGTGCCCGTCATTTCCTGCTTGGAGGGGCCGGATGCGTTGGTCTGGTGCAGCAAGGAAAGTCATGTCCAGATAGGGGCCATTTGTGCGGGCCGGAAGATACTTTTGCTCCTTTGGTGGCCGGACTTTCGGGAAGATGAGGAGAAGCAGAAGATATGTCCGCATGTCGCCTTGCTATGGCCAAGGTTATGTCGTTCGGGTCAGGATTCGACACGGGACCTGTTGTGTGTGTAGCTAGGAGGTGTGCGGTTCTGGTGGCGGTGTTGTGAGGGGTATCTGCGGAGTTGAGTTCTTTTCTTTGGTCCTCCATGATGACTTATGCTGGTAGGGGTCGTGGCGCTGTATTTCGGGTTTTGTACGTTTCTATGGTGGCTGCTGCTACCGGGTCGCCTGCTCTCCGCGGTTTACTATCATTCTTTTAGGGATTGCTCACTTGCTACGAGGAGTGGCGTTTTGAATGCAGCCGGACCGGAGCGTGTAGTCGTGGGGAGGGGTTTTATGCCGCTCGTCGCCGTTTTGCTCTTCGTGTCGCCTAATGTCCCTCTGTTGGACTGGGGCAAGTACCTGGCGAGGCCTTCGCCCCCCGCTGCTACCGACTTTGCCACAATAACAACTTCGGACAAGGTAGCTAGGGAGGCCGGGAAGGACTCCTCCCCTATCGTCCACTATCACGCGATCAGGGCGCGAACGCGGACACACCGGGTCTTAAGCGGGAACAATGACCCCGGGGTCAGGGCGCAATTTTGGAATGCAACGAATGAATGCGGCTGTTTTCGAGGACGCCTAGCTAACTGTCTGGCCTGGTTAGCAGTTGTAGTTTAATGCCGTTTGTGTTACCAAGCGTCTATGTGTGTGGCAAGGACGGTCGGTTGGTTGGCGCTGTGTTTGTTTGGCCTGGACTTCAAGCTGCGGCAGAAGGGACGCTACCCAGAATAATAGCAGCTACGCGTGATGCAGTGGTAGATAGAGCGGCCTGACAATGACTACCGGTATTGACGGTTAAGGGTGGATAGATAGGCTTTCCTCAACATTCGAAGCTATGTTTGGTACTGCTAATACAAACTGTTGGACCTCTTTATGAATTTCTTTCTTAGGCGCCATTACCACTTAACCAGGTGCAACCTAGCAACTTTTGACACTCAATGTTGCACCCGGCCATGGCTAGAACATAGCCGTTCAGATTAGGGGAGTGCTTCACACTTTGTAATTACGTTGACAGGTGGCCGCTTGTACTGAGATCGCATACACGCGGTAGCCTAAGTGGGCGTATGAGGCTGTGATAAGAACAACGGTTGACGCGTTGCCTCCAGATCCCCTTTCCTGCATGGAAGGGAACCTGCGTTGGCATCGCACCGTAAGCATACAGCGTGTCGCTACCAGCATAGCGAGTCAACCCGTTTGGCATGTGCAGCCGGCTTTCGCTTCCCGCGCAGCTCCATCTGTGCAACAGTAGCAGTGGAAGTACGGCAATCGAGTAGTACGGCAGGATTGCACGAAAGCCGGTACGACCTCTGAATGCCTTTCGTTCTTTCCTTGTTGTGGGCTCAATGCATGATCATGCGTGTTACTTGTTTCCGACTACCATAATTAGGCATGATGTCGGAATTCTAGCGGCTTCGGAGTGCGAATTTCGCGCATTACATGAACACCGGTGATTAAGGTCTACTGATTGCGTGAATAGGTGGCCAGTTAGCAATAGCTGTTCCGGATCTCGAATGCGCTAGTGACATTGCGCGACCCGTCTCAGCATCAGCGTCGGTTGATTTCTCCACTTCTCTGCAGCAAATTCGCACTTCCAACCATGAATGAGAACTTTAAATGCTTTTCGCAAGTGTTGTTCTCGCTGTTGATAATCGTGTCTTACACGCTGCAAGTACATGCTATCCATGCCGACTCGGCGCAACATCGCGACACCTCGCAGCAGCCGGACGAACTGCCGGTCCACGAATCCGCGCATGTGGCTTCCATGTGGATAAAACACCTGCCAGTGCAGCAGGCGCACAAGCTCCTAGGTGTTGGACACAGGCGACGCCTGCTGCAAGATGCATGCTCAACCACGGATGGCTCGGCTGCAGCAGTGGGTGACGTTGGTTGGGATGGCGACGTGTCAGTGGAAACTTGGGAGATAATGGGCCTCAACAACAGACTTGCAAACTGCATGTGTGTCCTTCGCCTTGCAACAGGAAATCTGTGTAGATGGGAGAAAGCACGTGGGGGTTTGGGTTGGGAGCCTCCCAACGTCCCAAGGGATCCCAATGATCCTGTGTATATGGTTTGCGTTACCGGTAGTGCGGGCTCTCATCTGCGTAAAGCGCTTGGATTCCTCTCCACACATTCATCAAGTCATGCATTTCCGCAAATCACATGCTCTTGCTCTTAGTTGTGCCTTCGCTGACCTTTACCCTTCCATCCCCTGTTCCTCCCATCCTTTCATGATCACATGTACGATCCGGTGCTACTCAGATCCTCGCCTGCGCCAACGCCGTACGTGTGAACCCCGACATCCTGTCTGACGCCAGCTGCTTTGACAGGGTGCAGGTGAGGCGGCCCGTGCAGCAACATGCGTGGTGATGTGTTTTGGCGGCTATAGAAGTCGGTGGCTTGCCTGAACTGACCTGACCCGACCTGACCTGACCTGACACACAATGGGCTAGTGCCGTACGGTGCGGCAGAGCTTCATCCGTTAAGTGTGAAACGATGCCGATAAAGTGAGGCGCTGGTAAGAGAGACGCATGTCAGGAAATTCGGACATTGCTTAGCAGGCAATCTCAGCTACGGTACATCATCATAACACCCCCATATAATGCACGATCTGGCGTGCCCGCCCCTGACATTCATGCCGTATCCGAATGCCGTACAACGAATGCAGGCATCTGTGAAGACCCCGCATCGCAAGCCGCTCTCCGTGAACGCCTCCTTGAATGCTGCTGCCTCCTCCTACGTGACAGCGTGAGTCATCACACATACATGCCCTACTGGTAATATGGCATCCGTATTCCCTCTGCTGCATGTGCCCGCGGTTTAGCCAAGTGTGGGTCCCAATGTATGGTGCTGCTATTCGTAGTGACCAGGTGCCTTGTACGACAGGACCTTTTGGATTCAGAATCGAATCCCACGTCTCTGGTCTTTACTCTACAGCGCCCTGCAGTACGAAGTAAATCGCTGCTTTGTTGCCTTCCTGCCGTCTTTTGCACACACCCACCCATACACAAAGGTGGTCCAAGGGAGGCGCTGTGTTCGTCACAAGTCTGGAGGCAGCTGGCTACAAGTTCAGTTACGCATCCAGCAACCTGGATGTGGGTTATCAGGAGGTCAAGAGCGCTCGGGACGTCGTGCTTGACTGGTTCTGGTAGGCAACGACGTCGGTTGGTTGGTGGTTGGTAGCTGTGGGAAGAGCGCTGCATCCCTTGCTGGCTGTGAGGAGTTGTTGATTAGCACAATCGACCGATGCCCCTAAGCCAGTATTAATTACTCCTTTGGAATGGGAGGGGTTGTACGCAAGTACGGTACTTGACGTCATCGTCTTCTCCGTCTCAACGCCCGTTGCTGCTGCTTGCCTGCCTTCTGCCGGCCAAACCAAGACATGAAACCTCATCACACGGTTAGCTAGGTGTGTCCTGTTTGACCTTCTCTGGGCCCCGCAGTGCGGATCTGCAGCGCAACTACCTATTCGCGTGTGAGATCCAAGACGTGGGTACGGCGGTCCTGGACGTTGGCAGCAGCAAGACGCGGTACTATGCCCAGGTGAGGGGCGTTTTGAGCAACCCGGCAGGTTCCAACCTACACATTCCATTGCGTGCATATCACGACATGCGTGCATATAACGACATGAACGTATATGATCTTGAAGTCCCTACTAGAGGTGCAGCCGTGGTTTGTCTTTTTGCAGAATGCTTATGCGACCACCCCCTCATGGTTTCCCGTTTCAAATTTCATCCGCCCGTCGCTGTGACGTTGTGTGTCGTGCTGGCTTGCCCTTCTCGCGCGCAGTTCTATGGGTGCCCCTCGGGAAAGACATGCAACAGCTGCGTCGCGGGCACCTCGGGCGGAGGCAGCAGCAACAGCAGCAGCAGCGACGGCGGCAGCAGCAACAACAACAACAACACAACCGGTCAATGGACCGACATTCGGCCCATGCAGGTCGCCGACCATAGCATGTGCTTGACCATCCGTAACGCCGCAAAAACGGCTAAAAACGGTGTTGTCGTGCAGCAAGCCCCCTGCGATCAAAGCAACGCGCAGAAATTCACATTGTTCGCGCCCCCAAGCGGTGGTGGGTGGAACGTTATGGATTCCTGGGGCCGTTGCTTGGACGTTTCAGGAGGCAATACCACGGTTGGCGCAAAGGCGGTGATGTGGAAATGCAACGGTACGGCAAGCCAGAAGTTCTGGATCCAAAAGGTGGATCCCAAAGTGCCCGATGTGTACCGGCTGCGACCTCATCATGTATCAAACAAGTGCCTGGGCGTTACCTCGAGCAGCACACTGAGTGGGGCTGCGGTGGATATGGAGGCATGCAAGCCTGCTGCGGTGAGCCAGCGTTTCATGCTGAGCAACTTTTAGAACGTGCGCAATGCAAGGAGCGAGCGGATGGAAGGGAGAGCCCATGTAATTCATTTCCCTTGTTTACGGTGTTTATGGATTAACTTATTGGGATTAAAACCGCGGAACGTGAGGGCGAGGTGCTGGTGTTGGGCATGAGAGGGGGGTGTTGTGCAGGCCAGACGGGACGGGAGACTGGTGGAGAAGAGAAATAACGCAGACCTTGCCAAGTACTTTTGGATTCTTTGGATCCAAGTTAAGCAGGGGGTTTTGCAGCCTCTGGCCGCATCATGTCACACATATGTTGTGTTGTAGTGTTTATGGATGCAGTGCTTAGCGCCGTTGCTTGGCGTCGTGGCGCAGGGTGTTGCTTACCAGGCTTGCATGTTTGTGCTATTTGCGCAGTTAGCGCTGCAGGATTACGGATTGCGTGTGCCTTCTGGGTAGACTGGGTAAAACTGCCGCGAGTAGGTGCTGGGTGGTGTGTGCAAGCTCAAGTGGCTTAATAGAGTGAGGGGCAGGGAATTGCGCGCATGCTATATACACGTGCACGCAGCTACATGATGTGCCGGGGTCATTTCCCATGGAGGTGGTATTGCGCTCAAGGTTATTTATATTCCACTTTAGACTATGCTATTATTGCGGCAGGACGGAGCGGCGAGAGTACAGGTACGCTCAGCCAGGTTCAGTGGGCTAGGGCGTGGCCAGCGTGGCACCCAAGTATGCAATGTACGGCGTTCCAAGGGATTTCCAAGTTGATAGAATCCACAAGCTCAAATGCGAATAGCGCATACAGAGGAGTTTCTTAGGATGTGTAACGCCTGCAAAGCAACGTGCCCTTCCGCATACCCTTTGGATAAGCACGTGTGTTCCTAAGCTCTTCGTTGAATGGGTGAATACACATCCCCAACATCTCCCCGCGCAGCAAGCGGTGGTGGCGAGGGTACTGCGACGGCAGGCCACAATGTATTATGACCTACTCGCATCGGGATCCGGATCAGCTCTTACAACGGCACACAGATGCCCACGCAGCCCTTCCATAACGCGACTTCCCAACCCGACCCATGGGTCACCTCCTCGACCCGTGGGTCACTACCCGACCCATGGGTCACCTGGATGCAATCGCATCGAACCCGCATCGAACCCAAAATACCACCGATACGTACTATGCGATCTGCTTACATGCAGTCCACCATGCAACGCACAACGGAGGCACGCCCCATGACCGGGCGTATGGCTATGCCTAACCAGGAAGCTCGAATCACACACACACACGGCAATGTCCTTACCACACCGGCAAGCACGGCTACCCAACTTGTGCTCGTGCGCCATCAAACCGAGCGGCCCCGCCCCGCCACATGCAAGCAGCATGCATGCATTCGAGTAGCGGCATAGCAGCAACACCGCACCTCCGGTCCTCCGCCACCATCACACACATCACACACATCACCGCCAAGACGACCAACGGTGCGCCCCCTGTTAGCCCTGTCAGGCCCAGACAACCCTAACAACCCAACCAGCCCCCTCGAGCACCGGTAAACCCTCATCTCTAGCCGCTGCTGCTGCGGCTGCCGCTGCTGCTGCTGCTGCTCTAGGCGCTGCTGCCGCTGCTCACCACATCCGCGATCGCCTCCGCCAGGTATGGCGCTGACGCCGCGGACAGCCCCGCCATGCTGATGCGCCCGTCCAGTGTGAGGTGGATGTGCCACTTGGACACAAGCTGCTCGCACTGCGGGCGGGTCAGGCCTGTCAGGGGGGAAGAGGGGGGGGGAAGAGGAAACAACTAGCTGAGTGAGGGGGCCAAGGAGAGGGAATGAAAGGAGTGAAGCAAAACTGGGAAGAAGGGGAGAGGGAATTTTAAGGACTTTCTGCACCGCTCCTCTTACTCCTCCTTCTCTATCCCTGCCTCCCTGCCTCCCTCTCCCTCTCCCTCTCCCCTGCCCTCCCACCCGTGAAGCTGAACATGCCGATCTGCCGCAGCACGAAGCTCCAGTCGCCCGCCACCCCGCGCTGCTGCAGGGCGTCGTACAGGGCGGCCCGCATGGCCTTGATGCGCTCAGCCATACCGCGCAGCTCCTCCTGGAGGGGGTGGGAGGGGTTAAGGGCAGTATAACCGTTGTGTTGCGTGACAGTGGTAAACCAGGTGACAAGCGCTGGGGAAGGAAGCCGAACTGAGACGAGCTGAAGTGGTGTGGGAAGCCATGCGAGCATTGCGAGGAGTGGGGGGAAAAGATATAGAGAAATGCATCAACGGATGCAGGGATGACGGCTAGGTGCCCGGAGAGAGGGGGGGTGAGGAGGGGCGGTTGCGGAGAGAAGGTGGGCTAGCCAAACAGAGAAGGTTCGCTGTGGGCTTTTTATTGTTGAGGTAAACAGAAAGCGGATCCGGTGTGACTACCCGTACCCTCCCACCACCAGCTGTTGTCCCCCTCTCCCACCCACCCACCCACTTCCTGCCTGCCTGCCGCCTCCTCCCGCCCCTCCCTCCCTCCCGTCCCCTCCCTCCCTCCCTCCCTCCATCCATCCATCCCTCCCTCCCGCCCCTCCCTCCCTCCCGCCCCTCCCGCCCCTCCCTCCCTCCCTCCCTCCATCCATCCATCCCTCCCTCCCGCCCCTCCCTCCCTCCCTCCCTCCCGCCCCTCCCCCCACCTTCCACAGTGCGCACAGCCCCGGGTCGCCCATCACGCGCGCCGCAATGGCCGCTCCGTGCTTGGGCGGGTTGGAGTACATGGGCCGGATGACCAGCTTGAGCTGCGACTCAACCCGGGCAGCCACCTCCTTGCTCCTGGGGGGAGGAAGGTGGGGGGGAGGGGGAGGTCATGAGGAAGAGATAGAGATGGGGGGCAGAGAGCCTACGATTGATGGGGGCATTGTCTTCTGGCAGCCACAGGTTTGCGGCCAGGTTTCTTAACACACACGCACACCTGGTTCCTCCATATCTCTACATACCGGTACGCCAACAGCCTACTGCTCGGCTCCTGTGGCGTCTCTGCGAGGACTTCACCTTCCGACAGCCACACAGTATTGTTTGTTCTTCCTCGCGGCCAGTTTCCTTAAAAACACACACACACACACGCACCCACCCGCCCACCTGGTAACGACGCTCAGCGCCCCCGCCCTCTCGCCGTACAACCCCATGTTCTTGGCGAACGACTGCGCCAGCACCAGCTCAAGACCCGCCTCCGCGAACCGCCGTACGGCAGCCGCGTCAGCATCCACATCCCCGCTGGCGAAACCCTGGAGCGGGCGGGGGAGCGAGGGGGGGGGCGTGTGCGTGTACGTGTGTGTTTGGGGGGTGGGAGACCAGGGAGTAAAGAGGAACAAACTTACCGGGACGTGTATTGTATCAACTGAACCCAGCCTTGTAACAATGTTATAACAGAAGCATGAGCACAAGCAGGGATAGGAGAAGCAGCAGCAGCAGCAGCACCCCTCCCCCTCCTCCCACCTGGTAAGCCATGTCAAAGAAAGGCAGCAGCCGCCCCTCCCTGGTGAGCTCCAGCAGCCGGCCCCACTGCTCCGCATCCGGGTCCACACCGGTGGGGTTGTGCGCGCAGGCATGCAGCAGCAGCACGCTGCCGGGGGGCGCGGAGGCGAGGTCGGCGGTCATGCCGGCAAAGTCCAGACCGCGGCTGGCGGGGTCGAAGTAGCGGTACTCGCGAACCTTGGGGGCGGGCATTAATTGGGGGAAACAATGACTGTCCGCTGGGGGAAACACCAAGTGCCTTCATGATCGCCTTATTCTGGAACAAGCGGTGCGCCTACAAGCCAGTCCCACCCACACACACACACCGTCAACCCGCCCTCAACCCGCCCGCCGCCCACATCAGCAACCCCCCCGTTCGCGTAACTTGTGGTCTCCTATGGTTTGGTCCTTGATCCCCCGCTTTCAGCCCCTCCTCCCCCCTAACCCCCCTCTATCCCCTCCCGCCCCCTCTATCCCCTCCCCGCCCCCCTCCCCGCCCCCACCTGGAATCCCGCCTTAGCGAAGATGGTTTTGTGGTTTCCCCAGGTGGGGTTGGGCAGGTACACGATGCGCGGGTGGGCGGGCGGCAAGTGGGTGGACAGGAACTCCGCACCCACTCGCAGGGCGCCGGTGCCTGGGGGGGGGTGGGTGGGGGGTGGGTAGTGGAAGTGGCAGGAGGGAGAGGGGGATGGTAGATGGCGGGTTAGAGCAGTAGCTTCGTGGACTCTCCGTGCGAGAGCCATTCCGCAGACGCCAATGCACAACCACGGCACGCGCATGCATGCATGCCACCAACAGCTAGCGTGCCTAGGCCCTCAATCCCCCTGCATGCATGTGCCTAAGGCCCCTAAGCCCCCGGAAGCCCCCTGCATGCATTCCCCCAAGCCCCCCCTGCATGCCCCCCCCCACCGCTGAGTGCCTGCACAGTGGCCACCCGCCCCTCCTGGATGGCAACCGAGGTGGGCCCCAGCGCCAGTCCGCGACTCAGGCGGCAGAACTCGGGCAGCCCGGAAATAGGCAGGTACTCCTGGGGGGTGGGGGGTGGGGGGTGGGGGGGTGGGGGATAATGGATGGACCCAACCATAGGGATCGAGGTGGGGACAGGGGAGGGGAAGGGACTGCGTTCGGTGCTCTTCCCTACTTTCTCCTCCCCTTCCTCTTCTCCTCCCCCGCACCTTGTTTTCCGCGGGGTCCGCGCTGAGCTGCCTCTCCGCCTCCCGCACCGCCTGCAGCACGAAGGGCTTGCCGTCCTGCAGGTGGGAGGGGGGGAAGAGGGAGAGAGATAAGGAGGGAGGGAGGGGAGGGGGGCTCGGTGGGGTGTGGCCACCGGTGCCCCGACAACAACACATGGTGCCCTCCATTGCTTTCCATCGCCTCCTGCTTGCTCTTGTGTTCGGGGACGTGGCTTAGATTGCCCCCACCTCGCCCCTTCCCCCGCACACACCCACCCACCTCGGTGCGGTAGGCCCCCACCCCCAGGTTGAGCTTGCGCGGGTCGGTGTCGGCTCGCCAGGCGTCCGTAACGCCGATGATGGGGTCGGGGGGCGCCTGGAGGGCAAAGAGAAGGGGAGGGAAGGGGAGGGAGGGGGGAAGAGGAAATGGATGATGGGGGAAGGGAGACGGAGACATGAGGAGGAGTGATGAGGGGCTGACGCTTGGGATGACTAGAAATGATTTGAAAAACGGATCAGCCACTGTAAGTGGATGTACTGGGAGGAGCACAACGCCATGCGAGCCATGTCGATCGACGCCTCAAAACCGCAACAGCAGTCAACGCAAAAGATTATCAATCCTTTTATTTAAGCCTAAGGGGTGTTTGAACCACGCGACTTCAGGGCCGCTAGTCTTAAAGCACAGAATAGGAAGCGCCGCGATCAATGTCAGCACATGTTAGCTTCTCGCGCCCAACCCCTTCCCGTATAGAGTTTAGTACGATATTTACAAATACAAATTGCCGAGGGACGTAATTAGCGGGCCAAAGGTGGTGGTTGCTCTGTAGGCAACTGACGAGGACTCGCCGAAGGACGCGAGCGCAGCAGAGCACACCGAGCCCACTTTGTTCATAACTACTTTGGCCCAGCTATGCTAAACCGAATCCGTGGCGCTTGGAATGCGCACGTACTCGTTGCTAGGGGTTGAAGTCACGACCGGATGGCGGGTCAAGGCGCGAACACGTGTCGGAAGGCCCCTAGTGAACAAAACAACAAACACGACATCTATTACCCCTGTCCTACCTGTGCAACATGCTCCCAGGTGCTCTCGCTTGCAGCCGCTGCGCACAATTGCCTCGTTAGCACAGCGAGACGCCCCGCAGCGGGTGCGACTGAGGAGGCGGAGGAGGGTTAGGGGGCACAAGCAAGCAGGAAACGCGCACTTACGCTAAAGCGCTAGCTTACATTCCGACATTTTACGCCGGAGCTCTCCCTCGCCTGGACTGTTGCACTCTATGTCGCCAAGACGAAGCAACTAGCACGGCTTCTAGCTACTTCAAGGACAAATATCATGGACACAGGGCCACCTGCTCTTCAAAGATCCGCCAAACGGCCCCAAGGCCTCATCGTATCTATGGTACGGAACGAGAAAGCGAATCAGCAAGGCGACATCGGATTTACTGCAGCGACAAACGTTGTTTTGGGTGGTGAACGCCATTGTAAGGTCGTATTGGCTTTTGCCAAAGTGATTTATCTATTTCTTGGTGGGACCGCTATTAGCGTAGGGCATCCCAGCTTCCTAATTACGGTCGCCAGCTTGCTGTTAGTCTAAACAGTTTTTGTTATAGCTACTTCCGCCGTCATTTCAGTCACCCGACCGGGCATTGAGTAATCGACACCGCCGCGACCAAGTCCTGAACTGCGGTCCAACCTTTCCATCATGAGTGAATTGTCTCCGGAACGCACCACGGTATGCGATACTAATAGCATCTGATATGTCTCTTGGGCTCCTCGTATCGCGACAAGGGGCGGAGGCTTGCACCGCAATTGTAGCGCTATCGCTGACGCACACCGCCCCGTTTCCAATATCGTAGGTTGGAGTATTGGGAAGCGGCTCTTGGGGCACTGCTTTGGTGAGTCGATTCGCATCCTTGTCGCGCGTTGTCCCGGTTTGCCGTCGCCTGTAACTGCGGATGAGGGGCCTTGGAATGAGAGCCCAGCACCGGCTATTGATAGAGCCCTAGCGTGCCCTCTTAATACCCATGCGGTGTGCACATAACACACGCAGACAGGCGTTTCTCGGAGATTACCGTAATACTGGAACCGGCACACCGCGCTATTACTCATCGTTGCCGTTACGACCACATTCGCTGCTATTCACCACGCCACGACCTGTCCTTTCATGGCCGAGACGCCCCTAGCACACATAACCCAGCCTCCGTCCACTCCCGCCTCCATCGCCGCTTTTCCTCGCCGGTCGCCCCTTCTAGCCACCCATCCCGCCCGCCTCCACCACTACCACCCATGTACCCAACCCCTTCCCAGGAGCTTGCCATCTTGCTTGCCATCCTCATTCAACCACCACCCCTCCAAACCCCTCCAACCCCTTCACCCCCCCCAACAGGCCATCCACTGCGCCCGTATGGGTCACGACACCGTGTTATGGACCCGTGGGTCGGCCACCGCCGCCGCCATCAACGGCCCCGCCCGCCAGAACACCGCGCACCTGCCCGGCTACCCCTGCCCTCCCGGCATGCGCGCCAGCACGGACCTGGCGGAGGTGGTGGGTCGCAGCGAGCTGCTGCTGGTGGTGGTGCCCACGCAGTACATCGAGCAGACGCTAGGTGGGGGGGGGCGGGGGCATTACCTTTACTACCATTAGGGATACGTGGGGGTGGGGGGGGGTTGGGGGCTGAAGAGGAAGGAACTAACCGTGTGACTAGGCAAGGTGGGGGTGCACATGCGTTTGGGGGGGGCGGTGCCTTACCTTCCCCTTCACCGTCCTGACGCCTCGGATTCCCAGTGCTTTGCCTTAACGTGTGTGACCCCCCCTCCCACCCCCACCACTTCACTCCCCCCCCCCACCCCACCCCCAGGCTCCGCCCTGCGTTCCCTGCTTCGCCCGCACCAGCTGCTGGTGAGCTGCTCCAAGGGGCTGCAGCTGGGCTCGCTGGAGACGGTGGATGAGCTGATGGAGCGGCTGGTGGCGGGAGGAGGGGAGGGGCAGGAGGAGGGGCAGGAGGAGGGGGGTCAGGAGGGGGGGTTGTGCGACCGGCGGCGGCAGCTTGCGTTCCTGTCAGGTCCCTCCTTCGCTGCGGAGGTGGCGGCGGGGCAGCCCACGGCGGTGACGGTGGCGGCAAAGGTGGGACGGAGGGGGCGAGGAGGGGCGGAGAGAGGGACGGAGGGGAGAGGGGCGGAAGGTAGGCAAGTATGCAACCCCAGGCTTCACTGTGGGTTGCATGGGAGAGGGATAGGAGAGGGAGGAGAGAAGATAGTGGAAGGGAGGGGTCAGGAAGGAGTAAACAGATCCGCCTTTACCCACGGCGCTCCTAACCCACTGCCACCCTCCTAACCCCACTCCCCCCCTTCTTCAGGACGAGCGGGTAGCCGCCCGGGTGCAGGCGCTGCTGTCCACCCCGCGCTTCCGTTGCTACCGCAGCACGGATGTGGCGGGGGTGGAGCTGGGGGGGGCGCTCAAGAACGTGCTGGCCATCGCATGCGGCATCAGCGACGGGCTGGGGTTCGGGAACAACGGTCGCGCGGCGCTCATAACACGAGGTGGGTGGAGCAGGCAGGCAGGCAGGCGAGGGGGGGAGCATGGAGGGGGGTGGGAGAGCGTGTGTCGTAATCCGTGCCGTACAGTGTTGCCGTACAACAGCACACTGTGGGAGGCCGCAGGGGTGGGGAGGAGGGGTGCGGCATGCGATGTGGGGAAATAGGTAAAGGAGCCTAGCCGTGGGGTGGGGTACATGGTGATATGCACACACACGAGGTGAAGTGGCTGACGTGCGCAATGTAGCAGGATGCCAGTACCGTATACCACAATGACAAGTGGGGCCAGGACAACCCGTTTTATGAACGCATTCTCTTGTGCCCCCCCCCCCCACCCCCAGGCCTGTACGAGATCACCAAGCTGGCGGTGGCTCGCGGCGCACACCCGCTGACCATGTCGGGGCTGGCGGGCATGGGGGACCTGGTGCTCACGTGCACAGGTGGGGGGGGGGCATGGGTGGGTGGGGGGGCAGTGTGGCGTCTGGCTTGCCGCTGCCCGTCAGCACTGGGCGGGGGACCTCCGCCTTCGCAACCTGGCTACCTGCTTGCCTCCCCGCTGCTCCCCCGCTCCCCCTCACCTGCTTTCCCTCACCTCCTCCTCTGGGACTCGGACTCCAGTTGCTTCACTTTTCAAACACCGTATTTATTCACCCCTGCCCTTCGCTCCCCTGCCCTCCCCCCTGCTCCTCCAGGTGACCTGTCTCGCAACCGCACGGTGGGGCTGCGGCTGGGGCGCGGGGAGGCGCTGGCAGACATACAGGTGGGGGGAAGGGTGGCGGGAGGGTGGCGGGGGCGTGCCTGCCACCGGGAAGAAGAGGGAGGAGGGGAGAGTGGAGGGGGAGCTGGAAGATGCAAAAACACACACACGTGTTGAACCATGCGAAGAGCAGCGTGTCACGTGTCTGGAATGGGAATGGGCGCATTGCCTCAGAAACGCAACGGGTCGCAGTTTACACCCGACGTACATGCCCGTCTGACTTCCTTCACCCCTTCCCCTAACACTCCCCCCCCCCAGGCCTCCATGGGCGGTGCGGTGGCGGAGGGCGTCCCCACCGCGGTGGCCATACACACGCTGGCCAGGCGGCTTGGTGTGGACTGCCCCGTCATGGAGGGGATTCACCGGGTCATACACGGTAGGGGAGATGGGGACGGGTGAGCGAGGCTAGTGGGGGCCGGGGGGGAGTGGGGGTCTCCAACCCCAGCACTCCAGTAGTCAGCCCTCCTCACCCCCACGCCTAGTCTTCACACTTCCCAGGCTCTTCCTCCCATGTCAACTTTCAACTTCTTTTCTTCCACCACCACCGCGGCTTAGTCCCCAACACCCCGCCCCTCCCCACCTCACCCCCATATGACTTACGCCAACCCAACTATACTGCCAAATGCTGTACATCTATCCCTGTATCAATCGCCGCCCCCGCCCCTCCCCCCTTTGCAGAGGGTGCCGACGCACAGGAGGTGGTGGCGGAGGTGATGAGTCGCGCGCTGAAGCCCGAGGTGGCGCCCGACATGATCCGGGATGTGCTGGCGGGCGGCAGGGCGGCCAGCTGGGGGGCGGCGGAGGGCGGGGGCGGACTACAGGGGGGTGGGGGCAGCAAGCGGAACAGCATGGTGCTGGAGCTACCGGCGTCGCCGTTGCCGTCGGTACAACAGCAACAGCAACAACTAGAGGCAGCGAGCGGTTGCTGTGGCAACGGTAACGGTAACGGTAACGGCACGTGTGGTAAGGGCGACAGCAACGGCAAGGCGGGGCGCTGCTGTGGTGAATCCACCTCCCCCTCCTGCGCTGCGGCTGCTGCTGCGGCTGCTGCTGCTACGTCACCGCCTCCTCCGCCTGCTGCTGCCAAGCCCAGCAGCTGTCATGCCAGCAGCACCGCCGCAGCAGTACCGCCCGCGCACACCCTGGCAGGCGCGCGGGCAGCTGTGGGCAGCTGGGTCGCATCGCAGCAGGAGGGGCTAAGGCTGCTAGCGGCGGCGGCGGTGGGGGCGGCGGCGGCGCTGGCGGGGACGGCGGTGGCGGGACGGGGGGCGCGGCGGCGGAGGGCTGGCCGGAATTGAAGGAGCGAAGGGGCGGACGCGTGACGAAAACTGGCTGCGTGTGTGCAGTTGAGCGGAAACAAGAGCAAGCGCATAGCGACCGTTCATCAGGATGAAATGCATCATGGGTGGACGTCTTGGGTAATTCTTGTTCTTTTACGAGCTGTACTTGACTTGGGTTGGCTTAGCTCTTAGCTGCCGTACAGCGGGATGGAGCAGCCGCAATCAGGCAGACGAGCGCACTGGGAGCGTCTTGAGGGATGATGATGTGTGATTTCCGGAACTGGCAAAGCAAAGCTCTTTTTTTCCTACTTTGTATTGAGCCTTGGTGAGCTGAGTTAAAGGGTTTTGTTGTAGTTACCACCGGTATGTAAGTCATCTTTCTTACGCTTATGTATACCCAGGCTAGTTGCTGTGACTAGTATGATGTACACGGTAAAAGACTGGAAGGTACCGGTTTCTGTTTTGCACGGTTGGAGATTTAGTACGGTAGTTGTTGCGGAGGCTGGCTGTGAGTCCAAGCTTGCCATGAACTGCCCGCAGCAGTATGTGGTGTGTGGTAGGCAGTTGTGACGGCACATAACAAGTTAACAGCCGTTTGTGTGATGAACGCACGCACCGGGAACCGAGGACTGGTTGGGTTGGATAGCTTTGCAGCCTCTTTTTCTTTCACAAATGCGTTCCCTGAGGTGGCGCACTCCTTGCATTAGGAGGGTGTGCTAACGCCGTGGATGGCTCTGGCAACCTGTACACATTGGGCGGGAGCGCCGAGGGCCACAGTTGCTCCCATAGCATGGCGGACGGTCAAGATGACGTCGTACAAGCACGCTACAAAACCCCTGCGTGGGTTAGCCGGGCCTGCCCGCCTAATCTCAGTAAGGGTGCATTCACATGTGTAAACCCCTCGGTTGAACCGGCTCCCCTTCTTTCGGTGGGGCATGCCCGCGGCATGCCGTCTAGGCTAGCTGTTTTCAGCTGGGGAGGGGCTAATAGGTCTGAGCAAGGAGGTCCTTGGAGTCACCATCTACCAGAAGCCCACGGTTCCGGTCAGGTTGTTTAGGCCATTGCATACATTGGCCCAGTAAAGTATCTACAGTGCCGATGAAATGCCTAAATGCAGCATCTGTGCGTCGCATTTCTCTGGGACCCTGGTTGCCGGCCCCTGTTCCAGGTGCTGGGTTGGCAGCGCCTGCATGTCGGATTTTAGGGAGCTGGTTTGGCAGCCTCTCTGTGTTGTTTCTCTGGGACCTAGTTGCCTGTCCCTGTATGTGTTGGGCATGGTTCCCTGCCTTGAGCACAGCGTGCCCCCTGGGGTAGGGCGGTCGACGCTTTGTTAGGATGTGAGTCTGATGATGGTCTCAGCTACGGTCCTCCAGTGTAACATCCGCTCCCTAAATGCAGCCTGCACCAGCCAGCATATGGTTTGACGAGGGACCAGTCGACGTGCCAGCATTGCGTCACTGGTGCTTGGTGGCTTGCAATTTGGGCTGCTACGAGCGAAAGCATGCCAACTCACTGTGCCCCCCCTAAAATACGAGATAGCTGGCAAAGGATATCGACGGCAGCAAATCTGTCAGAGTCATAATTAGTGTAACCAAAATGCTTTTCTCCTAGCTTGGTAAGCTTGCATGTACGACGCCTATACGGCCATTCCTTGTCCACCGCAGGCGGGTCCATTGGATCGGGCTTTTGATTAGTTTGGTTGGTCTATTGCAAACCCTCGATAGGAAAATTCCAGGATTTAGGAGCCATGGCAACTTTGCAGCGCTCTTGCACTGGGACCGTGCGGTCCAGCAACCAAGCCAACCTTGTTTCGGCCAGGCCCATTGCTTCGCGTCTATGCTTCCAACCGATTATCAGACAAGCGGCTCAGCAGCAACGGAGCCTCGTTGGCCGCGCCATGCCTAAGGTGCGGCTATTGTCGCGTCCTGGAGATTGCCAGCATTGTGACGTCGCACCAGCGCTCATCTATTTGTTTTAATTGGTTCAGATTGTGGCGGCCGCATCCCTGGAAGCCAGCGCTGAGGCAGCAAGCCTGCCTGCAGGCTACCATTAGTGGGTACTGTATAACTACCATGATTAGGAGTAGCGGCAGATGATCCTGAGTGTATCCCTTCCTGCAGTTATGAGACGATGATGATCCTAAAGCCCACCCTAAGCGACGAGGAGAGGTACGTTGAATGCGGACTTGCTTCCTCCTGTGAAGAACTTATAATTCAGTGTCTTAACACGCGTGCCGGATCTTTTATGTATATAGGGATCGCGAGCTGGCAAAGTTCGAGGCATACCTCAACAAAGCGGAGTGCTTTGACATCAACTCGGTGGTGAAGCCGCGTAGCTTGCTGGCGTACCCAATTAAGAAGTAAGTCACGTCCGAGCTCACTACCCCTTGGCCCCTGAGGATGGGACTTTGGGACTCCCTTATCCTCCTCTCTCCGCCCTCCTCGTCACCTCACACCAACCCACATGCAGGGAGACGGAGGGCATCTACGTCCTCTACACGTACCTGGCCCGGCGCCAGACAGCCAAAGCAGTGCAGCTGCTTCTATCAAACCCAGAGGCAGGCGCTGAGGACACCATCCTCCGTCACATCACCCTCTGCAAGAAATAGTGCAGTCCCACGCTAGCTCGCTGGCTTGGAGGTTTTGGGTTATAGCGTTAATCCGAGCAGCAAGCACGAACGGACGCGGGATGGGCTTGATCGCGCGTCTGCTGCAGGGTTGCATGCGGCTTGGCAGTAACATGTTGTAGAAGCTTTCCTGCGCGCAACTGGAGCAGCCTGGTGGCAAGCTGTGGCGATTTTCCTATGCGTGTTTGGTGCGCATGCCGTCCGTCGTAGCCCCCCCGGAAATAGGCATGGGTGTCCATTCGGTTGGGCGGTCCGGTTTTCTTTGCAACTGTGCCGTTCGAGGACCACCTTTGGATCCAGGTAGTTGTACGGCTGCAATTTTGCTTACCGTGCAGCTGTCCGCTCTTGAGTGTCCATGGCGGTCGGCTGTACGAACCTGGGAACCGGAAATCTTGGGTTTCGGGTGACTTATGGGTTAGCCGCTATGGAACATTTTCTTGCATTACTGGGTTGACCAATGACCAATGGGGTCATGTGAGTGTACGTGTGCCGCCCCTGTGCAAGTGTTATGTGTGTTGTGGTATCAGTTGTCTGGGCCACTTCTTGCTGCCATGGGGGCTGACACACCTTTGGCTTGAAGCAGGCTTCCACGTACCTGGTGGCTCTTGGGAGGAAGCGCTAGCCGGGTAGCTAAGCTTACCTTCTATGTAGCTTTATGACAACAAGATACACTGCAACGGTATGATTTATCCCCCGTAGCTTGTTGGCATGGGGAACATGCTGTCACGGCTTGTGGGGTCAGAGGATTTCGGTGTAAGGTAAAAGCGACAAGGCCCCCGATATGACTAAGAGTGACGTTTGCCTCGAATAACAGCAAGGCCTGGCAAAGGCATCACTCCAAAGCATGACACTCGTTTAATCCTTTACCCTTCCACTTCACCTCCTACTTTCAATTATTTGACTTGGTTTGTTCAGTCCAAGAGAATTTCGGCAATCGTTAGCCCCAGCGAGTTCGGTTGATGTTTGGCAGTAACTGCAATCCACATTTGGATCCTGCCGTGCATATTTATCACTATTATCAGGTGGAAACATTGCAAAACCTTTTTAATGTACTCTTTAGGTCACGGTAGTGGCATCGCGTTGCTTCGTGTTTGAGCTGTCGATAGCAGCTGTCGACATCTCCAGCGTTCAGGATTTCAGATAGAGCTGTACTTTAGGGGACGCACCAAAGCAAAAGCCAGGCAAACTTCAAGCTTGCAGCATAGGCAGTAACTTATCATGATGTTACAGCTTATCCAGCATCCGTCTCCTCCAAGGCCATCGTCCATCGCACGCTTCAGCATCGCGGGGAACAAGCCTTCCGCATCACGCCTTGTCCTCATGCCACAGGCTCTGCTTAACCAGCGCATCAACAAGACGCAAGACATCACTACACAACTATAACGGCTGCCCTCCCGAGCAGCGTCGCCTTTTGTACGTTCCTTGCTTTCTGGCTTTGGACAGTTTTTTCAACAACAAGTAGTCAACTTTTTGCGTAAGACAGAGGTTCGTACTCGACAAACAGACTCGACTCTCCCTACATCTAGCGGACTCCCAAATAAGAGAATGTTGCCTCTAATGCAGGGAACCTAGGGAACCTCCTCCTGTGTACCAACCAGCCATCGTCCTCAATACCCGTTTAGCATCTGCGCCGTCTCAGCCGTCCTTACCGCCCTCACAAATCTTCCCACACGCCTCCTTATGCCCTGCCCGCCAGTGCGCCCGCTGGCAGTCCCCCCCGCAGTACCACGCCTTCCCGCAGCGCCCACACGCCCGCAGCGGCAGCTCCGCCTCACTGTCGCCCGCCAGGTTGACGCAGCCCGGGTTGGCACAGCTGCGCGGCAGGCACCACTCCGGCTGCACCCCGCACTCCGCCGCCACCAGCAGGGCGCCTAGCTGCCTGGAGTCTGGCCCGACGCCGCCCACGATGTTCACAGGAGGCCTCCTGGAGCTAAGTGGGTTCCTGGACACCTGTAGCTGTTGCAGCCGCACCAGCATGAGTCGCACCTCCCCACGCACCTCCAGCTGCGCGGCCGGCGGGCACAACTGCTCCTCCGTCGGCAGTGTTATAGTGCCTTCGTGCAGCGCCGCCGCCACCTCCGCCGGGAACACAGACGCAACGCAGTCAAGGGCAATGCAAGCGCCATGCAGCGTTCTCGGACTCGCCTCGCGTAGCACCAGCCCCAGCAGCCGCAGTATGCTCAGGTCTTGGAACAGCGCTTGGCGCCAGGGGACGTCGCCACGGCTGTCCACGGTGGCTGCGTGCACCAGCGGTGGCACCCACGCCAATATGTTCTCCGCCGCCGCCGCCCATAGCTCGAAGCCATGCACCCCTGCCGGGCTGTAGCACAGCACCATCCGCGCCATAGCTGGCAGCCACTGCTTCATCGCATGAATGATGAGCAGCATCAGCTGCCGTACGTGCGGCTGGGGCCGGCCGCGGCCACCGCTACTGCCACCACCGCCACTGCCAGCGCCACTGATGTTGCCGCCGCTGTCGACGACGCCCTCCACGCTCCAGTCACCCGACGCGTGCATGATCCACCAATGCATGTCATCCAGAGGCCGCTGCCGGTCCAGAATCAGGAGGACGACGCCAGTGTCACCTTCAGCAGCAGCCAGGTGCCGCAGTACCTTCCCGGCCGTTGTCACCAGCGCCGCCGCCTCTCGCGGCTTGCCGTACGCCAGCAGTCGCCCCAGCGCTCTCCACCGTAGTGTAAAGTTAAGCAGGTGCACGATGTCGCTGTCGCATCGGGCCATGCAGCCGTGTGCTCGGACGATGTGCTCCATCAGGGGGATGTATCCGGCGGCGAGTGCAGTGGCGAGCGCAGGGGGCGGCGCGGGAGGCAGGTCGCCGTCAGCTGCATGCATGGGCGCAGAGGGAAGATAGAGAGGATCGGAATGGCAGTAAGTTCGCGTCGTGTTGGCGAATAAAGAGATGCGGAAGGGAAAACTTCTGTGCTCGAAGGGTAGTGGCATGCTTAGATGCATCTAGATATGAAGTTTAGTACTTGTTACTGGAAAACTCCTGCACCACTTTCGCTTTTATCTGCGCGAAGATGTCCGCAAGGACTCCACCCAATACTGCTCCAAAAAGTTACGTTCTCTGCACACCCACCGACCTACCCACCTGGCCACTCCAGAACATCCAGCATCAGATTAACTATCGCCCGGCCCGGCAGCGGCAGCTGCCACCCACCGATGCCGCGTTCGCAGTGGCTCAGAGCCATGCCAACCGCCGGTACCACCGTGTTCCACCACTCCACGGCGCTGGCACCCTCGCCAACGGCAGCGGCGGGAAAGTCGAGATAGGACGTGTCTTTCACCGGATCGCCACCGCCACTGCGGTTTGCAACGGCTCCCGGGGCCAAGCGGCTTGCGTCCTGTGCACAGAAAAGCGCCGCAAGTGCCAACTTCGCACATTCCCCCATGTCCACCCGCATGTCCAGAAGTGCTGCCGGCTGCTGCTGCTGGGCCCCAACCTGCCCACCGCCACTGCTGCCAATTCCCTCATGACGGACCTGCTGACCCTCCGGCGAAGCACGCCTCGGCTCGTGCTCTGCTGCTGAGCGCACCGCCAGCCGCATCACCCGCATGCACAGTTCGTGTACGGCACGCCGACTGTACAGCAGCAGCGGCACCGGCGGCGACTGCAGGAGGCACCAGCTCCAGAGCCGGGTAGCAGCAATCAGGCCGCTTGCGCCGACTTTTTTGCCCCGGGTAGGCTCATGCTGGCGCTGAGAAGCGAACAGCAGCCCCGCCTGGGAAGGACTCGCCGGCAGCGTCTGCGCCTCCGTCAGGCCGTACGTCGTACCGCCGTCCGCCGCCGCCAGCTGCGCCACGACATGCGCCGCCAGGGCGTACTGCAGGCACGGGCCGGACAGCAGCTTGCGCAGGGCCTGCCTGCAACGTGCCGTGGCCGCGTCGCTGAGGCCCACCGCGTCTCCAAGGGCGTAAAAAAGGCGTTCAATGGATTGCACCGCTGCCAGGCGCCCGTACTCAGCGGTGATCCGTTCATGGCCGGCCCTGCTGCTGCTGCTGCTGGGCCGACTAGCAGTCCCGATGTTGCTACCGGTAGCGGTTGACGCTGAGGAGGAGGAGCCAGAGTTGTCACGCATGGCGTCGGATCCATAGCCCGTATATGCCCGTGTCAGAAGCTCCGAAGCCGCCAGTTCCACACAGCCGCTGCGGCTGACGGCCAACAGGAGCCCTGTCGTTTGCGGTGTTGCGCCGTTAACTTGCACGCGCACAAGCAAGGCAAAAAACGCAATCTCCTCCAGGACGGCTACTTGAAGGGGAATCCCAAGCGGCGTGCCGGCGCGCACTGCCGCCAGCAACGTGACACAGGCGGGGAGTAACTGAAGCTTCAGGACCAGCTTAGCCGTGCTTAGGGCTGCATCGCGCAGGTCATGAAAGCGCTCCTCGACCAGCTTGTCGCTCCAAAGCGCGCCAAACAAGAACGAGGAAAATATGCATATGTCTTTAGCTAGGGACTCGATGACGCTGTGCTGTGTTGGCAACAAGGCAGAAGGCTCAGCCAGAGCTCGAAGTGCGCTGCGGTGCAGCAGCAGCAATGAGGCGCGGCTTGCAGGCTGCAACCATAGTTGCCGCAACGTTTCCGCCGCTTCGGGGCTGTTTGAAACGACGTCTATATTCCCGCATCTGAAAGGCATCGTTAAGTCCTCTGCCGCATCTGCAGCAGCCCGCAGCTGAATAGCTGGCAAGCGGTTAAGATCGGGCTGCGAAAGGAGCGAGGCCGCGACAGCTTGAAGCCGGGAGGCGGGCCCGCGCGATGCTGTCGCGCCTGAGCGCCCTCGGCCTCGTGTATGCATCGTTAGCACTTTACTTCACAGCATTCGGGTTTCTGCACATGTTTCCTAAGAGCCGAAAGTGGAAGAGGTTGGCCGCGTAGATTGCAAGCCTGAAAATAGGAAACTAGCGTTGCGGATGCGCTTGTATACTAGTAGGAAACACAATGGCTCGCGAATGCCGACATTATGGGCAGTAGGGTCCGCGTACTGTTTTCCCCATCAGTGCTGAGTCACCGACTGACCCACGGAGCATTCCGGCTGGGGCCATGTGTAATTCGTTCCTCCGACAGGACATTTTAGAGTAATTACTTCAACCTTTTAGCTGTTATTCAGTTATTATTATTAACTACTTAATTCCTTGGTGGTTTGTTAATCCTTGCCCTTGCCGGTGTGCACCCTTCCGCCCCCACGGCCTTCGGGCTTTGGGACCAGCCTGCACCTTGGATGCCCTTCCCTTCAATCATTCACGCCGGGCGCTCATTACATCTCATGATTGCCTGCCGGCCCTCCCTGCCCCCCCCCCTACTCACTGCCTGGGCGACTGCAGCACCACGGAGGGCGAGGAGTACATGTCCGCCGAGGCGTGGATGCAGTGTACGACATACAGCCCCAGTACGGCAAGCACCAGCGCCAGCAGCGCAATGCACAGCGCAATGGGCAGCGCGTACCCATCCAAGGCCATCCTACCCTGGAGGCCTGGGCGGTTTGCGGGAAACATGGCCGTCTGCATCGACCTTCGTCTTCATGCCTGCTTAATCAACTCACCAACAGCCCCCATGACGTCCCAAGTAGCGTCCCCAACAATACCTCCCTTGCTTTCCAATTTGTGTCCATTTCCCGTACATCATATCGTCAATGTACGCTGTTTATCTCTGACCATATGCAAAACATATTCCACCCTAGGCTAGCCTCCTCCAGTATAGCAACCAGTCATTCGTACTATGCCGTACTAACCGTCTCAGCCGTCCTTACCGCCCTCACAACTCTTCCCACACGCCTCCTTATGCCCTGCCCGCCAGTGCGCCCGCTGGCAATCCCCCCCGCAGTACCACGCCTTCCCGCAGCGCCCACACGCCCGCAGCGGCAGCTCCGCCTCACTGTCGCCCGCCAGGTTGACGCAGCCCGGGTTGGCGCAGCTGCGCGGCAGGCACCACTCCGGCTGCACACCGCGCTCCGCCGCCACCAGCAGGGCACCCAGCGGGCTTGCAAAAGGGCGGCCCTCGCACGAGAAAGCCTCCGAGGGAGGCTCCTTCAAGCTCTGAGGGTTCGTGGAATTCACAAGAAGCTTGAGCCGGGAAAGCAGCCGCCGCCCGTTTTGCTCGTACTGCTGCTCCAGCTCCGTGACCGGCGGGCGCAGCTCCTCCTCCTTCTCCTCCTTCAGCGACGGCAGAGTGCCGTCAAGCAGGGCAGCCGCCACTTCCGCCGGGAACACAGACGCAAGGCAGGTAAGCGCACATAGGGCACTGTCCCACCCCTCCGGGCTCGCCTCGCGTAGCACCAGCCCCAACAGCCGCAGTATGCTCAGGTCTTGCAGCACCGCTCGGCGCCAGGGGAGGTCGCCGCGGCTGTCCACGGCGGCTGCATGCGCCAGCGGTGACACCCACGTGAAAAGGTGGTTCGCCACATCCCTGCGTTGCTTAAAGCCTTGATCCCCGGTCGGCGTGCGACAAAGCGCTAAGTGTCCCGCAGCCGGCAGCCACTGCTTCATTGCGTGGAGGGTCAGTGACGTCAGCTGCTGCGTTGGCGACTGAGGCAGGCAACTGCCGCTGCGGGCGCCGCTGAGGCAGGCACCGCTGCTTCCGCTGTTGTCACCCCCATCGCAGCCCTCCATGTTCCTGTTGGTCGACGCGCGCACCAAAACATACAGCATGTGGGTGAGCGGGCTGTTCTCGGCCAACCTCTGGAGGGCCTGCTGGGCAAGGCTGCCGCCATCGCCAATTGCGTCACCGTCACCACCACCAGCAGCCAGGCGCCGCAATACCTTCCCGGTCGTTGTTACCAGCGCCGCCGCCTCTCGTGGCTTGCCGTACCCCAGCAGCTGGACCATCGTGCCGTTGTGCAGCGCGATGTTCAGCAGCTCCGCAGCCGTCTCGCCGCACCCGGCCGAACGTGCATGCGCGCGAAGCAGGCGCTCCAGCAGAGGGATGTAGCCGGCAGCGAGGGTGGCGGCGAGGGCGGGGGACGGCGTCGGAGGGGGGTCCTCGTCAGCTGCATGCATGTGCGCGGCAGTAGGGATATGTATTATGAAAGGTTGTTTACTTGGCGCGGGCTGTATGCGCGGTGCGTACAAGGGCACCGGTAGTAAACTTGAAGTCACCAGGGGGTATGGAATGGAAGAAACGCCTGAAAGCAAGCATTTCGTCATTGGTTGACCGGTAACATCCGGGCCCTGCTTGCGGAGGTGCTATTAACACTTAAGCCGGGACGCCGCGCCGGCTACATTGCGCACTCGCAATTCCAACAAGTCCCACTACGTTACCCTTGGCCGTCTTCCCGATTACCCAACGCCCACCTGCCCATCCCGGAACTTCCAAGCCCAAGCAGTACAGGAAGCCTACGGGTAGCGGCCACTGCAGCTTGCCCATGGCGTCTTCGCTGCGCTCCAGCATCAACGCAAACGCCGGCACCGCCGCATCCCACCACTCAGCGGCTCTGGCCTCGTCAACAACGCCGCTGCTTGCGGCAAAGCTTGCAGCACTGCTGGCACCACCCGCCTCATCGTCGGCGGTGCCCGTCGCGGCATTTCCGCCGCTGCCGCTGCCGCCCCTCACAGCAGCGCCCTTGAGTGCCATTTTGGCTGCGTGCCGAGCGCACTGAAGTGCATCAGATACCAGCTGTGCGCATGCCTCGTCGATCACGGGCGCCCTCAGCGGCGTTACCGGCGCTTGCCGCTGCTGCGCCTGGGCTTGCTGAGCGCCACCACTGCTGCCGCTTCCATCGCGGCCCATCGGCTGCCCCTCTAGCCGCCGCGCCTTGTGCTCCGCTGCAGATCGCACCGCCAGCCGCACCATCCGCATGCACAGCTCGTATACGGCACGCAGGCGGTACGATGTAAGCGGCACCGGCGGCGACTGCATAAAGCAATACCCCCAAAGCCGAGCAGCAGCATTCAGGCCGCTTCCATCGACGTTTCCCCCTGGTCTCAGCCCTTGCCGGCTCCTAAACCGTAGCCCCGCCTGGGAAGGACTCGCCGGCAGCGTCTGCGCCTCCGTCAGGCCGTACGTCGTACCGCCGTCCGCCGCCGCCAGCTGCGCCACGACATGCGCCGCCAGGGCGTACTGCAGGCAGGGGCCGGACAGCAGCTTGCGCAGCCGCTTCCGAACAGCAGACGTGGCGCCGGCATTGCTGCCTGTAAGCTTGTCAAGGGTGTAAAGGATGTGGCCAATGGTTTGCGCCGCTACCAGCTGCACGTTCTCCTCCATGCGGCTCGCCCGCCTAGCTCTGCTGCTGACTGGGTCGCTGCCGGCGCTGCTTCCCGCGACTGGCGCCCCTCCAAAGCATGCGGCCTCATTTGGGACGCTGGGAGGAGGGCCGAGCAGCGGATCGGGTGAGATTCGTGCGAACCCAGTCTCCAGCAGCTCCGAAACCGCCAGTTCCATACAGCTGTTGCGGCTGAGGGCCTCCAGGAAGACCATCGCCCGCGGCATTGCGTCATGTTCGAGCGCCCATACAAGCGACACCATGGCTTCGACCTCCACTACGAGGGCCATCTGCAGTTGATGCTTCAAGGGTATGCCGGCCCGGACCGCAGCTAGCAGCGCGCAGCACGTCGGCAGCATCTGAAGCTTGAAAGCCAGCTTGGCCGTTCGAAAGGCTGCAGCGCGCAGATCGTGGAAGCGCTCCTCAGAAAAATGCCCGTATGCGTATGTGCCGAGTAGGATCGAAAAGAGCGGGTTGACGCCTGAAGCTAACGACTCAAGGCTGCTGCGTGATAACGGTAACCGCCCTGGGGGCTCTGCCAATGCACGAAGAGCAGCGCGGTTCAGCAGCAGCAGCGAAGCGCGGCTTGCGGGCGGCACCCAAAGCTGCCGTAACGTGTCTACAAGTTCGGGACGGTTCTTAATGGCCTGGTGCGTTTGGTTCACGAAACGCCTAAGCAACTCATCTGCCGCATCTGCAGCAGCCCGCAGCTGGATAGCTGGCAAGCGGCTCAGATCGGGCTGCGAAAGGAGCGAGGCCGCGACAGCTTGAAGTCGGGAGACGGGCCCGCGCTGTCCTGCCGCTCCTGCACGTCCTCCCCGACCTCCGGCAGGTATTGTTGGCATTCCTAAGAGGACAGCGTGCCTGAAAGCGCCTGAGCCTTCCCCAAAGGTTTAAAGGGTATCAATGTAAGCTGCGTAGCCCAGAAGCTCGAGTGAATGTTGCCGGAGGATTTCTGTTTAATGATGATTTCTAAAGTAAATTGGCTACAAAGACGGGTGAACTATGACAGTAGGAGACTTTCCTATTTTTCCCATTGAGGTCACTCCCTGACCCACGGATCAACACCAGACCTAAATATCAATTAGTCTCCTCACAAAGTCACAATGCACCCTCACATTTGACGGTACACTTTCCATGACCAGTTGACAAACTGACCACAAAGTCTTGGCACCCAAGTTTGCCGCCTGATTCGTACGGATTCCGAGCTGTCCTGTTTCCCGAGGCAGGTCTCATGTCTTCATGGTTGGGCTTTCTATAAGTGCAACACTTTCTGTGTGTCAAGCATGCGTTGCGTCTTGCGTGCCATATGAATGCCTGTCTGACACTTACGGCATGGCATCTCTCGTCCTCCCACCCCGCTGGTTATGTCAGCGCTGGCGGGCACTTCGACGCATGACCTATTTGAACCTTCGTCTTTACTGAGGGGACTTGAGGGGGACTGGCTAGGAGATTCTTAGGTCCATACACATGACCCACTTCCTCCGTCACTCCATACACATGACCGCCACCTTTGAAGAGCTCAAGGATCACGCAATGGGTTTCCTTCCAAGGAGACGTCTGCCATTCACCAATCCCTCCTGTCAAACTATAGACCCAACACGAATGTTGCGAAATCCTAGGAAAGTAGGATGCCCTTCCTAACCGCCCATCTGCGCCTCTTTAGCACCACCCGTTCTTGTGTTCACCCGTTAGCCCTTTCCTTACTGCCATAACCCCTTGCTCTCCTAACCCCACACCCTAACCCCTAACCCACCCCTAGCCACTCAACCAACCCTAACCTGCGTTTCCCCACCACTACCCTCGCCGGCTGGCTGCGGCCTTGCCCTTCTTGGCTCTGGGCAGCGGGTCCCGCAGCGGCCGGTCCCTGACCCGGTAGATGCGCATCATCCAGTGCTGGCTGGTGAACACCTCCTCGAAGTAGTTGAGCTTCACGTTGAGGCGCCCGATCTGGTAGCCGCGCACGCGGTCCACGCCGCGCTGACCCATCATCAGCTGCGACTCCTCCGCGTAGCTGCAACAGGGGACGAGGGGCGAGGGGCGCAGGGGGAATGACGGGGGAAGGGAAAGCAGGACAGGAACGCGAGCATTGAGCAGCCGGGGAGGAGGACGAGCAACGTGCGTGCGTGCGTGCGTTTTGCAGAGCGGTCTTGGCGTTCTGCCGTAACTCAAGCACAGGCACGGATTCCAGCATGTTAAGGCCTTCCTTGGATGCTTTACCACCTCACAACACGCAGCAGCAGGAGCAGCAGCTGCATCCGCACACTCACTCGTAGTACGACAGCTTGTACATGAGCGAGTTGAGCATGGTCTTGGCGCCGTGCGCGTCAACCCGGTAGTCGCCGTCCGGAGTCAGGTAATCCTTCTCCTTGATCTCTGCACGCACGTGGAGGGCAGGGCGACACGTGGAGGGTGCGGGGCGGGGTTGTACCGAAGCGGCGGGGCATCAGCCAAATTGGTGAAGCGGGGCTGTAGCCGCGACTCACCTGGTTACATGGCACATTGGGTACCGATAAGGGGCCAGAACAGCTACACGAGTGACACCGGTAAAAGACCAAACCCCAACCGCACAACCTCCTCCGCGCAATACCCTCTCCCCCACCCCCGCCCCCCCTCCGCAACCACCCACCTGGGTAGACGCCGCCCCCGATGCGGACCATCCACAGGAACTTGTTGATGTCGTCGGAGGGGTAGCCCACCAGCCCGCCGAACACCACGAACACGTACTCCACGTCCAGGGAGCGGTAGATGGACCAGGCCTGAGGCAGGGGGACGGCGGCGGGGGCGGGCGGGTGTGGTAGGGGGACGGCGGCGGGGTTTGGTGGTGGTGGTAGGAGGGGGACGGCGGCAGGGGCGGGTGTAGTAAGGGGCGCAAGACTAGGGGGATGACAGTGGGTGAATAGTCAATCGCTCTAAGCGGGCGAGGGCTAAGAATAGTATACTACAATGCAACAGGTAGCAAGGCAGGGTGTGCCACCCAACATGTATGGCACGCAGTTGCGTCCTGGAGGCGGGGTTGAGGGTATCCCACAGCCTGCTGCCGCATTTACCCCCGTGCGCTCCGTGCAGCAAGAAAGAACGCGCTGCACCCCAGCTCGCCTCCCTTCTTCACCACATTGGGAATCCTTCTATTCCCCTCCCTCTCCTCGCCTCCCTCCCTCCATCCTACCTTTGCCTCGCTGCTCGCCATGGCCCTTCCCACTGTGGCGATGTGCGAGGTGTTCCAGGTGTTGTTGTCCACAATGACGGTGCGGTTGGCCATGGCGGTGGTCTGGTAGCCGTAGTCCCACCAGGAAGCAACCTGGAGAGAGGGGTGGGGGTGGGGGTGGGGGTGGGAGGGATGGGATGGCGGGTGGGGTGAGTGAAGGTGGGCGAGGTGAGTGGGGTGAAAATAAAGAAACACTGACAAACTGAATGACGAGGCTCCACCATGGGTTGCTAATTGAGTGGGGTGGGTGAGTGGGGTGGGTGGGGTGCATGGGGTGAAGGCAAGAGTACCGGTAAGAAACAGGATTGTGAGCGCGCCAGAGTAAGGGAGAAAGGGTAAAGATTTCAGGTGAAACAGGGAAACCGGGACAGGCCCCTGCCTCTTCCCCAAAGCAGCCTCCAAGTCCTCACTGCCCTTCCCCCCGTCTCCCACACTGCCCCTCCCAGGGCCTACCTTGGTGTCGGGGTGGGTGTTGTGTCGCAGCCAGGCGTACGCCTCCCGGAAGTCGTCGAACACGTAGTAGCCGTTGCCGTCGCTGCGGTGGCGGGCGGGGAGGAGGGGTGGGAATGTGTATGAAGCTATTCACAAGGGCTATTCACAAGCCGTTTTCTACGGTGCGCGGATGGGGGGACTCCGAGACCGGGGTGACAAGCAGACTACAGCAGATGGTGAGACACCCAAGAGACCAACAGACAAGTACAACTCTGACGTGAGGAGTTTGGGAATGGACGGCGCAAGACCCAGCCTTTCTCTCCCCTCCAAACACTATACTCGGCACTTATGTGATGTGTCCGTTGACAAACTTGCTGTCCCACTGCCCGCTCCCTGTTCCCCCCCCTACTCACTGCCTGGGCGACTGCAGCACCACGGAGGGCGAGGAGTACATGTCCGCCGAGGCGTGGATGCAGTGTACGACATACAGCCCCAGTACGGCAAGCACCAGCGCCAGCAGCGCAATGCACAGCGCAATGGGCAGCGCGTACAGCGGCTTGGCGGCGGCGGCCTTGCTGGAGGACTTGGAGCGGGGCCTGGAAGGAGGTGAGGGGGAGCGTGGGGAAGGTGGGGTGGGACTTGGCTTTGGTGGTGGAAGGTAGAAGGTGTGCTGGAAGGGTGCTATGCTGGCGTACGTACGCATGCCGTACATGCATCACATGCGTATGGGTTTTACGTACGCAAGCACACTCCCCCAACTCCCGACCCCAACCCGCACCCACTTCTTCTTCGCGGCTGGGCTGCTGCCCTCGTCCGCTGCCTCCTTGCCGCCAGCTGCGGAACCGGAAACCGCAGCCGCAACGGCGCCATCTGCAGCCGCCGGCGAGCCAGCGGCAGTAGCGGGCGCAGTAGCAGTGGCAGTGCTGGTGGTGGAGGAGGCGGAGGGGCGCGGAGGAGACAGCCGGGACCTGTGCGGGCGGGGGCGGGCGGCAGTGAGCATGGAGCCACATGTGGGGGGCGATGCAGCACCGCATTCAGGAGCGGCTTGCAGGTCCTCCAAGGACGAGAGCAGGAACGCGTAGCCCAGGTGCCGGCAGCCCCACCCACCGCCGCGCACCGCCCTTGCGGACCCCCGCCTCCCACCCCCCCCCCACCTGATGGAGCCGTTGAGCACGTAGAGCAGGTCGGAGAGCGCCACCGCCGCCAGGCAGCACACCGCGGGGGCCAACACAAGCATCAGACGGATCTGGGGCGGGGAGCAAGGGGTGGTGCGGTCACGGGGCGTGGTGGGATCACGGAGCTGGACGGGAGGGGCGCATGCATGCGAGTGAGTGTGGTGTCAGTGGGGTGGGGAGCGGTCAGGAACGGGAAGCCTGGCAAGGAAGGTAACAAGTGACGAAGAATCGCCCCTGACGCGTCTCACACCCACCGACCCTGGGGTCACGATAACACCCTCTTCGCACACATACACACACACGCATACAAAGGCTCCTACGTTCCTACTCGCGGCCAGTTTTGTTAAGAAACGCACGCACAGCCCGCACTCCATCCACCCCATCTTCTCCTCCCCCCCTCACCGCCGCCCCCCCGACCCCACCATGACTCCTGAGAAGTACACCGCTGTGAGGCCGTACAGCACCAGGAACAGCGTGGCGTCCGTGAGGCGGCTGAAGCAGGCAAGGATGCCTGGGCGGGGGCGGGGGGGTGGGGTTGGGAGGGAAGTTGGGAGGGAAGTAGGGAGGGAGGTGGAGGGGATGTGAAAGGCTGGTATGCTCACCCGTCGGAAGTCATCTTCCCACGGCCTCGCTACGCTCACGGCCACAGTTCCCTCGCGGCTCAGTTGCGGCTCAGTCTTGTCCTCTTCTCCACGCCCCTCCCCCTATGGTTTTACCTCTCTTTGACCCCCTCCCGGCCGCCCCCCTCCCTCCCCATGGAGCTTGTCGTCTATTTTGCATTCGCATTCAACACTTTGGGAATTAATACTTCAACACTTTCCCTCCCTCCCTCCCTCCCTCCCTCCCCCCCATCCTCACCCGCCGGCGCCAGCATGACCAGCACGTGCAGGTCCATGAGGTAGGAGGACCACTGCGGCGGCTGGTGCTCGGACACGGAGGCGATGATGGGCACGAAGCGGGAGGCGTAGGTGGGGTCCAGCAGCGTCATGGAGCGACCTTGGGGGAGGGGGAAGGGGACGGGACGGGGGGTGAATACGATGTGGAGGGAGGGCGGGGGAGGCAGGCAAGGAAGGATAGCCATGACTTGAGTAACAATGGCATACTAGGTGGGAAAAATTATATAAGAAATGCAAACAACTAAAGTCCCAATCCCATATCCCGACTCATGCAGTGAGTGCATACTAGGTGGGAGGGAAGATCAGGGAAACGGAAGAGGAGGGAGAGGCTCCGCCTGCTTCTCCCTAACCCCTGCAGCCGCAGCGGCTGCGCAACCCCACCGGCAAGCAGCTCCACGACTCACCCCTCATACTCGCCCCCGCCCCCCTCAAATGGACACCCGCAACCCCCCCCACCACCCCCTTCCACCCCCCGACGACGCACCTGTCCAGCCCAGGGTGGGGCTCTTGGCCACATACGCCACCACCACACTCGCCACCAGCCCGCCAACCGCTAGCGCCGCCGCCACCACGCCCGAAGCCAGCACGTAGAAGTGCCGCGGGCTCAGCATGCGCCGTACGTACGACACAAGGAGGGCCACGTGCAGTACGACAAAGGCGAAGAAGGCGCCGAAGTGCTCCGACATGAGTACGGCATTGAAGCCCACGACGGGTATGGAGCAGGAGATGGCGGTGCCGATGGCTACCAGGGGGGCGAAGGCGACGTAGAGGCGACCTGGGCGGCGTTGGGAAAAATGATTGAGAGTGACGAGAGGGGCGGGTGGGAGGGGGTGAAGAGGTGGAGAATGAAGAGGGAAAAGGAGGTAAAAGCGGGCGGAAGAAAAGGTTGGAGGTTGAAGGGAGGTAAGAGACGTCCACGCCAAGTTCCTGCGGCACCCTGTGACCCGTGGGTCGGTAGCTAGGGCCAGGGAGGGACTGCGGAGGAGCTGCAGTGCCACGGCGATGCCTGGGAACCCGTGCACACGCAGCGATGGGAGGCCGTCGCTGCCTGGTTCGCTGCCGGCATGCTGGTGCGGCCAGCAATCAGTCAATGGGAAGACTACAACTATCGGCACGTCCGTCCCACGAACATAATTCGCCTCTCCAGGCGCTATCCCCTCTCCACGCTTCTCCTCCTCCACCTCCCCCCACATGGAGCGTATCTCCTCTTCGCGAGTCCCTCTAGCGGGTCGGTGGAAGGACCCACTCGGCACCCATCAAAATGCAACCATGGTTGAGCCCCAACATGCCTCAAGGTCATAGCTCGTTCCTGCTTCCTCCCTCCCCTAACCCTCTCCTCCCGCCCCCCCCAGCCCGCCCCCACCCGTGAGCCTGCCGAAGAAGATGCAGGCCAGGCAGTAGAGCGGCAGCAGGTTGATGATGAAGGAGTAGCCGCCCCACGACAGCACCATGTAGCCGTACGCGGCAACCGTAACAACCGCATCCGACAACCGCCCGCTGTTAACGGTCTGTGGGAGTAAGGGGAAAGACGTGAGGAGAAGAGAAGGAAAAGAGGAGGTGAGGAGAGAGAGATGTGAAAAAACGGCGGTGGCAGTGGCGTTAGTGACCCAGAGTGAAAGAGAAGCAGAACGTACTGGAGAGTTAAGATGTGTGTGGCAGGGTGAAATCCCGAGCAGGCTCGCGCAGGGGTTGCCCCAATGCACACGCCCTCGACACCCAGCTGATGATGTGGGGTGCGGCGCTCAACTGCCGTGGGGCCCTACCCGTCTAGGATCACCGCAACCCCTTTTCTGCTTCTTCTGCGACCCATTTCTCCCTTTTCCCTCCTCCCCTGCCTCGCCCTCCGCACGCCTTTCCCCCACATCCTGACGCAAGACTATCCAGGAGTGCCCCAACAACTTGCCCCCTCCGTCTCCTGGCCTCCTCTCCTCCGTCTCATCTCCTCCTCCTCCCCGCCCCCACCTTGATGAACCAATAGAACACGTTGACCAGTGCGAAGATGGCCACCCCCTCGTTGTCGAAGGAACCCGCCACGGAGCGGGAGATGTAGGAGGGCACGATGGCCACGAACAGCGATGCTAGCAGACCCGCGCCCGACCCACGGGCCTGTTTGGAGGGGCGGCGCAGGGGAGGTGGGTAGGGTACCGGGTAGGGTAGGACGGCAGCGCAGGGCAGTCCGACAAGACGACTGAAAGGTGAATAACCTTTGAAGTACTTGGGTTCCCAGGGAAAACCCATGAGTCCATGACATTTGTCGCCATGTGTCACTCTGTGCTTCCATACCCTTCCCTCGCAGCCTGGCAGCACCTCCCTGTTCACGTCATCCCGCTGTTCAGAACAAGGTACATGTCCGCAGCTGGGCCTCCGCTCCCTAGACGTCCCCTACACTACACACACACCCACACCCCCACCTGCGACACCAGTCCGTAGCACGCCAGCGCACACAGCGCCGAGAACAGCGGCGCTGTGAACACGCACACCTGGGGGGTGGAAATAAGGTAAAGGGGTGGGGCGTTACGTTGGTGGGGTGCGGTGGGTGGGTGGGTGCTAGGGGGCCGTTGTGGCGGTGGCGATGGCCAGGAAAGATACGGGGTTTACACCTAGTCATGAATACTATATACGGCACATAGCGGTACGTGGTGCACGCGGACGATGACGGTGGTGGTGGTGGTGGGTTGCAAGGTGGTGGTGGTTGTCCCGGCACACGGAGGCCGCGGTGGGACAGCGGGTTCTGAGCACCGCGGTACTATGAGGCCGGTGGGTGGCTTGCTGTGGCGGTGGGGTGAGAGGCCGGAAGGGGGGGACCCGGGAGAACCCCGGGCCGCTGGCGGCGTCACTGGGAGGAGGGTGCGAGACCCCAGACGCTGCCCCTTTACTGAGCTGGGGGTGACAGGATGGCTGTAAGAGCGCGGATTATGTACCGTACTTGCGGTTTGGCCTGAGGGCCGGCTATTTGCGGTTAAGAAGCTGCGTCATGGCCATGCCGGTCGTTAATAAAGCCTGTGTCCTGGCAAAAGCCTCACCTCCTGCACATGGATGGGGATGTTGAGGAAGTGCAGGATGCGGTATATGCTGCCCGCCGTGAAGATGAGACCCTGAAAGAGGGTAAGAGGGAGAGGGGAAAGATGGAAAGGGAGTCGAGTAATGAGAGGAACAGCTGGATGGGGAGGGTGACATGCTCGGGCAACAGCCGGCGGAGCCTTTGAGGGCTCAAGAGCCGCAAGCGCGTCGCCTCCAATGCAAATACAAGGACTATATACCTGTAAGCGGAGTCATCCATGTGTTAATACTCTACGCATAAAGGTGTCCGATAGACAGTGTGCACACATTTGCTTGTTGCAAGTGTGATCGGGCAGATAACTAGCTTCATGCATGTAACTGCAAATCGGTTTTCAAGGACATGCACTACAACGTCGAGATGTGCCCTTTTGCGACGTGTCGATGGGCGATGATCTAACTGAACAGTTCAATCCGCTAATAACTATAGCCGAAGACTATACCAATCCACCTACCGGATATACGGTCCCACCAACAACGCGCCCCAGGGGATACCACGTCCGGTCGTCAAACCAGTTCCACATTTCGTAGAACCCCTCCTTCGTGAGGAACTGGGTGACGCGGTAGTTGAAGTAGGGATCGAATTCATGGATGACGCTTTCATATTTCACTACTGAGAATAAGCGAATACTAAAGGCCAGCACACATATCCCTGTAAGGGCCAAGTACTTGCTGGCCTCGCCAAGCTTGGCGAATAGCCGCATTTTTCCTAAGCAGTTTCTACACGCAGCCTGCTCGGCTACCGCGCCATGGATAACTAAGAATTCTTGAGGATGGAAAGCCTGTCTTGCCAACCGGTTGCGTGCCGTACAAGTGCGTTAAGCCCACCATGCAGGGCAAGTTGGGAAGTCACTGCTCCAAAGCAATTGTATACAGCATGCGGCTTTACAAAGTGTGTAACTGCTAGGGAACATGCTTCAACGGCATCAAATACTAAAGGGAATTCGGGGATGGGGCAAGAGCTATCGCGCGGGTGAGAACCCACCCACCCGGCATGCCTGCCGCTCACTTCTTACCGAACCTGCCTCAAGACGCCTTGCCTTGCGAAGCCTGACGGACCACTTTGCGATACGGCCTCATTTAACGTTATCCACAAATGCTTTGCCGGCATCTTCAGCACCCCCGTGCTGCCTGTTATCGTTTGTCGTACACCTGTCCCAAGGGCCCACTGCAGGATCTCTTAACCGGGCCGCCACCGCCGTCCGAAGTGCTTACATCTGTCCCAGCCATGCGCATCTCGAACACACGCCCCTGCCAAGGTGGCAAATGCTGCAATCGTGTAGACCGCAACCTCAATCTCAGGTTTTAAGCCTCCGCCCTTCACTCGCCATCGCTCCTTCCAATTCTTTCCTCCACCCTCCATGCCGCAACAGCCCACCCGACCGTCACCCGCATGCCTCGCCTGCCAGCACCAGCGCGGCCCTCTCCAACGCATCATGCGAACCCAGGAAGGACCTGTCTTGCAACAAGCCGGGACACGTATTGAGGCACCTACACCGCCGCCACAGGTTTATCCTCTCATCCCTCTCGCGCTCTTATCCCTTACCTGGGTGCACCGGTAGCACTCAAGAGCCCCGCCCCGCAAAAGTAATCCACTCCGTCACTCCCTCTCTCACTCCTGCGGCTGCCTTTTCGGCTGCTGCCGGCCGTACTTAATGCTGTGCACTTCATACTCTTTCCTGACTTCCCGATGACAATGACTGAAGTTTGCGATTGATGGGTGTGAAAGTGTTACTTTTAACTGAAATTATCGAAGAAGTCCTCATCCGTCCCCGCTGCCGCCTCCGAATGCGCCGAGTAGGTCTCCATCTGCGCCAAACTCAGCCGCAACTGCTGAGCCGCGAACAACCACCGACTCTCGCCGCCTTGGTGTCGTACTTGGTGTCGTACTGGCCGCTCTTGCCGCCGTGACTGCTGCTGTTGTTGTCCAGCCCTGGCTCCAGGCCCACTGCTGTCCTGTTCCTTTCCCTCCTTCCCCTCTCCCTCCTCCGCCTCCTCCTCATGCTCCTCCGCCTCAACGCCAGCAGACGAGTCCCACTCGGGTTGCCAGCGACCGTAGCTGGTGTCCGGGGTGCCGAAGGCTGGTGCATGGCAGGTGGGGCGGCGGGGGGGAGGAAAACATTTTTGATAAGTGAAACAACGAGTCCCAATCCCAGAGAGGGGGGATGGTGGTGGCGGTGGGGTGGTTATGGTCCATGAGACACCCGGCTGGTTTACTTGAGTTGGTTCGCAAGTTGCACGCTAGGTCCAACGAGTGACGGCAGCAGCAGCAGCAGCTGTCCTCAAGAATGGCATCCAAAGCAACAAGAACGTTGCATGCCACCCGCCTCCCCCCCCCCTCCCAACTCACCCAACACCGACCCCAGCAGCCCGCACTCCGCCAACGCATTCGCCACCACCTGCCGCCCGCGCTGCTCCTCCTCATGCTGCTGCCCCTGCATTAGGTCTCCTCCTCCTCCTGCTCCTCCTTCTTCTCTCCCCAGCTGCTCCCTCCGCCCCTCCTCCTCCCCCCCCGGCAGCTCCCCTACGAGCAGCGAGTGGTAGGCGGCGCAATGGGACACCTCTGCCAGCAGCTGCACCAGCTCCTGGGGCGAGGTGAGGGGGCGAGGGGAAGAGGGGAAGAAGAAGAATGCCTAATTTGTTGAATGATAATGGCAAAGTAGACGACAAGCCCCTCGTTGGATGTCGAGGAGGGGTGGGGACGGGGAGGTGTGAGTGGAGAGGTGGGGAGTCAACGTAGCGGTCTAGGAGCGTTATGGTGCGAGCCTCCCTCGCACCCCCACCCACCTGCTGTCGCAGCCCCAGCCCGCAGAGCCCCTGCAGGCCCCACACGCTCAGTCGGTCGGCGCGGAAGCCAGCAGCGGCGAGACGGGAGGCCAGGGAGGGGGCGGAGGAGGGGGAGGGGGAGGAGGTGTCGAGGGTAGCGGCGCCGTCGCTGCTGTTACTGCCGTCAGCGCCAGCACTGCCGGAGCGACTGGAGCCGTCCTGAGAGGTGCCGCGACAGGTACGGCAAGGGGTCACCGGAGGAGGTTAGCGATGCCACAGTTGCTTGTTGTAGATGGATTACCGGTAAGGTGCGGGCCTTGTATGTCATGCGGCACAGCAGTACAGCAGTACAGCAGTACAGCAGTACAGCAGTACAGCAGTACAGCAGTAGCCAGCTGCTGCGGCTCTGGGCGGATCACAGTGTGTATTCTGCGGACGTACGGCACGTGGCCGTGCACGTCCCCCCTGGGTAAGACACACAGCACCTCTCGTAACAACCACCTGCTCTCACCTAGGCACAATTCTCACCACCCCACTCACCACCCCACTCACCACACGGTCGCCTACCTTGAAGTCCCACACCACTCGACGCAGCAGGCAGCCAGGCGGCGGACGCGGCCCCCTGGCTCCCCTCCTCCCTGTGCCTCCACCTCGACCTCCTGCCCCCACGCTTCCTTGCATCCCCGTCTCTCCTGTTGCCGCCGCCTCCGCCGCCGCCGCATCCACCACCGCACTCGCCGTGCCCGACGACGGCAGCTGTCCAGTCACCGCCGCCGCCGCCTCCGCCGCCGTGGCGGCAGCAATGGCTGCCGCCTCCGCTGACGTCATCGCCGCCTCCGCCGCCGCATGCGCCTCCGCGGGGGCCACCAGGAAGATCGCAGTGCCTGGCGGCCAGGGCAGTCGGAAGGGGCGGGAGTCCAGAGCATCGCCCAGCAGCACCACCTGTTGGGGTTGGGTTGGGAGGAGGGGGGTTGAGGGGAGTGGCAGGAGGCGTGGCTCCTCACAGCAGTTGGCTGTGGGACTCGTGGGCACGACACCGGTACTTACCCATGGGTGGACGGAGGTTGCGAGAGTCGAAGGAGGCAGCACACATTGTTTAACGCAATGCAATTGCAAAGCACACAGCGCGCATTGTGCGGCGCCAACAAAACCTTTTTCCTCCTCCCTCCTCCTCTTCCACGCCGTCTTTTGCTCCGCCCTGGCACGCCCACACCTTCCATGCAGCCCCCCCCCACCCTGGGAAACCATGGCGCTTGGGTTTCCCTCTCCAGGTAAGTTTCCCATAATGCGTCTCGATAACATGTATACTCGTATACCCAATTTGCTTGTTGCTTTGACTTTGCGTGACCGGCGGCGCGGCACATATCTCCCTAGTACTACCACGCAAGGCGGCTTCTTCCTCAAGTCGTCTCGGTTTACGGTAAGCAACGATTCGGTAAGTAATTTGAGATGCGTGCTTCTAGGATAGCGTCTCCGAATGCGCTCACTGCATGAGTCGGGATATGGGATTGGGACTCGTTGTTTCACTTATATAATTTTCCCCCCACCCCCCCCCCCCCCACCCCCCACCTGGCGGTAGGCCCCCTGCGTGATGCGGTTCACACCAGCTAGTCCCGCGGCCCGCAGCAGCAGCGTGTCGATGTGCGCCGTGGCGATCACATCCTGGGCCGCCTCACGTTGGGGCCGCTGCTGGGGCTGCTGCGGCTGCTGCTGCCGTCCGGGATCTTCCTGCTGCTGCTGTTGTTGCTGCTGCTCGTGAGATCGAGGTGGAGGTAGAGGTTGGGGCCCCTGCTGAGGCAGTCATGCGGCAGTTGTGCGGTGACTGTCGAGGTCGGGTTTGAGGGTAAGCAGAAGGTCTCTACTGGCTGTCAAATGGTCGACGGAGAGGCCCGTCCATAGCAACACCCAACCCGCCCAAACGTGGGCAACATCATCCGCAAAGTGTTTCAGTCGCTCTAGCGTCCTGCTAAGCCCCAAACCGTTGACTGGAAAGTCAACGATGACTGTAAGACATGGCTACTGTGGCATCCCAAGACACTTGCGTCAACAGGTGTTCCTGAATTCCCAAGGCAAGCCCAACCACCTGGTGACATGCCGGCCAATTTGCCAGGAGCCCCGCATACGGGTCAATAAACAACGCCGTGTCCTCTCCGCCATCCAGTTTGTCCACTTTGCGACTTCGCCGACTTTCGGCTGCGCGCGCCGCGGCAATTCGCTGACTGACGAGCAAGGAAGAAATAACATGGGATGGTGCTTCGGGGTTGGGTGTCTGAGAGCTGGACACAGCGACCGAGCGGATACTGACCTGTAGTAAGTACAGGCATAATAATGAACACATTTTTGGGAACTCGCACAAAGGTTAAAGGGCAGATTGGCGACGAGCGACAACATGCTCCATGCATCCGTGTGAACCCTTACTATGCGCGAAGCACGGCCGCAAGGTCGAAGCTGCTTGAGCGCCACGGTTTGGCGCTTATGGCACAATTGCATTTTTCTGGTCGTCTGAACACGTAAGGCTGGATTGCGCGACGACTGCTTACGGACGCGAATGTAACACCGCAAGCTCTACAAGTAGCCGCATCTAATAAAGTATGTTTTGATACCTGTTTCCAGAAAATCAGGATACCGTTTGTCGCAGTCGTAAGAAACACGTTTCCACTTGCGCCATGAACGCTACCAATTGCTTATTGGAGGACGTGCTTCCGTATGATCACTACTACATACAACGCCTTCATAGTCCTACTTGGCATAACTGTTTACCGGCGGCGTTTCATCTGCATGTTTACCGTTAGCTCGTACAGCAACCGCTATGCGCCCACCAGCCGTCCCCACTGTACTTCCCGCCGAACACATCCGGCAGTGTGGGCTGGGTCCGTTGCCGGCATGGTGAAGCTCGATGCGCAGTTGAAGCGGTGGGTTCGCACTACATGTTGGGGGCGAGTGGTGAACCCTCCCGTCCCGGCCTGGCGGGCAGATTTGTGTGTATGTAGTTGGTCCATGAGCTGTTTGCTCGGCTGGGGCGGGCCTCACCCGAGCTGCTCCAAAGCTCTTGAACACGCACGCGCAAGTTATCCAACCGCCCCAAGTCCCCCGCATGCGCAACAGGGCTACTCAGTACGGCCCTACGCGCCATTCTTTGGCCCGTCTACCGGCACATCTTACCACGTCTAAGAACTGCCGCGAGCAAACTAGGGAGCATGTGACGCATGAGCACATGGCGAAGACACACTACTAAGTTGATGCTCGGGAGAAGAGTGCAATCTCCTTCAATTCGGGAGAGGGGAGTTGGTATGCAGCAGCTGCTACTACCCGCTAACCATTCAACTGCCGTTTTTACTTATAAGGGATTTCATGAGGCTACACCATAGGACGTACTGAGTGTCATGCGTCAACGTCATCATACGTGCTTGGAAGCTGTACGACAAGTTCGTCTGCATGTCTGGATTGCCGACATGTGTCTTTCTTCATTACAGGGGTAGTACTGCAGCAGCTAGAAACAACACCGGCGCACGCCGGTACGCTACACGTGAAACCTGCTACACTATTCGAAGTTACGAATTCAAACCTAAAGGTAATGATGACCTCCCACCAAGGATCTCCAGTGACAACGAGGTGACCCGTGGGTCGGTAGGTCCCGTCTCTCTTATCTAAACGTCCCACGCAGTACGCTTTTACCGTTATTCCAGCAGCACACCCAATCCAACCGACCACAACCACATCATCTGCAAATTAGCACCCCGCGATGTGAGCGAAACCGCAGCTGTTTTCTACCTACTGCAACCAGCAGAGCTAAAACGAAACTACTACGCGGCAGTACCCGCCGTACGGCACCCAATAGGTATGTATATGTACGACCTGCATTCCTCCTCTTAACGTGCAATCCAATGCACTACTAGGTGCCTAGGGCGCAAAGACAAAGTGGATCCGACAGAATCTCGTGTTCCCAAAAACACGCGGCGGCGATCGGCGATCGACTGGGACCGTTCGACAGTGGCATCTACCGTACCGTACCGTGTCTAGCATCGTACGTCGGCCAAACCCTAGCCAAACTCCAGCGCCAAACGCCAGGGTCTAATCGTCTAAACCCTTGTGCTAACGTGCAGCTCATCCTCCGATCCAGTTCAAACGAAAGGCCCCTACCAGACCCAGCAACTACTGTGCTACATACCGATACGTAATCCAGAATGCATACCCACACGGCAACATGCGTGGTGCCGTCGCTGCAACTAACAGCGTGTTCCCCTATTCACCCGCATCATCAAACGCGCGTCGTCTTCGAACCCAAAGTCCACAACTAACCGCCGCAGCTACATAGAGGCAGACTTTATCTCCTGTTCAAAAACATATCAAATCAGAGACTTGGAAATCAAGATGTACGGAACTGATCAACTGAATCCTGCATGGTCCTTCCTCGTATGCGGCGTACGTCTTCCGTGCGCTTATGATACAACAGCTGCAGCAGAGATGCTAACAATGAGCAATTGCAAGGTACAGGTTAAGGATACTTTGGCAGGTATATATACAGCAGAAAGTACTGGACAACAAATACTACGAGCCATTTGCAATCCTAACCAGTTTTGAAATCAGCATGATACAGCAAACGAACGAACGAACAAAGCAGCAGCTATCATCGAAGGTGACAGACCCGCCGAGGCCCGCCTGGCATGCCTGCGGCCTATTTCCAGGCGCACACTTATCCCAGCATGCAACACGTCTCAATTCTTGATACCCGCCTTCCTTTCCAACGACCTTTAACAAACTGTAACCTCTCGCCTAATCCCAACCAATCACAACAATTCTCAACGGAACGGCTGGAATTCCCACAAGCACCGCCACCCACTCACAGCCCCATACGACAGGGCTGACACAGCTCCCACAAGCAATTCCCTCCACAACCCCATCCAGCAGGGCCCTGGACAAAAGCCCCAGCAGCCCTGTGACCCATGGGTCGCGAAGCAGCCCAAACCAACCAACAAAAACCTTCAAAGAACCATTGGCATCAAGTCATTACCCGTACGATAAGAACAGTGTTCATGAAAAAATACGTCCTACTAACCGAGCGCTTGGCCCCGAAACACACGACGAGCACCAGGAACAGGCGGGCAATATACATGCGTTGTTCGCAACAAGCCCAGGCAAAGGTACGCATGCATTAAAACGAAAGCTAAATTTGAGCTAACAGCCAACACCCACCACACAAAATGCAAGCTGGCGAAATGCTGCGAAGCGTTAGTACGGCATGACTAATGTACATTCCATCATCGTACGGATTCGGATGTCAACCCATGTTCCTGCATATCGTCCTAGGCCATGCCAACCGGGTCCAAACAGCTTCAAGCGTCAGCGCATCCGGGCGAGGAGATACCCGTGTGGCAATGCGTCGTACGCGCATCGATCGACCGGGGGGGAAGACACTACTCGTGCCAGGATCGTGCCAACGCAAGACCAGCAAGCAGTAGCGTGGGTGGGGTCAACATCCACAGCTTTAGGTTATACCCTGTAGATTGCGCGGCGTTCGCAACCCAGATTCGTCAACAGATTCCTAACGAAAACCAACGGCCCACACAAGCATCATACGGAAATTGCAAGCGGCGGCCCGCATGTGTCCCCTCTCCCGCGCGGCTTAGTACTCTCCCCCAAGTCGGGAAAACCCTGATTTTAGTTCTCGCCATTAGCATTGGTAATACCACAGCCTCTTCTATCTTCGGCCTCTTCTTCGGTCAAAAACGCATGGACGCAGTTGCATCCCTCACAACCCGCATGGATTGCAGCTCTACAGCCGCTCCATCCGAACCGCCTTTGCTGCCGCCACCGCATCACCGCATCACCACCTTTCGCGGGTACGAATCCGCACGTCGTGCTTTCCACATGCATCCATGTCTTCATTAACAATTCAATACTTCCTATTCCGCCAATCGTAACCCCCCCTCAAACCTTGTATTGCAGCTGCTGCGGCTGGCGGCACGCCTGTCGCCGTGAAACTCCCCATACGGCCAATTGTAACTCCACGTCATCCTCCTTAAGCTGCTGTTGGTTTTGTTGCTGTTAGTTTTGTTGCTGCTGCGGTGGTCTACGGCTACGGCACGTCTGTCGCTGCTACGTTCTGCGCTGTCGCAGCTACGCCCGCTGCTCCTGCACCACCTTCCTCACCTCCTCGCGCGGCATCTGCTGCAGGAAGTGCAGCCGCCACGAGAGGTCCACCGCGGCCACCAGAGCCGCCGACGTAGCCACCAGAACCAGCGCACGGACGGCGGGACCAGCCCAGTCGCGCAGCAGTGACAGAGGCAGGAGCGAAGAGCCGCCCAGGCCGCTGCCGCCACCGCCGCCACCCGCCACATCACCGCCGTACATGAGCGCGGTGAGGATGACGAGATCCGCTAGCCAGCAGACACCTCCCCGGTTGTAGTGCATCTGCATGGAGGGAGGCAAGGTATGCATGGGCGGGCGGGAAGGCAGGTGGGGCAATGTAGTAGGCCGGGGCGGTAGAGACGAACGCTCGTGTACCATCAGTAAACATGCCCTGCACTCCCCCCATTCCTCCCTTGCACGCCCGCTGCTGTACGACACACCACAGAGTCAGACTGTACGACACCACGCACTTACGCTGTACAACGCGGGCTGTACGACCGCCATCATGCCCGCCAGCACTCGGCCAAACGTCAGCGCGGGTCCAACCTGCGTGTCGGGTGCTGCCCCCGCTGCTCCCGCCCCCAGCAGCAGCAGGTGCAGGCACAGCGCGCTCATGCAGATGACGTGGGTGGCGGCGAGGAAGCGGTCTCGGAGCCTGCGCGGGGAGGCAAGGGAAGCAGGAGGGAGAGGAAAAGGTTGACGAAAATCGAACGGAGCAAGGTCAGAAAGGAGATGCTGACGATGCCCTTAGAAGGGTCGCTGCAAAACGCCTCCTTAGCAAGCGGGAGATACGGGGCTCCGAGCATAACCGACAGCAGAACCGACAAGGGCGCCCGACCTCACCTTGGCTCCCCCAGCCTTCCCCTGGCCGTGAACAGCAACCCGGGCAGCACCAGGCAGCTCGTCGCCAGCAGCAGCTGCAACCACATCCCCGGATGCGCCGCCGACGCAGCAGCACCACCGGCGGCTGCCCACGAGGGGTCGACACAGGTGCCCGCCATGCGACCCGCTGCAGCCTCATGCCAGCGCGCTGCATCCGCCTCCGCCTCCGTCGCCACACCAACCTCCACCCCAGGCCCCATCATGGCTAGGCTACCTCCGAGGGAGGCGTTGGGGTCGAGGTCGGCGCCGCCGCCGGGACCGATGCGTTTAGCGTAGCCAGCAGGAAGCAGCGTGGTGTTGCCGAGGCCGGCTGCGGTGGCGGCGAGGGTGAGGGCGGTGCTGGCAACTGCGGCCAGGAGGTCGTTGCGAGGGGCTTGGGCGCAGCGGAAGGCGGTGCACTGCTTCTCAACAGCGGGGTCCCTGCGGCCGAGAGAGAGGTGCGCATGATGGGACGTGGGAGGGGTGGTTTGGTCGTGTGAGTGCATACACCAGAGTTGTGCTTGTACGGCACCCAACGGGCCAATCGACCTACCAACCACCCAGCCGCCCGCGCGCACCTGAAACCCGACCGCACAGCGAGGATTGCAGCCGCCCATCGCTGACGCCATTTCACCGCCACCGCCGCCGCCGCCAATGCCGCCGCCACCGCTGCTGCCGCCGCCGCTGCCTCCACCGCCAATGCAGCAGCCGCCTCTGCTGCCGCCGCCGCTGTCTCCACCTCCACTGTCGTCGCGG